GGCACTCATAACACCTTGACCACTCACAACACCTTGGCCACTCACCTCCAGGCACTCACAACACCTTGACCACTCACAACACCGCCTTGGCCACTCACAACACCTCCCTGGCCACTCATGTTGTGTAACAGATTGGCCCGCACAATCTGAGTGTTTTAGGAAACTCAGATCAGGGAGATGGAGTGACAGCTTTAGAGCGAGCGAGAGAGAGAGCGAGCGAGAGAGAGAGAGAGAGCGAGAGAGAGAGAACGAGAGAGAGCGACGTGTAAGCGGCGTGGCAGGAGACCAGTTGAAGAAGGTGGCGTGGCGAGCTAAGGAGGAGAGGGAGGGGAGGGATATGGGGAGGTCACGTGGACGACCATGCAGCAAGCAAGAGAGGCCATAGGAGGGGTAGGGGAGGAGGAGAGGGAGGAGGGGGAGAGGGTGTTGAAGGTAGGGGCTCAGGTGGGGAGGGGGGGAGGGGTGGTGAAGGTGGGGCTTAGTGGGGAGGGGGGAAGAGGGTGTTGAAGGTAGGGGCTCAGTGGGGAGGGGGGAAGAGGGGTGTTGAAGGTAGGGGCTCAGTGGGAGGGGGGAAGAGGTGTTGTGAAAGAGTAGGGGCTTAGTGGGGAGGGGGGAAGAGGGGTGTTGAAGGTAGGGGCTTAGTGGTAGATAGTTGGGTAGCGGAGGGGGAAGTAGGGGATGGGGTGAGAGAAGGGCGAGTGTAGGGGTTTGAAGAGGAGGAGGGGTGAGGAGGGGGTGAGGGAGGAGAAGGAGGAGGGGGAAGAGAAGGGGTGTTGCATAACGATAGGCTTAAGATTTTACGAGCATCCCTCCTACACGTCCTGTACCAGCCAGCTGTTTGGAAGTCCTACGAGTTCTAAGAGTCCTTCGTGGTGTTAAAGTCTCCTTAAAGTCCGTATTCATATTAAGGCCAAGTCCTAAAAGTCCTTACCCGGAAGTTTTCTAGTTATCAAATCCAAGGCCAATATCCTTCTTCACCCCTACAAAAAAAACTCCTGAAGGGCAAGACATGTAAGTCCTTCAGTCACTCAAAGTCCATCAGTTGTAAGAATCAAGTCCAATAATCCCCCATAATAAGACTTACTTAAGACTTATAATAACACAATAAAGAAAGCCTTTAAGGAGACTTCCCAAGTGACGCAAAAATGACCATAATAATACATTAAGTAAAAATAAACAATAAATCATAAAATAAACAAGAACATTTAAACGCTGCCTGTACACAATCGCTATGAACATCAAACACGCGATACATCCTCGAACTTCCCAAAGGTCACGGGGTATACCAGAGCATCTACACCAGGGACCGACAGTGTGTGTGGCTAAACAACCACCTGGTAACTAATCTATTAGTTGTTAGTATGCCAAATACTGAACCTTTATCACTGGTTTTAATTTGAAAAATCAATCTAAAATAATATACATATATATATATATATATATATATATATATATATATATATATATATATATATATATATATATATATATATATATATATATATATTACATTGAAGACTCTTGATATATGAGCTCTGTTCAACTATTTCTTAAAGTGTTCATTCGAAACTAATTTCCCTATTGTATTCTGATATTCTAATGAATACTCCTATCACTATAGATTTCTGCTCTGGTAAACAAGATATTAACACATCTTCATCATCAGTAACGTTGGCCGATATTCACATTAATATCCTTCCAATCTCTTCTTTGGTGGGAGGGTCGGCGTAGTGACCTGTCGTACAGGAAGGGTACAGCAGACCTTCACCGCCACTGTACCGTGAACTGCATGAGAACAGCTGAGCCCGCGTATCGTTGCCATGGTGACGTTTGTAAACAGTCACCAATGGCCTCCCTAGCAACGGGCGGAGAGTAGTATTGTGATCAAAGAGTAATTTATGCTTCACAAGGGCTATGAGTTCTGTAAATCTAGTATGAATCCAGCTGGTGATATCTACTGTGTTTCTACTGTTTCATCTACCCTAAGGTAAATAGATCTACAAACACATCTACCGTAAATGATCTAAGATGTCGATTCACAGTCAGAATGAACGGCTGGTCCGAGAATTTTTACAGGAAATAAATAATAATGAGACGTAGTGTCAATTGAATATAAAGACAGCAAGAGCTTTTAAAATCCTCCGTACACATAAACAGCATCACATTAACAACTATAACTCTTGTTAATATCTTATAATTGTTAAATAATAATTCCTTAACAACCACAGGCCAAAGATCTCCAATGGGACATAAAATAATAATATAATTTTAAACATGAAATTCAATAATGACAGAAAACGGAGATATTTAAGGGGAGACTAAAGAAAAGTGGAAGAAATAATTATTCAAAGAAAAAAATACTACCTATATAGTTTTCTTTCATTTTATATAACCGAGTCAACAATTTTATAATGTTTTCGGTATATTAGGATTATTTTATAGTTGTTATATAGATTAACTTATATATTCCCGTTATACATTCACTCCTTGACTATACGATGACTTAACCTCTTGATTAGGATGATTTAACCCCTAGATTACGATGATTTAACCCCATGATTACGATTATTTAACCCCTAGATTACGATGATTTAACCCCATGATTACGATTATTTAACCCCTAGATTACGATGACTTAACCCCTAGATTACAATTATCTATTCCCTTGAGTACACTGACATTGTACTTAGTGGGTTAATGGCACTCACAGGGGTAAGTCCTCGTATTCAGGAGTTTGTTATCGTCCTCAAGGGATTAATAACTCTCTGATGACCCTGAGTTTAATAGAATCGAAGGCTACTGACAACCTCCTCAGTATGGGGTGTTTGTAGGCTTGGATGCTCATTTGTTTTTATAATTCATTTGAATATTCTAATCTAGAACACGTGCTTAGTTCTCGAGGTACAGTAATACATTATAACACCAACATCACCAAGTACAGTGCTTCCTGAATACCCAGTTATTTTTTATTTATTTTTTTTATTATATTGGACACTCCCCTACATCCTTGTGTAAGGTGAAGCGCAGAAGCGTTTACAGCGCCCAACAGGGAAGCATGCTAAGTTCATGCTTGCCTTTATGTCTCATGAGTTAAGGGCCCAGTTAGTGTTTGTGTCCTCGTGTTTGTGACCTCGTGTTTGTGTCCTCGTGTTTGTGACCTCGTGTTTGTGACCTCGTGTTTGTGTCCATGTAATAATAATAATAATAATTAACGGTTTATTGAAAGAGCTTGGCAGCCAGAAGGCTGAAAATATACAGTTACATATTTGGGGAATGGGTTACGAATTACAAATAATATACAAGTAACATAAGTGACACAAATAAGATATATAATAACTAGGTGGGGAAAAGCTCAAACTACAGGGCATTTCAACATAGTGACAGTGCAAGAAGTAGTATTTACTGGGAGTGAATACACTGGTTTATTACAAGTTATTGATAATTTTTACAATGGTTGGGACTGGGCTGTTCTTATAGCGATCAGTTCGTGCACGTATGGGTTGGATGCGATTGTGGTGTCGAACAGCAATTCTCGGGCTAGGGATCTCAGATGGTAGTAGGAGCCGGTGTCGAGGATGGTAGAAGCTTCTTACCAAATTTGCAGATGAGGTCGTGGTGATGGTCAGTGAGAGTCGAAAGGGTCAGTGTGTTGAGCGCTTCTTGATATGTGGAGTAGGAAGGGGAGAGAATAATCTTGCATGCCCTCTTTTGCACTTTTTCTAGGTGTTTACGTTGTGTGGCATTTAGGGAGGAAGACCAGGTAGGGGAGGCATAAGTGAGCTTGGGAAGTATGAATGTTGTGTAAACACTGAGGAGCTCGGGTGCAGGAACTCCGAGGGACTTGAGTCGGCGGAGGAGGTGGAGACGGAAACTGGAGGATTTGACAACTTCACTGACGTGTGGTTTCCAATTTAGTTTGTTGTCTATGGTGACGCCGAGGAGCTTCGTGGAATCTACAACCTGGAGTGTGTTCGGACCTAAAGTAATGGAAGGAGGTGGGACAATGTCGGAGGAGAGGTTGATGTGCATAACCATGGTCTTGGTATGATTGATGGTGACATGGTTGTTGGTGGCCCAGTTTTGGAGACTGTTCAATAAATCCTGAAGGGCGGTATAGTTGGGAGCAGAATTGTTGACGCTGATCCCAATGGTGGAGTCGTCGACATATTTCCAGCGAGCAGGGGTTTCTCTTAGGGCATCATTGATGAGCATAAGGAAGCAGAGTGGTCCCATCTTGGTGCCTTGGGGGACGCCACAGGTGAGTGACTGAAAGGTGGAGACAGCCCCTCGGAAGCGTACAGCTTGGCGTCGGTCACTGAGGAAGTCTGTAAGCCATGGTATAAGACTTCTCCGAAGCCCGTGTGTTTGTGTCTTCGTGTCATCGTGTTTGTGTCGAAGTATCTATTATCATTGTGTCCTTCACCTGTGTCTGTTGGAGTCCTGCAGATGGATGTACGGGTGGCGCCCCACAACCCGGCCAACAGGAGGCCGTCTCAGGGCGGCCTTGAGAGCAGGAGGAGCAGCAGCGGGAGTCGCCCCGCCACAGCAGGCAGGTCCTCTACAGCAACGGCAGCAGCCAGGGCGCCGCCTCCGACCCTCACCCTCCACTTGAGTGTAAGTCTCACACTCTCATGTTGACCTGAACTCCTGCAGAGTTCTTTACCTCCTTCAGGCAGGTTGTCGTTTTAACTGAGTTCACTTTCAGTTAGTAACGAATTTACACGTTCTACCTTTCAGACTAATCAATAATGCACTTCACCTGCCGAGTAAAGGTGACTTAACACCTCAGTTTTTGGTCCCTGAGGCCAGTAGAGCCAGGGTGTCCATAACATATCCACCTGTAATGAAGGTCAAATGTGACACGTAACATTAATTCCTACGCAGGATACGGCCGTAGGACACCACGGAGGACAGTACCAACGAGGCGCTCCGGGGGATGGTGCTACAGGGGGCAGGATATCTGGGGAAGGGAGGCTGCGGGGCGGGGCGAGGCGGGGCAGGAGGTCGAGCAAAGGCAGCCTCACCCAAGACGCCAGTGACCAGCGCCTCTTACCAGCGCGCCCCCGTATGGTGGGTCCTCACCCACACCCGAGTCTTACCGCCTCCAGGAACTGTGTAGCATTGTAGTGTATGATGTTGTCTACACACACACACACACACACCGTACATACACACCGTACATACACACACACACAAATATATACTAAAATAGCGATGAATACTGTTACGTATTTTGCCACAGTATCAAATTCCGTAGTTTTAGATGTTAGTTTATTAGTTCAATGTGTTAATAAATATACAGTTAGTAAATAGATTCTGGTGGTACATTTACTTATCTAGATTAATCTCCAGTAAACTCTCAGCAGATACTGTTAACACACAACTTAGCCCCCCCACACACTAGGCCACCTTCCGCCTGGCAGGGACCAGCGGACACGACCAGGAGCGTCTCCGTCACCGTCGTCGTCTGGAGGCTCTGTCACACCTGGGCCTCCACACCGCCCCTGATCTGGCCCTCAACAGGGGATTCCCTTCGCCCCTCTATGGTACACAGCCAGCCATCACCGACTGTACACAAATGGCCATTATTCTGAAACTGTAGATTTGCTAAGTACGTTGATTTAATATATTGGAATACTTTGATAATTAATCCGTCCCCTGAAATATGTCTCCTCTCCACAGCCATCAAAGAATCCCCCACCACCACCAGCAGTAGGGGCGCCGCCTCCCATCACGACCTTCACCACAGCGGCTCTCTGTCTAATGACCACAGGGGAGGGATGCTGGGTATGGAGGGGCCCCACCAGGTGTACATGCAGCAGCAGGACTCAGAGGCGAGCGAGGAGTCCAACACCTTCAAGATAAGACGCCCGCTCACCACTAAGGAACTCACCAGGAAGATCAAGAGGCACCAGTCAGCCATTATGAGGGAGAGACGCCGCTTCATCGCCGGGGCTGAGAGACCTCCGGTAAGGGCGGCGACCTAGTGGAGGCAGGGGGCCATAAGGAACAGTTTACTTGTTTGTGTTGTTAAAATCGAGGCTTGTTTTGTTATTAAGATCACACCGAGTGAGATGCTTCATCTTGTGGGAAGTTTACGCCACTAAGTAAATATTGTGTTGTGTGTACAGGCCAGGAAGAAGGCGAGTTACCTGGAGATGCTTGAGAACCGACAGGAGTTCCGACGGACGCTTGTGAAGCTCCTCAAGACGGATGAGTGTCAGACCAAGAGCTGCCGAGCCCAGCTGGAGCGGCGCTACCACTACTTCATCACCAGGGGCCTCTCCATGCGCTCCAGCCCCTTCCAGAGGTCGTGGGTCTCCGCTATCCTCAGCCTCGTCCCTAAACACCTCAGGTCAGTGGCATGTTAGTGATGGCTACACCAGCTTAGTTAAATACCTGCTGGGTTAAAATTGCAAAATAACTTGTGTTGTAACAGGTTTATCAGGTAAGGGCTTCAGTTGCTAATTTGTGTTGTTTGTGTGTTTTCTCATCAGGAATCAGATGGGGACGTGTCAGAGCCTCATACAGCAGTTACAGAGAGACTACGAGCACAATATGAGGAAGGTCGCCGTCGACTTCGTCCTCCACTCTGGCAAACCTCGCCCTCGACCACAACTTCCTGGTGAGGTAAGGAGAACTCTCTAACAGCGTCTTCCGCCTTTTATTCTAACCAAAATGACCAGAAGGTGATCACAACTGCACTCCTTCCTGGGTGATACAGGGGCGCCACAGCATCCTTAGTATCACCTCAAGATCACTTTTATTATCCCAGGGCCGATAGAAGGATGATAAGCCGGTAATTGTAGATAAAATCCTTCACTTCAGGATCTTTTTTAACACTCAAGCCATTAGATTATAGGATACATGAATTATGAGCTCACCTGTTGGGGGTGTTGCAGGTGACGTCCTCCCGTCTGGCGCTGGAGTCGTGGGGGCCATCCAAGAACTACATCAGGAAAAACCTCCATCTGCTGAACCCATGCATGTTGCAGGCGCTGGAGCTGTGGTACCGTGAATACAGGTGAGCCTCGAGAACCACCTGTAGGACTTACCTGAGGAATTAATTGGTTTTACAGACATATACAAATACATAACATCTTTTAAAATTTACAACATCGTATTTAATCTGTTCTTCATCTCTCAGTAGGTTGTTCTCTGTTTTTTCTCTCTTCTCACTCTCCTTCGTCGTTACAGTGGGCTACGTCTGGTGGAGGTGGTGAGGGTGATGGAGGGTAAGTGCAGTCTGGAGTTGGAGGAGTTTATGGCTAGTGTTGGAGATCAGCTGGACCACACTAACGACACCCTCGCCCTCTGGTTCACACAGATCCAAACAATCTTCTACAAGGTTTGATACTACTTCTTCTTATCTCTCTATTTCATCTCTTAGTCTCTTCCTCCGTGTCTCTCTTCTGTATCGTTAAGTCTCCCCCAAATTTGAGAGGCATTATTCTTTCTAGGATTTGTTTTTCTTACAAGCAAAAAGCATTCAATCTTCATCCCTTCAATCAGGTCAGGTCAGGTCAGGTCAGAGTAAATATTAGGGGATGTTATCTTCACTTAAATGTTAACGTCAATGATCATTAACTTAATTCATATATAGAGTGAATACAAACAAACACAAGGGATAATCATTTAGAACTTTCGAACGAGGCAATTACTCTCCAAACTACCTAATTAAGCAATCAGCAACCACATCCACGATTACTTATACCATTAGACTCCTCCTTCACTGTTCACGCCAGTAGCAGCCAAGACCTGAAGGTGTGTGTGTAGTCGAATCCCTCCTGACGAAGGCTGAAAATAGTACCTCGATCTCCAGATGTAAACAGTCAGTTGAACTCCTGTACGTGGTAGGTCCTTGTACGTGGCAGGTCCCTTGTACGTGGTAGGTCCTTGTACGTGGCAGGTCCCTTGTACGTGGTAGGTCCTTGTACGTGGCAGGTCCCTTGTACGTGGTAGGTCCTTGTACGTGGCAGGTCCCTTGTACGTGGTAGGTCCTTTGTATGTGGTGGGTTCTTTGTACATGGCAGGTCCCTTGTACTTGTTAGTCCCCTTTTACCTGGTAAGCCACCTTGTACCTGGTAGGCCCCTTTTACAGTAGCTAAAACAACTATCTGTGCAGGTGGGGGTCGATGTGCTCCGAAATTTTACGTGTGACTAGTGACAGCCTTCATATACCAAAATTTATCGTCCATAGTCTCTTATTGTTTCCCACAAAGTATGCACAGATAGTTGCTTTAGCTACTGTACACTAGTAGGCCCCTTGTACCTGTTATGCTGCCAGTCTGTATGGTCTATAAGTGGCGTGGACTGTTCACATATATCTTCATACCTTCCGAAACATAGCGAGTTATAATCTGGTGTCTGTGTTTATCAGGGGTTCCAGCGTGGCCAGATGCCGGGGTTCAGTCAGCCTGCAAGACTATCCTCCTTCTGCAACGCCGCCGTCACCATCATGACCCATAATCTCCAGTCTCTCTGTCTTCTCTCCCTCTTCTTCTGCACCGCTTCCCTCTGCGGCTCCCAGCCAAACCTTCTCGACCCAGCCTCCATTGGACTCTGGGTGAAGGAGCCTACGTCAGGTAACTCAGTGTTCTCTTAATATTGTCTCTCAATGAGCTCAATGTCCCTCTCCTGTCCTTGTTTACAATCATCGGTTTATCTTTTGTTGCTTCTGTTTCTTCTTTGCACGTTTGTTATTGTTATTTTATAATTCAATACAGGACGACCACCACTTAAATCAGCAGCGTCAGGGAGCGGCAGTACCCGGGGTGAAGACGCCACAACAGATGAGGGTTTGGGAGAATCTGTCGGTGAGGGATCTGAGGGAGCCTCCAACGACACGAAGGCCGAGGGTAAGGCAGCAGGACGTCAGGACAGTGGTGGGGACGAGGACGCCATACCTCCTCAGGCTGGCTCTAGTGGACACCCAAAGAAACCGATGGTGTTAAAGCTGCACCTTCTGTTGAATGGTAAACAGGTTAGTAACCCCTGGAGTGTGGCCAAGAGGAGACCTTGGCATTTGTTAGTTCCCCGTGAGGAAGAGTTGTTGTCACCTATATGAGTCGGTGCAACAAGCGCTCAGACAATATCGATGACCTTAAACGATAAATCCTCTATTAAATAAAATAAATTCCTTTTGCCTCTCAGGTGATCATCAAACCCACATTCTCGGAGGTGGAGACGTCACTGCTCTCCCTCTACAACAAGATGATAGAACTGAGTATGTCTGTGCCTCGCCTGGAGACCAAACTCTTCGCTGAGTGGGAGGGACGCCAAGGCAATATCACGGTGGGTCTTCTTCCTTACCTGTCTCCTCATGGGTCAGGTGAACTCATTGATACAGTCACCTTTTGTTTATTAGATTAATATTGATGGAGTAAATTGTCGGAGTTATCCCAAGAATCACAGATATAATATATAGATACTCGTATATAGAGATGAACAAGAACATTAATATTACCTGTGTGTGACGAGAGGTGTTTTCCTACAGCCAGTGGTGGAGCAGGAGGTAGTGGGGCGACTCAGGCAACAGGTATTGAAGGAGATCTCAGATTCCAACGAAGCACCGACCCACCACGCCACCCGCTACCACAAGTACAACTCTCTCATCAGTGGCGAGGTGAGGCGAGGCGGGAGGGCGAGGTGAGGCGAGTTGGGGGGGGGGGGTGTGGGCGAGGAGTAAGATGTTATAATTCAAAGTTATTTATTTTCTGTGCGTATTGATAGGTGTGTGGTTCAGTTTATTAAGTAACTCTCTCTCTCTCTCTCTCTCTCTCTCTCTCTCTCTCTCTCTCTCTCTCTCTCATAACCACTGGGTAATCAATTCCTCCTTTACTCCTGACGCCTCCCACCTCCTCCTTCACTCCCCCAGGCCGAGGAGGAGGTGCAGGAGTTTATGTCTGGTGATCACCCCTTCGAGGCCTACGTCGACAAGCTGACTGAGTTCTCCGTGCTGAGGGCCGACATCCTCACCTCCTCCCAACAGGTAAGTCTTCCCTCTCCCACCTGCGATAATCAAAAGAAACCACGCGTATAAGGGCATGGGGTTCGCTGATTGGTTACTTGCACCTTATACCTGGTACAATATGTGTGTGTGTGTGTGTGTGCTGTAAGAAAAGATGGCCATCACCTCAAACCACTTCATGTATTTAACAAGTAATGAGATAAATTTACACTCCAGGTGGTTCAGCAGGTAATAGCAGGTGTGTCCCGACAGGTGGTGGAGCTGGGGCCCTATGAGGTACACTGTGAGGCGCTGGTGGCCTCCCTGGTGTCAAGGGTCACCAGCCTACGGAGGGAGATGTTGGCTCACCTACACCAGCAGTACTGTTCTATCGCCGACACGTGAGTCCTCCTCCCCTTCCTGGTGGATGGATGGATAGATAGAGTCAGGAACAGGTGGATAGGTACATGGACAGATTTATAAATGGACAGATACAAAGTTGGACATATTGTTTATGGACAAAAAGTTTATTAGGTCAGGTCAGGTTAGGTCAGGTTGGGTTGGGTTAGGTCAGGTTGGGTTGGGTTATCACATATACTACTTCCATGACCCAGATTGTGTGGAGAACTGAAGGTGATCACGGAGAGGGCCCTCAGTACCCCTGGAGACACTCTGGAGCTCATGGAACACAAGGCTTACATGGAGAACATCATGGAGAACCAGCTGCAGACCTTGGAGAGCCGCGTTTGGAGTCTCCACACACAGCTTCAGGTAGGTAGTGGGTCCTCCTCTTTCTCCCCCCCTCCATTCCTCGTCCCACACACACACACACACCACTAACCCCCCTCCCCTCCCTCACAGTTCCTGGCTGAGAACATGTCCCTGAGTTCTGAGGAGTGTAGCGACACCGTTCAGCCACTCGCTTGGTTCATCCGTCTGCCAGAGGTCTTCCGCATCCACCTCCAGATCATCACGGAGAAGAGGGCCGAGTACGAGGCCAACCTCAGGGTACAGTATTTGATGTTTCTTCAAGGATTAGGTTTGGTTTTGAAATGTTATGTTTGGTTAAGTTTGGCTTGATTTGGTTAGGTTAAATTAGATGATGTTAAGTCACAGTAGGTTAAGTTTTGCTCGTCCATAAATTGCCCCACGTTGTGATATTAAATATACTTCTTCAACCTCTTCAGGAGCGTCGGGAGAAGTTCCAGGGGGAGCTGGCGGAGTACGCGGTGCAGCTCGAAGACTTCCAGACCTTGGGTGACCACAACGAGATCCACGAGTACATGAGAAGGGCCAAGTCCCTCCACTCCCGCCTCGACCACGCCGCCAACTACATCGAGCAGATCAACAAGGAGGAGGAGGCACTGTCTTGGAACACCACTCACTACCCCGTCAGGAAACAGGTGGGTCTTGTTACTACACCACTCACCGCCCACCCTCGAAACGGGTAACTGATGCCACGGAACTAAGGTTTGGGAAGAAGTGATATTTTTATCATTAGTGGTAGCAGTAGTAGTAGTAATGGTAGTGTTGGTAGCAGTAGAAGAAGTAGTTAATATTAAAGTAATAAAATGGTGGCCAAGGTATGGCTATTGGGGGAGGCTGGAGGCAAAAAAAAATGGTAGTGTTGGTAGTGGTAGTCTTAATAATAGTAGTGTTCGTAGTAGTAGTAGTAGTAGTAGTAGTAGTAGTAGTAGTAGTAGTATTGGTAGTAGTAGTGGTGGTATTTAAGTCTGTTATTATTATCCCGAGACTGTGATTACACCAGTGGTTCGTGAGACAGGGAGCGAATGCAGTGACCTAGTTGGCGAGCTGCCGGGGCTGACGGTGCCAGGGTAGCCTTTCTTCCTTATCCCGCCTTCCCTCCCTCCTCCCTTCCTTTCCTCCTTCTTTTCTCCATTCCCTCCTTCTTTCCCTCCTTCTCTCCATTCTTTCCCTCTTCTCTCCCTCCCTTCCCTCCCTACAAATCAATATTTTCAAAATAAAACTGAGACAAAAATATTCGCTCTCAAGGAAGGGAAAATTGAGGAGCAACTCTAGCCACCAGAAACACAGTGACGTCATCATCAGCTGTTTATCAGGGATCGCGGGGGTAAAAAATTATCTTGTTTACATTCGCTATAAAGGTCATTCTATTGTCTTATAATATATGTGTCTACTTCCTTTTCTATTCTATACGTAGATAGAAGGAAAGATGGATAGATAAATTGAAACTAAAGGATAGAGAAAATTATATAACATATGGACACCATTTCACACCTTCTAAAAGATCTTGATGCTTTATAACCAATGTCCTGTGACGGTAAACAAAACATAGTCATCGATGCTCATCTGTTTACCTGATTATGTTTACCTGATTGTTTACCTGATTATGTTTACCTGATAACAAGAAGACATACTCGAGGCGGCCATATGGTAAGAATATTTCAGTAGATGTGAACTAAATATCTCTTGCAGGTGTCGGACAAGTTGGCACCGTTCCTGAAGCTGTACGAGGTGGGGGTGGAGTGGGCGGACCGGCTGGAGGAGTGGCTGCACTCTCCTGTAGGCACTCACGATCCTGATGTCATCGCTCAAGAGGTAGCAGCGACCTGGCGGACTGTGTACAAGCTGGAGAAAGGCTTCGGTGACATCCCCGCCGCCAAGAATGTCGTCATAGCGGTAGTGTTTGATGATCATTGTTTTGTTTACATCTTTGTGTTTGCGGTAGACTCGTAAATGTAAACAATAGATAACTGCTTTTATTTACGTCATTATAATCCAGACATTGATGGTAAGTTCTGTTTACATATTCATAACAACAGTAACAGAGAAGATATTATTAAATGATCTTTGTTTTACTGTAACTGATTATTATTGTTTGTATCAACTTGTGAACAACGATTTTTTCAACTGAATATTGTTTTACTCATCAACAACCAACAGCAGGCAGAGATAACACTCGAGTCTTTCCATAATGTTATCTTGATGATTTTACGTCTGTCTTGAGTAATTACTCGTGTTATCTCCATCTTTAACCTGTCTCCCACCTTGGCTGTGTTACTCAGGTGAGACAGCGGATTGAGGTATTCCGGGAGAACCTACCGCTGGTGCAGACACTTGGTAACCCTGGGCTGAAGGAGAGGCACTGGGAGAAGATCTCAGAGGTGGTCGGTTACCCCCTCAGGTGATGTATCTTACCTGTCCTCTTCTATCGTGCTTAGAATACCTTTGGGGAAATGAGTGTTTCTGAGGTCTGAAAAAATATGCTATATTCTTGTGGAATTTGACCCCAATAAAGTTAATGACTATATCCTTCCTTCACCTGCTCCTTGAACCTGTGACACCATGCAGAGCGGACGCCACTACCACCCTCCAACGCCTCATTGACTCCAACCTCGAGGACTACCTCTCCAAATTCGAGTCTGTGTCTGAGGCGGCCTCTAAGGAACACGTCTTCGAAAGAAACCTCGAGAAGATGAAGGTAAAGTGACCAGCTTGTGTTTGTGGTATGTGAAGGAAACAATTATGGTCGTCTTTAGGCTTTTTGTTGACATTCACACGGAGGATAAGAACGAAGACGGGAATTATCAAGATCACGTTAATATTTGACTCGCCTTCTGTTATTGTTTTAGATCCTTAAGTAATTAAGAATACAGGACAGAAGTAAAAGAGTCAACTTTTGTACACAATTAAATTATATATGATAGATGTAATTAGTAATATGTTTAGAAGGATCATACAGGTAGTGACTCGAGGGTGTGGTGTTGGTTGACAGAGTGAGTGGCAGGAGATGGAGTTGGTGTTGAAGCCTCACAGGGAGACAGACACCTGGGTGCTCTCGGCTGTTGAGGACATCCAGTTCCTCCTAGATGACCATATCGTCAAGACCCAGTCCATGAGGTCCTCGCCCTTCATCAAGCCCATCGAGCAGGAGGTGGTGAGTATGGTGGTGGTGGTAGTAATGGTGGTTGTGGTGGTGGTAGTAGTGGTGGTTGTGGTGGAAGGCTCACGAGACAACCTTTCATCACCGACTCTCCTGGAATTTAAGGTTGGATGTTTTGTCATCTATAAGAACGCTTCATTAAGACCAGTGTGGATCTTTATTTGGTTAGGTTATTTCAGTTGTTTCTTAGGTTTTCAGAAATTTCTCTTCAGATTGATTTTAATTAACTGTGTATATTAGTTTAACCTTTACTGAACAGGTAATTAACACAGAAAAAATATATATTTCTATTTAATATCTCGTTGGAACTAAGACTAACCCCCTAGCGTAACTCACTCCTTCATGATCCTAGAAGTTGGCTACCGAGATTCTTGTGTCCCTCAGGCGGCTTGGGAGACGACCCTGGCGCAGCTTCAGGAGGTAGTGGACGAGTGGTTGAGGGTACAAGCAACCTGGATCTACCTGGAACCAATTTTCGGCTCACCAGATATCATGGCCCAGATGCCTGAAGAGGGACGCAGGTGCTGTTAAAACAACCCGTGTTTAGTGTGTCTGTCTATCCTACCTCTACATATCTACCCAAGTATCTATTAGCTGTGTTAATGTGTATTTATATCTGTATTTGTATCTACACGTAACTACATTTTTTTTCTTTTCTTTCATGTGAATCGGAAATTTTTTGATAAGATGCTATTTATGGTTCCAGCTGACTTAAGAGAGATTTGTGGTTCTAGCTGTCAAAAAAAATGTGGTTCCAATTGCCGAAAAAGATAGCTGTGGTTCCAGGTTCAACTAAGAGAGAGATTTGTGGTTCCAGGTTCAATACTGTAGACAAGACCTGGAAAGACATCATGAAGAGCGTGAGACAGAACACCCGGGTCCTGTCGGTGCTGGAGGTGGACAAGATACTAGAGAGACTCCGCAAGTCCTCTGAACTACTGGAGCTGATCCAACGAGGCCTGAATGAGTACCTGGAGAAGAAGCGTCTCTACTTCCCCAGGTTCTTCTTCCTATCTAACGAAGAGCTCCTCGAGATTCTCAGTGAGACGAAGGATCCCAGCAGGTGTGTTGATGTTGGATATGACTGATACCAACTATATCTTTTGGGGTTATAACAACGGTATTATTTATGTATTTGAGTGATTGAGCTGGATGGGTGGGTGGGTGGGTGAGTGGGTGTCTGTGTCATAAACATACAACAACAAGGTTTCCGAATCCTGTCTCCCTAAGAGCTTGTATCTTCTTTCGTGATTCCAGAGTACAGCCTCACCTTAAGAAATGCTTCGAGGGCGTCAACTCTTTAGACTTTGGTGATGATCTGGAGGTGGTGGCTGTGAGGTCAAGTGAAGGAGAGGTCATTGGACTTACTCAGATTATCAGTACAGCCAAGGCCAGAGGACAGGTTGAGAAGTGGTTGGTGCAACTGGAGGCGAGTGTCAAGTCCAGCATCAAGAAGGTGTGTGTGTGTGTGTGTGTGTACAGAGGATCAGTGTTTGTGGTTACGGAGTGTTGGTGTCAGTATGTGTGTGTAATAATAGTAATAATTAACGGTTTATTGAAAGAGCATGGCAGCCGGAACGCTGAAAATATACAGTTGCATAATTGTGTGTGTGTGTGTGTGTGTGTGTGTGTGTATTACTTCAAAGAGGACAAATATTATTTCGTAACAAGATATGACGATAGGTCGTATTCCCAACCTACCTCTGACACCCCACCTGACCCCTAAACCCTGTCACTTTTAAGGGGGGTCAGTTAGGTCACCATTAACCTTATTTTACCCTGGTTGTCCTCTGCAGGTAGTAGAGTCGTGCATGAAAGCGTACACAACGAAGGCGCGGGAGGACTGGGCGCTGGAGTGGCCAGGTCAGGCGGTGCTCTGCGTCTCACAGACCTTCTGGACCACTCACGTCTCCCGCTGCATGGTGTCAGTCACAGCTCTTGTCAGATTCCCCCTTGGGATGTAACTAATGTTGTAATGAGATGTTTCGCTGTAAAGAGAAAGAAAGAAGTTCCACCTTTCAGAGTTTGGATTTTTGACGTTGATATTCATTGTCTGAAATTTTTTGCCATCGGTATGGTCCTTATTTATGTACTTGCTTTTGTATTGTGTCGTCAGCTACACTATCACTCACACAGGGAAGGTCCCCGAGAGATGGAGGCTTACTACGAGCTGTGCAACAGTCAGATCGAGAAGGTGGTGGGCCTGGTGCGTGGCCAACTGTCCAAGCAGAACCGCACCACCCTGGGTAAGTCCCCACCTGGGCCCTGCTTCTCCCTGGTGACACATACATATTTAATGTTGTGAGTGAGTCTAAGCTAAAGATTGTTACTCTTGAATATTAAACTTATGGAAATACAATATTAATTAAAGCTTTAGTGTGTTAGACCCCAGAGCAGCAAGTTCTTCATCGTGACGTTAAGAATACTTAAATTAGCTTAATTTGATGTAGAGAGCCAGCACGAGCAGATGGTAGGCGAACGTTCACTTGAATGTAACTTCCCTAAGTAGCTTTCCATATTGAAAAACAACTTAGGACTTATTGATGAAATGATTGTGTTGACGGTATATAAATGTCACACACCATGACCACCAAAAAGGACAGTTATTACACTGCACCCGTGACTGCAGGAGCCTTGGTGGTGCTGGACGTCCACGCTCGCGACGTGTTGAAGGACGAGATAATGAAGAAGAAGGTGACAGACCTGACTGACTTCACCTGGCTCTCACAGCTCCGTTACTACTGGCATGTGAGTAACTTGTCATGTACGTACACCAAGCCTTGATGTCGTCTCCAGCAGTAGGTGTAGAGAACATACAAATCAAAACATAAACTATGACTTTGGAGATAATTTAGAGACATAAACATAGAACTCAATTACGAGACTTGGTTTATAAAGCATAAATTCAGAATATAGGTCATAGATCTAGGCTAGAGAATAGACATTAAAACTAAAGCTCGACGCGAATTTAGAACTTAAAGATTCGAGGTTTTGGTTTATAAGAAAAATACAGAACTTAGGTAAGAAAACGCGAATTTAAACATTGAACATTACTTTAGGAGTTGTTGGTGATAATGATTCTCTCTCTCTCTCTCTCTCTCTCTCTCTCAGGAGGACATCTTGAAGGTACGGATGATCAACGCCGAGCTGGATTATGGCTACGAGTACCTGGGTAACACAGGGCGTCTGGTCATCACCCTCCTGACGGACCGTTGTTACCGCACCCTCACCCAAGCCCTCATGCTCAACCTGGGTACTGTACCTGTTGAGAGAGAGAGAGAGAGAGAGAGAGAGAGAGAACTAGATTGAACAGTTCATATCCAACTAAAGTAAATATTGAACGTGCACTGAGAGAGAATGAGAGAGGGTGTGTGCGCGCATGTGTCTGTATGTCTGGTTGTTTGTTTCTTATATATATATATATATATATATATATATATATATATATATATATATATATATATATATATATATATATATATATATATATATATATATATATCCTCCCTCCCTCCCTCCCTCCCTCCCCCTTCCCTCTCTCCCTCCATTACTCACACGGTCTGTCATAAATATACATACACACACACTCTCCTGAGCTTCACCTGACCACCACGTGTTGCCTTGGCTTCTGTCCAGCCCCACATATCACCAGCCCCTAGACGTTTGCCCCTTAGTTTGCCTCCCTCCTTCACCCCTCTGTTCCCCTCTTCATGATGACACGTGTATAGGGATGATGATGATGATGATGACGACTCATAAAAGATAATAGTGATAAAATGATAAATAACACTGCAATAGAAAGTGAATGATGAGAAGTCATACAAATAGCGGGTGACAACAGTGAAGCAGAGGCGAATAGTGAGTTATTGTGGCCTTGACGTGTGGGTGATGCTTGCAGGTGGCGCTCCAGAAGGTCCCGCAGGCACAGGCAAGACTGAGACTACCAAGGACTTAGCTAAGGCAGTAGCCAAGCAGTGTGTCGTTTTTAACTGCTCTGATGGGTTAGACTACATCTCCTTAGCCAAGTTCTTCAAGGTAAATGTTTGTTATGATATCAACTTATTGACGTTATTACCTTCACATACTCATTCTCTATTCTCTGTTCACTCACACACTCATTCACACACACACACACTCACTCATTCACACACACACACTCATTCACACACACACACACACTCTCACTCATTCACTTACTCACTCTCTCTCTCTCTCTCTCTCTCTCTCTCTCTCTCTCTCTCTCTCTCTCTCACCATGGACTACTCACCAGGGCTTGGCATCGTGCGGCGCCTGGACGTGTTTCGACGAGTTTAACCGCATCGAGCTGGAGGTGTTGTCTGTCGTGGCTCAGCAGATCTTGACTCTACAGCGAGGCCTACAGTCAGGAGCCCCTCGCCTCACTCTACAGGGCACAGAGGTGAGGCAACATGCTGAAGTGAAGTGGGGGAGTTAGGGGTGGGTAAGAAGGGGGTAAAGGGTGCATAATAAAGGGGGGGAGGGGTGGATAATAATGGGGCTAAGATGGATATGAATGATATAGGGGGGTAGGTTAGGAAATATACACAGATTATATAATTATAAGAATACATGTTTACACACACACACACACACACACACACACAAATGACAGTATTCTAATATATTAACTCCCAATATAGTTTTAAATCCCCGTCAGGTATACTCAAATGTGACCAGTGCTGACACCTGTACTAAATGTCCTAACATACCAAGGTTAATTATCCCTCCACCAGGTGAGTCTCGACCCCACCTGTGCCGTCTTCATCACCATGAATCCGGGCTACGCTGGACGCTCAGAGCTCCCAGATAACCTCAAGGTACTGAGTTCTGTTACCTGATGTTGTTTGTTATGGTTGTCTAGGTACGAGACGTTAGTGTTGGGACCATCTCTCTCTCTCTCTCTCTCTCTCTCTCTCTTAGTTTATGTATTCACTAAGTTGTGTTTATATTTATTTCCATGGTGAATTTATCTTATTAATCCTCTTCCCTACCACCTCCTTCTCTACCTTCCTTCCTCCGTCCTCCCTACCTCCCTTACCCTCCCTACTACCTCCCTATCTCCTGCAGGCACTCTTCCGCTCAGTGGCCATGATGGTGCCAGACTACGGACTTATCGCGGAGATCTCCCTGTACTCCTTCGGGTTTGTGGCCGCCAGGAGCATGTCGAGAAAGATCGTGGCCACCTACAGGCTGTGCTCCGAGCAGCTCTCAGCCCAGCCTCACTACGACTACGGTCAGATCTTCCTAAACGCACTGTGATCTAATAAATTTTACCCACATTGACTGTACTAAGAGAGAGATACCTGTTTAATCATATGGAATGAACTGAAGATTATAAGACGTAAACCTTGTATATACAGAAGAAAAAGGAAGTTTTCTGCTACCTGACCCCCCCCACCCACTCGTTTCCTTCTCCGCACACACACTCCCTCTCCGCCACGTCTCCCACACATACATCCTCCCCCCCACACACACCTCATACACACGCCCCTTCACACACACATGCGTCCCCACACACCTCTGACTCGCTCCTCACGCCCCCAGGATGCGGACGGTGAAGGCAGTACTGATCGCCGCCGGGACACTGGGCTTAAGTACCCGGACATGCAGGAGGCGGTGCTGGTGTTGAGGTGAGCCACGCCCTCCCTCCCTCACCCTGCCTCCTTCCTCACCAAACCTCCTCCCTCACCCCCACCTCCTCCCTCACCCCCACCTCCTCCCTCACCCCCACCTCCTCCCTCACCCGATTTCCTGCGTGATTACTTTCCTAGTGACATTCTTGTTCATTGACGCAGTTATCTAGCTCATGTTTTCCTTATTTAGCATACGGGGACAGAAAAGATGGGTGGATGGATGGGTGGATGGATGGGTGGATGGGTGGGTGGATGGGTGGATGGATGGATGGGTGGATGGGTGGGTGGATGGATGGGTGGACAATACTAACAATAAATACTTGGTGTCAACAGGTCCATCCGTGACGTGAACCTGCCCAAGTTTCTGGCTCACGACCTGCCGCTGTTTGAGGTGAGTGAGTAACCATATCCCCGTCCTCCTAACACACTCGCTTAACATCTGTAACACCTGCTTGTATTCTATCACCTTTCAGGGCATTCTAGTACCCACCTGGTGTTATAGTGACAGGTCATTCTAGTACCTACCTGGCAGGGCATTTCACCTGGGCATTTCATCACCTAACAGGGCATCATCGCGGATCTATTCCCCGGGGTCATGTTACCTGAGCCGGACTACACATACCTGCACCGCGCCGTGAAGGAGGTGTGCGCGGGGGCGGAGCTGAGGGCCAATCACTACTTCATGGACAAGGTGCAACAGGTGTACGAGACGATGAGGGTGAGACACGGGTTCATGCTCATCGGTAACCCCATCGGCGGCAAGACGGTAGCGTTGAGGACTCTCTCCAAGGCCCTGGCCATCATGAATGAACGGGTGAGTGGGTGAATGAGTGAATGAACCTGGTGAGTGAATGTACAGGGAGTGAGTAAATGAATGGGTGGGTGAGTGAATGAACGGGTGAGTGAATGAAAGGATGGGGTTAATGAATTGGGTGAGTGAATAAATAAGTAATGTATGAAATAATGGATGAGAAAACGGATCTGTATAAATAATGAGTGAATGAACATGAAATGGCAAAGTCTTATGTGTGTTTCTTTGGTTCAATGTAAAGTTATGATGTCGGGAGTTATTAATATTGGAGTTTTGTTATATAGATGAGTTCCTCCTCAACACTCATCTTCCATCCCTCACCACTCACCTCCCTCTTTATCCCTCACCACCTAACCCCTCACATCTCACTCCCTCACCATCGTGCGGCAGGGTGAGGGAGAGAACCGAGTACAGGTGTGTGTGATCAACCCGAAGGCGGTGACAGTGGGGCAGCTGTATGGGCAGTTCGACCCCACCTCCCACGAGTGGTCTGATGGGGTCCTGGCCGTAAACTTCCGTAAATTTGCTGTGTCGTCCTCCCCCGACAGGTGAGTTTAGCAACGGAGGTCTATTGTCTTTGATCTGAAGGGTAAGGTCATCTCTTTAAGACAACGAGGTCAGGTAGATGTTATAGTAATTAATTGTGTTGGTGCGAGTAGTTGTACTTCTATTGTGTAAACATGACCTAAGTAGCTGTTGCGTCACTCAATGGTGTAAATAAGACTTCTGACACAACTACTACACCTCTACCACCTCTAGCACTGCTACTCCACCTCGACCACTACTACTCCACCTTTAACACTATTACTCCACCTCTACCACTACTACTCCACCTCTACCACTACTACTCCACCTCTACCACTACTACTCCACCTCTACCACCACCAGAAAGTGGATCGTGCTGGACGGGCCGGTGGACAGCGTGTGGATCGAGAACATCAACTCGGTGCTTGACGACAACAAGAAGCTTTGTCTCATGTCTGGGGAGATCATCTGCCTCTCCTCCACCACCAACATCATCTTCGAGGTCCATCACCTGGAGAACGCTTCCCCAGCTACGGTAAGACCTCCACCAGTTCCTCAATGTTTACCCCGGAGTCTCGACCAGTTAGTTAAAATAAGTGGGGGCAAGGGGGGGGGGGCATTAGTTGTTTACCTTTTAACTAAACAATGACTTTTATTATGCTATTATAAGAATTCCAGGACTTTTGCTATGTATGAAGGAAGAGAAAATTATTTGTTTTATTGATATTTCAAACAATTTTGTTTCCCAAGTAGTTTACCTGACGCAAATTTTATACTACTCCAGGTATCTCGGTGTGGGATGGTATACATGGAGCCCCTGGCGTTAGGTTGGCGTCCTTTAGTGGAGACCTGGCTGGCTAAACTCCCTCAGACACTAACCCAGCAACACAAGGCCGTCCTCACCGCCCTCTTCCACCGCTTTGTTCCTCCTCTGCTCTGCTTCGTCAGGAAACATTTACTCTGGTTCAAGCTGGAGAGGAGTGAGTCGTACGTACAGAAGGGCGTCTCTCCCACCACCGACCTGAACCTCGTCAGGAGCCTCATGAACATCTTCGACTGCTTCTTGGAGGAGTTTACTGACCCCGCCTACACCAAGCACCACCCGGAGTCTGACATACGAGCTCATCTCGAGGTACTCATACTGTTTACCGGGGACAGACAGACAGACAGTCACAGACAAAGATAGACAGACGCAGACAGAGACCTGACAATGATAGAGATGAAGAAAGACAGAAAGACAGACGGAAAGAGACAAACAGACAGAAAGAGACAGACATACAAAGAGACAAAGAAAGATTTGCTCACCGCTATTTTTCACCTTAGTTAAACCTATAACCAAAACTTCCCAAAGAAACTCTCCGGATTGATTTGATATGTTATTCAGTTATCCAGGAGGAAGATCAGAGTACACTTGAGATGACTGTTAGTGTATCGCATCACTACCAGAGTGAAAGAGAGAAAGAATTAGGGTGGGTGTGTCCAGCTCCCTTCCTCAGTCTTGTTCAAAGAGTCTATTCAAAAACAACAACATTAGCACAGAGAACTAAGTCATCTTACTCAAAGGGTTAAGCGAGAATGTCGATTGGCTAGTTCATTGTACACATTAGGCTAGATCATCGTACTCATCTTATTCAGGCCGACTCACTGTACTCACGGGTTTAACTTTACTCTTCACTTCCTCCTTCGTCAGAGCATCTTCCTGTTCTCGGCTATCTGGTCCCTGGGAGGCCCACTGGACGAGGCTTCCCGGGTCAAATTCGACCTCCTCCTACGAGAACTGATCAACGGTGACCCCAGCCAAGCGAGCGTGAAAAAGTGAGACACATTTTCGTTGCTGTTTGATGTCCTTCTCTCTCTCTTTCTCTCTCTCTCTCTCGACGACTCTGTTGCTTCAGTGAGTCTGTACGGGAGAAGAAAGAGAGGAGAGAGAGAGAGAGAGAGAGAGAGAGAGAGAGAGAGCTGTGCATGTGGTCGTATAAACTTGGGTAAAATAAACTGGGGTCAATAATCTTCCAGCGATCCCTATATTCATACACTAGTCATATAAGCAACTCTGGATAGGAGAACCAAACCCCATTATATCCAGTACCAACCCAGGAAACCGTAAAGCAGAGGAGACTAACGAAGGTGGTGATTTCCAGGTACGGGTTAAGAGAGGTACCGCCTCCCCCTCACGACTACCAGCTGCCCATTCCCGACGAGGACACCGTCTTCCACTACAAGTTCGTCAAGGAGGTGTGTGTGTCCCTAGACCATGGCTGTATCCTTCATATAAAGCTTACTATACTCATGTAGAATGAAGGAAAGTGGCGGACCTGTTCATAATGCAACACTCAAAGTAACACGGGAAATCGTTTTCTTTTGATTCACACACACACACACACACACACACACACACACACATACACACACACACACACACACACACACACACATACACACACACACACAAATAAATAGAGAGATAAATAAAAATAAATCAACGAAAAAGAAAAGTACATATCTACAGTTACATACAAACATTCATATTTAGCAAATTAATAATAAATATATAGTGTTACCATTTATATTAACTATTTCCGCAGCTACTGGAGGAATATTTACTAAAACAACTATCACCAGAGGCTTTATTTTGACTTTTTATTAGGTTACTACACAAAATGCGTTCCGAAATCCAAATTTCTTCAGTTACCCTTAAGAAGTCACAGAAAACTGTCTAGAGTGAAGGGTAATTAAAACATACATTAGTGTTTGATCTGGGCGATCTGTCTACGGTGTCTACCAGTACCATCCACTGTTAAAGGATTGTTGCTGCCTGATTTCTTATTTCTGAAGTGTTATGTGTTAATTTTTACCATAAACAGTTGATGTAACAGAAGCGCATTTCATCAGCTATCATGAGATATGACGTAATAATATAAAGTTAAATAGATCTTCAACTACGATGAGATTCCAAGTACCTGTGTTATAATTGTGTGTTAGAAATGTTAACACACGTAAGAGCTATTTTCATTCAACCTGACTAGACTCTATTTTGTCATCCAGAATGAGAGAGAAATATTTTAACTTGAGAATCTTTGAGACTCCGGAGTGTGAGTGAGTGATGGTTTGCTTGCAGGGTCGCGGGTACTGGCAGAAGTGGAGTGAGGACTTGACTAATGCGGCATCTATCCCGAGAGACGTAGCAGCCCATCAGATCCTCGTGCCCACCGTCACCACCGTCCGTGTCGCCGCCCTCCTCAGCCTCCTTCTGTCCCAAGCTAAGCCGCTCCTCCTCGTCGGTCCACCAGCCACAGGGAAGTCCGTCTACGTTGCGGTGAGTGTGATGCTTCAAGTCTCAAAAGCCTTAGATTTCACGTAGATAATAAATTTTGTATCACGTTGGAAAAAAACACTTAAAAACGAATTAGTACAAGGATAAGATGAATGATTAGGTGATAAGACTTTTGTAAATAGTTATTCGTAGATCTGGAACAATTTCCCATATGTCATACAACAAGACCAAAGATAATTGTGTTCATTATATCATTCTTTTGTTGATATTATACGTATTGCAGAGAACATAAGCGTCTCTGTATTACTGTTAATCTCTGAGTAAGAAGCACTTCTATCTCTGTAGGACTTCCTGCGCAACAAGCTGAAGAGTGACGTGTACAAGCCCATGTTCGTGAGCTTCTCGGCCCACACCAACACCACCCACGTCCAGGACCTCGTCATGAGTGGACTGGACAAGCGCAAGAAAGGTGGGTCGGTCACGCCAGCTTTCCCTGCCACATTGTAAGAAGTCTCCATACCTGTGGACATTTTTTATGCCTTATTTAACGTCCGTTTCTTTGGAGTTTGGACGCTAGTAGCTGATTCCCAAAGTGGGTCCCAAAGGCCTGAAGCTTCGTTAGGGTTATGGGCAGCGAGAGTCGGGAACAATGAATATCAAACCTCGGTACACAGTGAGGCAGTGTGGCTGACTACTCGACCTCTTTCACTTCCCAACTTTACACTCAATACTCATTCACAGCTGTGTCGACTGGGGGTGCACTGAGCATGAACCAGCGGCCATAAGGTCGGGAAGTGAATGGTGTATCTGCTCATCCGCCGCACCCTCTTGCATCATAATATAAAAGATAAAAATTCAAACCTGTCATTTCCTTGTGATTTATGATACACATGAAGGTGTTTGTTATCGCTGTACCTTCACCTGTCCATATATACATTCCCTGTAGCCTTGTCAGGTGTGTGTACGATATATCTCCACATTAATCATCTACTACCCTGAGTGTTCTCCACACCTGCGACAGGTGTATACGGGCCGCCTGTTGGCAAGAGGTGTGTGCTGTTCGTGGATGACCTCAACCTGCCACAGACGGACGCCTTCGGTACTCACCCACCCCTGGAGCTCCTCCGCCAGCTGGTCGACCATGCCACCTGGTACGACATCAGGAAGGAAGTTGAGCCCATCCGTCTGGAGGACATGCAGGTAGGACCACCCGCCGCCACGCCCACAGAACCTTAACTACAACCATCTCACACCCTTACTGTTAGGACTTATGTTTACTAGAGTCTTATGTGCTGATATATTGATGGATGTGTTTATATGATCTGAAGGAGACGGCAGTAATCTCTGGTTGTTCGGTTGACTGTACTGAAGATGTAAGAAGAGAGATACCAAGCTAATTCTATTTTTCATTGTGCCCTAAAAATATGTTAAAACACCTCCCCCTCCCTGCCCTCAGCTGGTGTCGACCATGAGTCTGCGGGACAGCGGGAGGACTCCCCTCACCCCTCGCCTCCTGCGGCACTTCAACGTGATCGCCGTCAACGACTTCGACGACCCCACCATCCAAGCTATATTCTCCAAGGTATGTGAGTGTGTGTGTGTGTGCGCGCGCACGTGACGACAGAAGGTCCTACTGAAAGAGTATATAATCCAGACACTCGTAGTTAGAACAAGATAATGTACAACAAAGTAAAAAGTACCTACGTATATATGTTCATAACTTCTACAGCTGAATGATGCCATATTTTCGTCATGTTTACCTGGTAATTCGCCCCACAGATCTTGTTGTGGCACTTGGACACACGAGGCTTCAGCAAGATGTTTGACCCTTGCATCGGGGAGATCGTCTCAGGCACACTGGAGGTGTACCGCGCCGCAGCCATCCACCTCCGACCCACACCCTCACGCTCGCACTACATCTTCAATCTCAAGGACTTCTTCAGGGTCATCCAGGTTAGTCACGCCCTTCTAGGAATATAAACCAGATTTTTCACTTTCCTTCCTCGTCATGATAATATTGCCAATGGGGTTAGTAGCAAGTAACCTGACGAAGACTATCCAGCGTCGACGTCTCCACAGGGGGTACTACTGTCGGTGCCGGAGACGATGGAGGACCTGCGCTCCATGAAGAAGATGTGGATACACGAGGTCCTGAGGGTGTTCTACGACCGCCTGGTGGACAGTGCAGACCGTAGGTGGCTCCTCGACCGTGTCTCTTCCGCCTGTACCAGCCACTTGAATGAGAACTTCCACCAGCTGTTGACAGAGCTCGATGAAGATGGTGATGGAGAGGTCAGTGGTGGTGGTGGTATTGCTGTTGTGGTTGTGGTGTTGTTGTGGTGGTGGTGTTGTTGTGGTGGTATTGTGGTTGTGGTGGTGGTGTTGTGGTGGTGTTGTGGTGGTGTTGTGGTTGTGGTGTTGTTGTGGTGGTGGTGGTGTTGTGGTTGTGGTGTTGTTGTGGTGGTGTTGTGGTTGTGGTGGTGTTGTGGTGGTGGTGTTGTTGTGGTTGTGGTGTTGTTGTGGTGGGTTGTAGAGGGTGTTGTGGTTGTGGTGGTGTGTTGTGGTTGTGGTGGTGTTGTTTGTGGTGTTGTTGTGGTGGTGGTGTTGTTGTGGGTGGTATTGTGGTTGTGGTGGTGTTGTGGGTTGTGGTGGTGTTGTGGTGGTGTTGTGGTTGTGGTGTTTTGGTGGTGTTGTTGTGGTGGTGGTGGTGTTGTGGTTGTGGTGTTGTTGTTGTGGTGGTGTTGTGGTTGTGGTGTTGTTGTGGTGGTGGTGGTGTCGTGGTTGTGGTGGTGTTGTGGTTGTGGTGGTGTTGTGGTGGTGGTGTTGTTGTTGTGGTTGTGTTATGGTAGTGTTGTTGTTTGTGGGATGTAACTTGTATTTAGCACTGGTAGTCTTCGTTTTCTTAACTATGTATGATTTTAACCTTTTTAAATACGATATCAACCCCCAGAGTAGAATGAATTAACCCATTAAAGGAAATTATTTTAACCTCTTGAGTACGATACCCTTAACCCATTAAATACAATAACTTAACCCTTGAAGTACGTATGATATCACAACAAATAGAATACGATAACTTACTTCCTTGTTTACATTTCACCGTCACTCCTTGGCTCTGTCCTTCCCGCCATGGCAGGTATCGGAGGGAGATCTACGGAACCTGGTGTACTGTGACTTTGCTGACCCCAAGAGTGAGAGTCGACACTATGTACAGGTGAGTGAATGAACCCAAGAGTGAGAGTTAATATCTAGAGAGTTAACATTACTATATACGGGTGATTAATTGGCCCCTAAGAGTCAGTGTTGTTTTACCTGTAATTATAACGTAAAGGTGAGACGTATGGTGTAGCGTTACCTGTACTCTGGATGGTTCTGCTTCCTCTGCCAGGTGGAGGATCTGGAAGGTCTGAGGTCGGTGGTAGAAGGTTACCTACACGAGTTTAACAACATGAGCAAGAAGCCGATGAACCTGGTGATGTTCAAGTGAGTTACTGTAGGGACACACACACACACACACACACACACACACACACACACACACACACACACCTGACTTTGGGAAGAATTTAGTTTGAGTGTCATCCGAAGACAGAGTGAGAGTGAATATGAGTGAGAAGAATTATTGTGAGAGTGAATGTAATAGCGAGAGTGTGGAGTGTGAGAACGAATGAATGTGAGGTGAGTGAGTGAGTGAGTGAGTGAGTGAGAAGAGGAAAGAGAGAGAAAGAGAGAGAGAGAGAGAGAGTGAGAGAGAGAGAGAGAGAGAGAGAGAGAGAGAGAGACATACCATCGCTACCATCTCCTTCAGGTTCGCCTTGGAGCACCTGGCGCGTGTCTGCCGGGTCTTACGTCAACCCCGAGGCCACGCCATGCTAGTAGGCGTGGGCGGCAGCGGCAGACACTCCCTCACACGCCTCGCCTCCCACATCACCGACTATGAGCTCTTTGAAGTAAGTGAAATGAAAACAAAACAACATCATGATCCGTTATTACCTTCGTCTGGTGTATGAAGGGAATTTCTGTTAACAGGTATCTCTGTTTACTTACCGTTGTGTCACTAAACGGAGATTCATGTAATCAATTTAATCTTTAAAATCATGGGGAATCGGGAGTACATCTATGTGAAATAACGGTAAATCGGGAGTAAATCTGAGAAATAACTCGGGCTTCTGTTTAATATGAGGCAGATTTAGCCCCCTTAAATTAAATCGGCACTTTAAATTTACTATTTATAGAATTCCGATTTGAATTTGTTGTACGTGAGTGAATAATAACCAGATTTTCCAGATTTTGCAGTTAATATATGGCAGATTTCCTTCGTCAGGTGGAGATGAGTAGGAGTTACGGCATTACTGAGTGGCGGGAGGACCTCAAGACTATCCTGAAGAAGGCGGGTACGGGAGAACAGCATGTGGTGTTCCTCTTCAGTGACACCCAGGCGAGTATCTCTCTTTCTCTCTCTCTCTCTTATCTATTGTCTTGAGTGATATAGATATAAACATAACACACTCACTCACTCACTCACCTACCAACACACACACACACACACACAAACACACACTACTCGCATTACTCTGAATCTAAACTCCAACTTAAAGCTATTCCTCAGATCAAGGACGAGATCTTCCTTGAGGCCATCAGCAGTATCTTGAGCATCGGCGAGATACCTGGATTGTACCCTACTGACGAGAAGCACACCATATGTGACAAGATGAGGAACATTGACCGCCAGAGAGACAAGAGCAAGCAGGTATGTGTGTGTGTGTGTGTGTGTGTGTGTGTGGTGGGTGTGTCTGTGTGTGTGTGTGTGTCTGTGTGTGTGTGTGTGTGTGTGTGTGAGACAATCATTTAGCGTGTAGGTTGATGGTGTTGGTGTCCACAGACTGATGGGAGCCCCGCGGCGCTGTGGACACTGTTTGTGGAGCGAGTGAGGGAACAGCTTCACGTGGTCTTGGCTATGTCTCCCTGTGGTGAGGCCTTCAGAAACCGTCTCCGCAAGTTCCCCGCCCTCCTCTCCTGCTGTACTATTGATTGGTTCCAGGTAACTCTCTCTCTCTCTCTCTCTCTCTCTCTCTCTCTTTCTGTGGTCAAAGTAAACAATACATCTCTTACTCTATAAAAAATATTATTATTTCGTCGATATAGCCTCCATCTTCCTGACGTAGGCGTGGCCAGAGGACGCCCTTGAAGCCGTGGCCCTGAGACTGTTACAGGGGGTAGAGCTCCCTGCAGAGACTCTTAAGGGCTGTGTGTCTCTGTGTCAGTATTTCCACACCTCCACCCAGGACCTCTCCGACAGGTAAAGTTATTAACAAGTTTTCACCTTTTTCCACAACCTGATCCACTGGTTAGGTTAGGTTGGCTTGGCTTGGGATAGGATAGGATAGGATAGACTGGATTAGGTTGGATTAGCTCAGGTCAGGTTAGGTCAAATAAGATCAAGTAACAGATCACTAATTAACAGGTGATGTTCCCCCCACAGGTTCTTGACACACCTGCGCCGCTACAACTACGTCACTCCCACCTCCTACCTGCAGCTCCTCCACACCTACATGGTCATCCTCGAACGCCGCCGAGGGTGAGTTCTCCTTCTCAAGCCCTCATTCAAGTGTTTACATAATATTGGTAAAATTAGCTCGTGTTTTATAAGTATTGATAAAAGTAGTGTAAGTTTGTCTGTCTTGGTTTATCAGTTATCTTCTTTCTTCTTTATGAACATTGTATCATTATGACTTATGTACGTGATGACCTATGTACGTGATGACTTATGTACGTGATGACCTATGGACGTGATGACCTATGGACGTGATGACCTGTGGACGTGATGACCTGTGGATGTGATGACCTATATACAGTACGTGATGACCTATGTACGTGATGACCTATGTACGTGATGACCTATGGACGAGATGACCTGTGGACGTGATGACCTGTGGATGTGATGACCTATGTACGTGATGACCTATGGACGAGATAACCAATGTACGTCGTGACCTATGGATGTGGTGACCTATGGGCATGATGACCTATTTACGTGATAACCAATGGACGTGATGACCTATGGACGTGGTAACCTATGGACGTGATGACTTACAAACGCGAAAACCTATGAACGTGATAACCAATGTACGTGCTAACCTAACTCAACCTAACCTAACCAGGGAGGTCAAGAAGCAAGAGTGCCGCTACACAACAGGTCTAGCTCGCCTGGAGGAAGCCGAAACCTCCGTCCTGGCAATGCAACAGGAGCTTCTCAACCTGCAGCCCATCCTACTGACCAAGACCCGGGAGGTGGAGGAGAAGATGGCCGTAGTAGAGAAGAGGAGAGGCGAAGTGGCAGAGGTCAGTCAACACGTCATTCTTTTAGTGTTTTGGTTGAGGATTCTTTTAGGATATTTTGAGATTTGTCCTGAAGGAGTCTCGTGGGATCTTTGCAGTGTTTTTGGAGAGAGAGAGAGAGAGAGAGAGAGAGAGAGAGATATGAGGATAGAGAGAGACACAGAGAGAGAAAGAAGAGAGAGAGAGATACAGTAGCAAGCAGACAGGTAACCCAACACTTAACACAGGTAGAGCGAGTGGTGCGACAAGACGAGGAGGTGGCCAACGAAGCAGCGGAGGCAGCCAATGGCATCAGGAAGGAGTGCGAGGCTGAGTTGAACCTGGCTCTCCCGCTACTGGAGGAGGCTACAGTTGCTCTTAACACCATCAAACAGGACGATATTGTCTTCATCAAGGCCATGAAGAATCCCCCATCTGGTGTTAAACTCGTGATGGAAGCTGTCTGTGTCCTGCTTGTAAGTACTAAACCTAAACTAACCTAAACTAACCTAATCTATCTTTAACTTAACCTAACCTTGTGAATCTTGTTTATATTTTGTTATTTACAGACTATCTCCACTAACTGGTCAACTGAATTAAGTGGCTGTGATTGCGTCTATCAGTTTGTCCCTACACCAACAAGTTACTGTACTACCTCATCTAAGTTAATAGATTCTCCTCCTTGTATTTCTGCGTTCATTTTACAATAGTTCATTCCTTTATGTTTGATCTACACCATCCACACTTTACACCAAGCCAAGATGTCCTTCAGTCACTAAGTATCTCTAATAAACTGGTAATTTTTCATGAACTATTTTTACGTGTACTTTAGACGAGCCTCTTAGGTACTGACGCTCTGGTTGGTGTTTCCCTCAGGGCGAGAAACCAGACCGGGTACCGGATCCTCAGGGCACCGGTAAGATGGTGGAGGAGTACTGGTCCGTCAGTAAGCGTCTACTGGGTGACATCAAGTTTAAGGTACTGTACTGTATGTCTGTCTCTCTATACCTCCCTGTGATGATGCAATTAACAAAACACTGGAATATTTTAATTGATGAGTTGATCTTTTTAAAAGCCTTCGGTGATACTCCAGCAGCCTCGTCCCAGAAAGATCATTGGCACCGAGTTCTTTCATTATTTTCTTCTTTCTTTCATCTCATACAAGTACTTAAACTATTTCTATCATTAAAATTCATAGTCAAAATCTATGGATATACTTGTGTCTTCACGTCCACCTGCTTATATCTTCACGTCCACCTGCTTATGTCTTCACGTCCACCTACAGGAGAACTTACTGAACTTCGATAAGGAGAACATAAGCCAGAAAGCCATCCAGACGATACGTTCCAACTACCGCGACAACCAAGAGTTTAAGCCAGAGAAGATTATGGTGGCGTCCAAGGCGGCGGAGAGTAAGTGATGACTCTCTCTCTCTCATACAGTTTACAGACTTAACTTATGACTTTGCGAGAGATTTGTTAGGGATGATTTTATGTGGAATGTTTTGTATTATATTATAGCAGTTACATATACTTGTACACACTGATCATGAGAACGTGTGTGTGTGTGTAGGTCTGTGTAAGTGGGTGTTGGCGATGGAGAGGTACGAGGAGGTGGACCGCAAGGTGGCGCCCAAGAGGGAGGCCTTACAGCGTGCAGACCAGCAGTACCAGGGCCTGATGGGTGAGCTGCGTAAGAAACAGGAGGCACTGAGGGGCGTCCAGGAGGAGTTGGCAGGTCTCCAAGCAGAGCTAGACACAGTGAAGAAGGAGAAGCTGGAACTGGAACAGACGGTGAGTGTCCCAGTAGTGGAACTTGATGCATGGTGAGACTTAACCAGTCTTACTGTTATGGTCTCTTTAAAACCCTTCATTTAACCTCACTTGTGTATATTATAAGTAAGATTGTTGGTTTAGGTGAAGATATGTTAGTCTCTCTCTTTCTCTCTCTCTCTCTCTCTCTCTCTCTCTCTCTCTCTCTCTCTCTCCACGTGTACTTCACAAACATAAGGGTCATCCTACAGGTGGAGTTGTGCAGCATCAAGAAGGACCGGGCGGAGCAGCTGCTGGCGGCCCTGGGGGGAGAGAAGACCCGATGGACGGACAACGCTCACCACCTGGCGCAGGTGTACATCTTCCTCACAGGTTACACATTCTATTTACACCTTTGAGTCTCCTGCTTGCATTAGATGACAGTTATTACCACCAACTGTACATTTGATCTTAATAACCTCAAGCATAACATATAAATATAATCCACCTGTTAGTGACATCCGCTGACTGAGGACTTAACCCCCTGTAGGTGACATGCTGCTGGCGGCGGGAGTCATCGCTTACTTAGGAGCCTTCACACCTGAGTACCGGGCGGAGCAGACGACTCGGTGGCTGCAGGAGTGTCGGGAGAGAGGCGTCCCTTGTTCTGGGGAGTTCGTGCTTGCCTCGGTCAGTCCTCCACCTGTGTTGTCTCATACTGGTGACGATGATGAAAGATACTGCTCCCACAGGTGATGATGGCGAGATACAGTAATTGTTTTCCTTCTGCAGGTGCTGGGAGACCCCCTCACTATCCGGGACTGGACGCTCAATGGGCTGCCCACCGACCCCTTCAGCATAGACAACGGCGTCATCATCAGGTAAGTTTGTGTACAACCTGACCATACAGAGAAAAAAATTTATCCACTTAAGCCCCAATAACATTAATATCTAGAGCACTTACAGTTAAACAGTTAGACAAACCAAGACAGTAAATAACAGTTTGTGTGTGTGTTTGACTGGTCAGCAACACGACGAGGTGGCCGCTGTTAATCGACCCTCAAGGACAAGCCAACAAGTGGATCCGTAACATGGAGAAGGACAACTCTCTCCAGGTAGTCAAGCTCTCTGACCCAGACTTTATCCGCACCTTGGAGAACTGCATACAGTTTGGTCAGCCCGTGAGTATACTCTGTGGCTCCTCGTGTATAAACTCCTCCCGTGACGTAATAATAATGCATAAACTTTCTCTTGTGCACAGACACACAGAAAACCTCTTGGTATGTTTTCCTAAAGATGGTCATTGTCTGTGTGGTGGTTCAGGTGTTGCTGGAGAACGTGGGGGAGGAGCTGGACCCTATTCTGGAACCTCTCCTGCTCAAACAGACCTTCAAGCAGAGCGGCTCCACCTGTATCAAGCTTGGGGATGCCACCATCGAGTACTCCGCCGACTTCAGGTAAGAGAGATACACCTGTCATAGTGAAGAATGACGTTAACTGTGTAGGGTGACTTCTATATCTAGGGTGACTGTACTAGGGTGACTGTACCACTACCTAACTGCCGCAGGATGTACTTAACTACGAAGCTGAGTAACCCCAACTACGTGCCAGAGGTGTCAGTCAAGGTCACCCTCGTCAACTTTGCCCTTACTGGTGCCGGCCTCGAGGACCAGCTACTCGCCCTCGTTGTCGCTCACGAGAAGCCAGAGCTAGAGGAAGAGAGAGTCACGCTGATGCTTCAAACTGCTCAGAATAAGAAGTAATGTTCACGCACCAGATTGTTGTGTTTATATTGAGTAAAATTAATACACGTTATAAATTAAGGTCATTAGGTTTAAAGTTCATACAGTTCAAAACAAGAAAAAGGTGGGAGGTGGAGAGTAAGAGAAGAGAGAAAGAGAGAATAAATTAATTACCTTCTACCCCCCCAACCCCCCCTCCACTCCCTTCTCTCCTTCCCTCTTCTGTCTTCCATCCCCATACTCCACCACCCCTACTCCTCTCCACCACCGCCTCCATCCCCTTCCTCCTCCTCCTCCTCTCCTACCCAACACCCCCCACCAGGAACCTGAAGGAGCTGGAGGACCGGATCCTATCGACGTTGTCCTCCTCCAAGGGCAGTATCCTGGAGGACGAGACAGCCATCAACATCCTGAGTGACGCCAACAGGCTGGTGAAGGAGACACAAGAGAAACAAACCATCGCTGAGGAGACGGAGAAGAAGGTGAGAGAGAGAGAGAGAGAGAGAGATGGTGAGGAGAGATGGAGAGAAGGAGAGAGAGAGAAAGCAAGATAGAGAAATAAAAAGAGAGAGGTAAAGAGAGAGATATATAAATAAAGAGAAAGAGATAAGGAGAGATTAAAAAAGAGAAAGATAGAGATAAAGAAAGAGAGAGAAGAGAGATAAAATGGAAAAGAAAAAGACTGAGGAACATGACAAAGACAAAGTCATATATCTTTACCTGTACCCTATATCTACACTATAGTATAATATCCTGACTATCTCACCTCAGGTATCAATTAATGCTGTACTGCTCATCACCGCTACCAGACTACCTTTGTCAGTTCCAATGGCTCTGCTGTCTCCCCTCTCTCAAGGTATGACGCGTCTCTCTCTCTCTCTCTCTCTCTCTCTCTCTCTCTCTCTCTCTCGGCCTGTTCCTTACCCCCTGCTCCAACCTCTTCCCAGCACCTGGTGGATCAGTTCCCGCAGCACCTGCAGTGGCGGGAGGTGTTCGAGTCGGAGAAGCCCACAGAAAGACCATCCGTGTGAGGAAGGAGACGAGATCGCCCGCATGCAGCTCTTGTGTATTCTTCGGTGTCTCCGCCCGATAAAGTGGTGGCAGCCATCCAGGACTTTCGTTGCGGGTAGGTTAGGTTTGTGTGTGTGTGTGTGTGTGTGTGTGTGTGTGTGTGTGTGTGTAATCAATCAATATAATGGATACAAAAGGCAAAAGGATAACTATCATAAGGTAAACAAAGTCAGAAATCAGGAACTGTATGAAAGTAAATAAAAAAAGTAACATCGCCAACTATAAAACATAAACATAACTAACACCAGCTTTTGGTTGTCCCTCCGACAGACCTCCTGGGGAAGGCGTACATTGAACCACCTCCCTTTGACCTGGCCCGCACCTTCACCGACTCCAACTGCTGCCTCCCCCTCATCTTCCTCCTCACCCCAGGAGCTGACCCCACCAACCTCCTCCTCAAATTCGCCGAGGATCAGGTAGGTTAGGTTAGGTTAGGTGCGTTACCAGAGAGGCTCTTATTAAAGGGTACCTGGGTGTCCGTGTGTACTAGTCTGCCAGGTGGGATGTGTGGTGCTAGGTTTAGTGTTGTGTACTGTCACGTTTCTTGTGTATATAGGAAACATGTGTAAGGTAGAAGAGAGTTTATATGATATTAAGCTCAGGTCTACCAAACTACTTAGTCACAGCGATGTTCATGAAGCCCTCAGGCCCTCCGACGGTTCCTGAGGCTCTTGGCATCCTTGAGACCCTTAACGACCTTGATGTGGCCCTAACGCCCCCCTTCTCCTGGGCAGGGTATGGGAGGGGACCGGCTACAGAGTGTGTCGCTAGGTCAGGGGCAGGGACCAGTGGCCAGACGCCTGATCGAGGAGGGAGTGAGGATAGGAACTTGGGTCCTCCTCCAGAACTGCCACCTCGCCAAGTCCTTCATGCCAGATCTCGAGAAGGTTAGTACAAAGGTCGGCTACTCCTGTTTTAACCACTTTTCTGATGGTATATACCATGAAGTATCCTTCCTCCCCTCCTCATTATGTCTCACTCCCGGGTCACCTCAGCTGTGTGAAGACCTCAACCCAGATACGACTCACTCAGACTTCCGGCTGTGGCTCACGAGTTACCCATCAGCTCACTTCCCTGTCTCCGTCCTGCAGTCCAGCATCAAGATGGTCACGGAGCCACCCAAGGGACTCAAGGCCAACCTCAAGAGGTAATAGTGACCCATGTAAACCGCCCGGAAGATACTGATAATTGTATTAGATATTTTCACCACAAATGACATAAATTGATGCATCTCTTGTGGTTAATGAGTCGCGTAACAGCTCGACTGCTTCTCCTTGCCTACCTCAGACTCTACCTGGCGGATCCTCTGTCAGAACCAGAATTCCTGCATGGATCCGGGTCCTCTGAGAGATTCCGTCGCCTGGTGTACTCCCTCTGTTTCTTCCACGCCGTCGTCCAGGAGCGTCGCCTCTTCGGACCTCTCGGTTGGAACGTGCCGTACTCCTTCTCCGACACCGACCTCAGGATCTCCTCCCAGCAGCTCCGTAACCTTCTGGATTCTTATGTGGTATGGCGCCGTTGTCTTGTTTGTCATGTGTGCAGTTTTATCCTGACTTTTTATGTGTTCTTTTATGTCTTTTATTTTGTTTATTACAGGATTGTTTGTTTTTTATAATTTGTGGGTCTTGTTGGCCTCATAGTTTGTGTTTATACATAATGTGTACAAAGTTAAAACGATTAGTATTTAATTCATTAATCAGTTAGCCTAAACACTTAATGCCTCCTCTTATGTTTATCCATCAAGATTATTATCTTTCTTTAACATGTTGAGGTTTGTCGAGTCTTTCAGCTTAAATGTTTCTATCTGTAAATATTTAACTCCTTCACTCACACCTGTTCTACTAATACCTATAAAAATATCTAACTTCCTTAACACTCTAGAGTAACACAACTACACTGACCACCCTCTATTAAATGGTTTCCCTCGGCTTCTAAATGATACACCTTAGTCACCCCTGAACCATCTATATTCACTCCACCTTGCTTCAGTAGCCTCTGTCACCCATACACACGATCCTCTTACGTAGTGATAGAAACTCAGTTGTGTTCTTACATCTTAGTCAGTGGTAGAGAATCTTCAGACAACAGTGTATACAAAGTCCTTCCGAGAGCCGTGAGTCGTAGCGTTTAGTAGTTAATACTTAGTCTATAATATGTTATTCATTTACACATAATGAATATTTTATCCCCTGTTCCCTCTGGCTGGACTCTTGCTTCATCCATGGTGAGCAAATGTTCCTGACAGTCTGAGAGACACTGATAGAGTCTACCCACTCATGATGGCAGAGTGTCATGGGTTCTCTTTTTTGATATATGTAAATACTTTTATCATGTAGCAGAGACACCAGCTTGAGACCCCCACTGGCCAGTATGCATGTGAGGAACACCTCTCTTTTGTCATGTGAGTGACTGTCCCAGACAACAGCCACTACCTTCCTCGGGGTCCTCACCTACCCCCTCACTCTCTGCTTCACAACACCACAAATTATAGGTTCTGGTGACATAAACTTTGGGTGAACTCACTCTCACAGGATGAGAGAAACTTTTTCAGTGAGGAAGAGAGAGGGAGCTGAAAGTATTTACCTCTCTGATCACACCAGCGTCACCCTGACCCACCGATACTGTATACTGGGTGTTAGAAGTAGTTACTGTTCTTCGTCAGGACTGTCTAAGGAGGCCACCGTAACACTTCCTTCTTCTCTAGACTCCTGTAGCTCTGACATCATCTGCTCAAGACTTAAAGATGAAATCCGAACTGTTCATATCCTCACAAAAATACCAAACACATAACCCGGTGTCCCTACAGGTGGAGATCCCAAGCAAGACAGAGGGCATCTCCCTCCTGCCGTCACAGACACACTCGGTGATGAACGAGAGAAGTTGACCTTGAGAACACAGAAGACACTTAGCATTATTCTTTCCTTCTGTACTGAAGTATTTAGGTAATGACTATATCTTAAAATTGTAGATCCGCAAAAGACTCTTTAACTTTTTTGTTTACATTACATTACATGAACAAATACAGTACATCTTTAAAGACAGCGACAACTTACACAAGAGACGCCTCCACTGTCTGTGTTTGTTCTTCTTGTGAGGATGTTGATGAGACTGGACGTAGTTGTAAATAATGTAGTATGATGTAGCTTGTAGTCTGACCTTACCTTGGAGTCAGGTAAGTGATCTTTTACTCTCATAGCATTAAATTACATTCCAAAGTGACGGATAAGATAAGATAAATAATGATCAGTTTAGCATTACTTAATAACCGCTAAATAAGTATTGAAGTCAGACGGCGTCCCCGGTACTAACTTGTTCGTGCGGTTAATAAATTCAGACTCTTCCTCGTGTGTTAATAAATAAATATTTTGTTCATTAACTAGACCAAACTAATGAAAGGCGAGAGTTGAGGAGCAGCACCTGGTAAAGAATCACTACAAGGTATACTATCAGATGTGTTGCCACCTGCAGGAGATCCCGTGGGAGGCGCTGCAGTACCTGACGGCTGAGTGTAACTACGGCGGGAAGGTGACAGACGAGCGTGACCGTCGCACCCTGAGTACCATCCTGAGGCGCTTCTATAACCCCGAGGTGGTGGACGGCGACCCTCACTCCTTCGACCACCTGGGTGAGTAACGCCGCGTCCCCAGGTGCTTACCGCTGACACCTGACTCACAGTGCCCTCTGACGGCGAGACTATATAGCAAACTAACACTAACAACTAACACAGTATCCCATGGTGGTAAGACTATACACAAAAAAATACCCTAAGCAAATCTGTGTACAAGACTTAACGAACAGTATCCATCCCCCCCTCCACCTTCCGCCCTACCGTGCCTCTCTTGCTCATGCTACTCGTGTGGCTGTTTCCTAACACTCACTGTCCCTCCCCCGGCAGGTGTGTACACAACGCCGAGTGACGGGGACCACGCCCACTTCCTAGAGCACATCTCGGAGCTGCCCCGCGACGCTCCTCCTCACGTCTTCGGCATGAACAGCAACGCCAGCATCAACAAGGACCAGGCCGAGACCAACAAGCTCTTCTCCGCCGTCCTCCTCACCCAGGCTAGTCCACTTTCTCTCTTCTCTCCCCCATCAGGTGAATCTTCGTTGAGTGGCTCTGTTCACTTGTTATTTATTAGGGCAGAACAACGTGTTATTCATATACTAGGGTGTGCCAGAAGTGTGGTTGGGTCAGCCTGTCCCTACGTGTGTGTGTGTGTGTGTGTGTGTGTGTGTGTGTGTGTGTGTGTGTTATTATAAAATATAAATCAATTAGTCATCAAATCATCCAAAATATAAAAGGCAAAACAGAATAAACAAAACAGACAGAAATCAATGGATAAGAAATGTTTCGTCACGATGCAATACATTTTGATTCTTCCAACATTTTGTTTTTGTGTCTAACATTCTCAGGACATTATGAGCGTAGAATCTCCCCTAACAGGAGGTAACATGCTAACACCTGGTGTATATAATGATCAAAATACCTGCAGGCGACGTCGTTGTCTTCAGGAGACGGCGGGGGCGGGGATGGTGACTCTGTGGGCAGGACGTGTGAGGAGATCCTTGGCCGCATCCCTCCAGCCTTCCACGTGGACGCCGCCCTGGCCAAGTACCCGACCATGAGAGAGCAGAGCCTCAACACGGTGCTGGTGCAGGAGATGAGTCGCTACAACACCCTCATCCACACCATCACCAGCACCCTCAGCGCCGTCCTCAGAGCCATCGAAGGTCAGTCCTCACACCTCCTCACGGGGTCACGGTGGCTTTACCTCGGGTCAAACTAGTTCAAACAGGCACAAGTAGAGTCAAATATATAATCATATGAAAATAAAGACTTTCAATTAAACTAACACAAAGTTCGTTGCAAGGAATAAGACCGTTGAAGATAGACTACAGGGTGTTAGATTATGCTGATTAAATTTCCACAGTGAATCAAGTGAAATTTTGGGATAACATCATCATCTTAAATGTCTGTTTGTATGTCTGTGTCTCCCAGGTACTGAGAGTCTGTCGGAAGAGGTGGAAGAGGTGTTGGTGGGCGTGAGGACTGGTCGGGTTCCTTCTATGTGGCGGGCCAGGTCCTACCCCACCCTCAAAGGACTCGGCTCCTACATCACCGACCTCGTACAGCGGCTACAGTTCCTTCAGGTACAGTGTTAGGATACCTGTTAGTTCCTACAGGTACACTGCTAGAATGAGTAATTCCTACACGTACTCCTACAAAATGTGTATATAGTGATGTTATGCTGGTGTTATATAGTGTGTTGATGTTATTATGAGACTTTAAAAAGCGGGTGTTGTAGGTTAATCTATATTTTACAACTCTCAAAATCTGGTGTATGCTGTTATAATACTCGTATGTTACTATAAATCAACAACTAAGGCCTTAAAGCCTAAAATCCTCCACAGTGATGAATTTCCTGAAGTCTGTACTCAAAAATTGTCTCGTTTTCTGTGAAATTAAGTGACGTAGATGAAACGATAGGGAAAACTATTATATCTTCGGAGAGAACCACGAGGTGTCCCGTAATGATAAATTAAACCACTATTTTGCATTCTGTTCCAATAACTCTCGGTCTAAACCATCCTCTTTTATATTGATAGTAATATAATAAGTACACTGTTATTGTTTGTTACTGGTGGTGGTTAAGGCTTGATAACAACACCACCTGTAGCTCGTAAGTCGTGACGCAATCTTAAACTAATTACATTCTCAGACTTCCTCTTCCCCGTATAGTGTCGTCAGAACATAAAGCGATATTACGTGAAAGGCTTCATTAATAATTTATAATGCGAGCATAATGAAGGAAGTGTGTCATTATGTGTTACTATACATAGGTTGTTTTAGTTAGGGTGTTGTTGTATCCTAGAGTGCTAAGAGAATTGTGCAACAAGCTTGCAGAGCCCCTGAAGAGCCTGTTTTGTAAATGTCTGGATGAACAAAAGGTCCCCAGTGAATGGAAAGTGGCTTATGTGAGTCCTATCTTCAAGAAAGGCGATCGTGACTCCACGAACAACTATAGACCAGTGAGCCTGACCAGCATAATATGTATAAGCATCTCAGGGGGCACTACTCAGTTGAGTGTCCTTACTTGGAGCTGGCGGACGCTCGCCCCACAAGGGGTCACAGCTCAAGATTGAAGAAGCCGCAAGTCTAGAAAACCGTGAGGGCAAACTTTTTCGGAGTGAGGGTTGTAAACTCTCGGAACAATCTACCAGAGAGTGTTGTGATGGCACCGAGTGTGAGCTCTTTCAAGACAAGACTTGACCAACACTGGAGCGGGTTCAGGTACATTCAGGAGCCGGTGCATGCCCAGTATTTGCCAACTGTGCGTGACAGAGACGTGACCGATCGCCCGGGCGGCTAGCGAGCCGATCTTTTGGTGAAGAAGATAAATGAAAAGGAAAAGTAATCAGAGACGTGACCGATCGTCCAAGCGGCTAACAAGCCGATCAGTGACGAAGAGGATAAAAGCAAAAGTAAAAAGTAAAAGTTGTTACGGTGTTAGGATGGGCTTGCTTTTACATTAGTTAAATTTAATGATGTTAATTTGTTCTTCACTTTAAAGGGAATAATGTGATGAGTGTTGTTAGAGTGTGGTTTGTTGTGTCTGAAGTACTGCTGTTATTGTCTTGAATTAGATAATGGTTTAGAAATTACTATTGTGTTTGTGGTAATACCCAAGGGAGGACTGTTATGTGAAATACAGTATTTTTAAGACTTGAATTGTTTATTGTATTTTTTCTATTATACACACACACACACACACACACACACACACACACACACACACAAACAAGGGTGATAAAAAGAGAAAGAAAAAAGAGAAAAGGAGAGAAAAAGGAGAGGGGTAGAAATATATCGAGTACAACCCAGTACAAAACGTCTTCTTTATCACAACCATTGATCGTCACCAACAACAACAGCGCACTCAACCACGAAGCATTATTATATATCTCCTTAAACTACGACAAATGGTATATAAAATAACAAAGAAAATACCTATATAAATGAAAGAGATGAATTACTTTCTTCGTCACATAAATTCGTCCCATAAAAAGTGGCAGAGGGATAAGGAGTTTATTATTTATGACCAGCCACCTAGTCAGTCAGCTATTGTTGTTGTGGTGTAGGCGACCCGTGACGTAGCGCCTTCATTGTGTTCTTACCTTCACTAGAGCGCGTCAGTAAATCACGCTAGCTGTTGGTATTTTCAGAGCTGTGACCTTGTCCTTTCAATCCCTCGAACTTTAAAGATGGTAGTGTGTGTATGTGTGTGTGTGTGTGTTAAACATGACAATCGTATATACCTCTAGGCTGTTCCCGGGTTATACTGTGGATTTTCTTTGTTAAATACAGATGTTATTGACGCGAGCCCCTAGGCATGACCTAATAACAACAAAACAACGACATTAAGAACAATAGACTGTTACCTGCCTCAACTCGTTACCACAACGTGTGCTTCTGTACCTACCATGGCCATACTTTCTACATAACCACCTGATTAGTGGTTTATTTTACTAATGATTATCACTAACAAAAAACGAGTTTGAATTTACTTAATAAACGGGAAATAAGCCTAGGTCCCCCGCGCTTTTGTCGGTTTGGGTAAATTTACTAAAAAATATCACTAAACTACGTGTGAAACTCCCCTTTAAATCAACCATGACTAAGGCTTGTTATTCACCTGAGACTCAAATGTTCATAACTCACCTGAGACTCACCTGAGACTCCCTTACGCCTCCCCAGGGTTGGTATGACACAGGGCAGCCGCGGGTGTTCTGGCTCAGCGGCTTCTTCTTCACCCAGTCCTTCCTGACGGCGGTGCTGCAGAACCACGCCCGCGCCCACGCCCTGGCCATCGACCAGCTCTGGTTCCACTTCCAGGTTCGTTAATCTCTTACTTCCAGGTACTCTCTCTCACTTCCTGCTAGTTACTCTCACCTCCTGTTAGTTACTCTCACCTCCTGCTAGTTACTCTCACTTCCTGCTAGTTACTCTCACCTCCTGCTAGTTACTCTCACCTCCTGCTAGTTACTCTCACTTCCTGCTAGTTACTCTCACTTCCTGCTAGTTACTCTCACCTCCTGCTAGTTACTCTCACCTCCTGCTAGTTACTCTCACCTCATGCTAGTTACTCTCACCTCCTGCTAGTTACTCTCACTTCCTGCTAGTTACTCTCACCTCCTGCTAGTTACTCTCACCTCCTGCTAGTTACTCTCACCTCCTGGTACTCCCTCTCAGGTAACTTGTCCCTTGTACCCTGCAGGTGTTGGAGGTGGACGAGGAGAGCCCGGTACCTGAGGTGGGCACTTATATCAGGGGCCTCTACCTGGAGGGCGCCAGGTGGGACTTCGAGAAGAACCGCCTGGAGGAAGCACTACCCAGGAGACTCCATGAGAATATGCCTCCAGTGAGTAGGTGGTGAGGTGTGGTGATGGTGAGGATGGTGAGAGTGATAATGGTGGTGATGGTGGTGATGAGGGTGATGGTAGTAGTAGTAGTGAGTAGTAGAAACAGTAAGTAATAGTAGTAGTAATGTCATTAATAACAGTGAACAATAGCATTAATAGCAGTAAGCAATAGCATTAACAGTAAAACCCTAAGACACACCTCATGCCTGTGCCTCCCCTCTAACAGATCTGGTTAAAGCCAATGGTCCGAGAAGAGATTCCCAAAGAACTGACCTACTCCTGTCCTGTGTATAAGACGAGTGAGCGTAGAGGGAACCTGACCACCACGGGCCACTGTACGAACTACGTCATCTCGGTACAGATTCCTACACACCTTCACGAGGACCATTGGATTCTCAGGGGTGTGGCTCTACTCTGTTCCCTCTCTGACTAAAATTATTCAACTCTAGATTATCAGACGAGTGATTAAGATTATACAACTTTAGATTATCAGACAAGTAACTAAAATTAAACAGCTTTAGATTATCAGACGAGTGACTAAAATTATACAGTTTTAGATTATCAGACGGGTGACTAAAGTTATTCCACATCTGTTTACTTTCTATCCACACTATCCACACTATCCACATCTGCCCAGAAAGATAATAAGGTGACACTGTATTGACTTTGATAGCCTTTGTTAAGTTAGTCAGGGTAGATAGTCGAAGGTTAGCGTGTACGAAGCAGCAAGTGTTGATTATCTACCTGAGGACAGACAGTGTTTAACCACAGTCATCCCTCGGGTGTGGCGACTCCCTAATTAGCTCCTTTCGTCTACCTGTCACCATGAACGACGCTGGAATTGACCTACACTCTATTATTTAAGGGTCATATTTCAGCAGTCCTCCTCATTATTTAGGAATAATTGGTTAACACATCACAACATGGAAGTTATTAGTTGTATATCTATTCATATGTATAATGTATATGGAATATATTAATACATATCTACACATGGAAGTTACTTTGTATATTTTTGCCTTTTGCTGTGGCTGGGTTTTTTTAGTAGCGTGTGTGTGTGTGTGTGTGTATGTGTGTGTGTGTGTGTGTGTATGTGTTGCAAGAGGTGCCATACATCAACACTGGGGTGGGGGGCAGCTAGGGGAGTAGGTGGTGGGTAGGGGGCGGGTGGCTCTAGGTGCCATTGTGCCTCACCGAGAAGACAGGAACGCTATTGAGAAAGGTGTGTGGGCGATAGTCATTATATTTCTTGTCCTTTCTTATGTCCTGGTGAAGAAAGGTACTAGCATCTATAATGTAGACTATAAGGAGCGAAGGGGGAACGCCAGGCGAAGCTGATCGTTAGCGTTGACACCATTCTACTGTATGGATTTTGAGAATATCAGATAAACTCCTTGATGGATAAATTGGACTTGTTTCCTTTTATTTTGTCTTGTTTTTTAGTTAGGTAAGAATCATGACTTGTGGTGGAGTGATGATTAAGAGGAGCCAGCCACCAGGAGGTCAGTCACTCGTTGACCTGTCCTGGGAGAACCTCTTAACTTGTTTGAGGTCAGTGTGATTATTTTGATTTCAGGATGTGTTGTTTTGTTTAGTTATGTCGCCTTGCTGTTATTATCGCTCTCTCTCTCTCTCTCTCTCTCTCTCTCTCTCTCTCTCTCTCTCTCTCCCTCTCTCTCCCTCTCTCTCATCATATTAAATAAAGGAACAAATATGAATTGTATCCAGTTTATTTACACATACCATTAATTACACCTGTATAACACCTCCACAATATTCATTACCTCAACAAGACCCTATACACAATCTCCACTAACTTCTTATATAATGGTTATACTTTATATCCTTCTTATACATCCGTCGTATATTTCTGTGATAACATCCTGTGATTGCACCTGTGATTGTAATTCTTATACACCTGTGATTGCACCTGTGATAATTCCTAAATACACCTGTGATTGTTCCCACTACACCTGTGATTGTTCCCACTACACCTGTGATTGTTCCCACTACACCTGTGATAATTCCCACTACACCTGTGATTGTTTCCACTACACCTGTGATTGTTCCCACTACACCTGTGATAATTCCCACACCTGTGATTGTTCCCACTACACCTGTGACAATACACCCCACCTAACTACCTTGTGACCTGTGATAATTCCCACTACCTGCGATAATTCCCACTACACCTGTGATAATTCTACACTGTGATAACTACACCTGTGATAATTCCCACTACACCTGTGATATTCCCACTACACCTGTGATAATTCCCACTACATGTGTTCCCACTACACCTGTGATAATTCCCACTACACCTGTGATTGTTCCCACTACACCTGTGATAATTCCCACTACACTTATGATAATTCCCACTACACTTATGATAATTCCCACTCCATATTTAATGATTCCTAATAATTACTTATACTCCTGTAAAGATTCCTAGTTCCCATCTTTACACACTATACACCTGCAGGAGACAGAAGCAGAGGCTGTTGGTAAGTAAACCTCTCCTGTAGAGGGACACGTAACGGCCGACGAGTGTGGTGCTCCCCCTTAAAGTCAGGACCTCTCCTTCGTTAGCTCCCTCTTTGTAGTTCATCAGTAACTCGTCTCCTGAGTCGCCATCATTGCCCACCTGTTGACAAATGAAGGTTAAAATTATTAATCATTTCTCGGCATAAAGTTTTGTACCATCACCCACCAATTGGTTGCACAAAAGTGTTCTTAAATACTCGACTTTTATCTCTGTCTTGTTCATATGTCCCAGAGAGAAATATGACAACACTACATAATTAATGTGTTATGTAGCTACAGTGATCACCATGATAACTTACATGAATATCCACGTCGTAAAAATAACTTGGCCAGAATTTTGAGACGGTGATGACGACTGTAGCGACGGGCTGGGGGCTGCCGAGGTACACCTTCAAGTAGGGAGTCACCTGATAAGGGGAGCAGAAGCAGTCAGTCTCTTCCATCTCACACCTCGACCCGCTTACCTGAGGAGAGACCAGAGACCTTGAAGAGAGATGAAGAAGAGAATTGGAGGAAATGATAAGCAGATCGAAAGAAGAAAGAAAGAGAAAGAGAGATTAAGAAATAAGAGAAGACAGAAATGGAGGAACCACTGAGGAATTGATAGACAGGTTATGGGAGTAATTTAGTTTAGTAAGAAATGGGATATATGTAAAATAATAGAAGACAAACAGGAAAATTATTGATAAAGTAAAAATGGGAGAATGATAAAGACATTTTTCAGGGATGATAGACAGACAAGGAGAAGATGTATTTAACAACCTGTGTAGAGTTAAAATTAAATAACATCGATACGTGAAAATAAAATATCATCAGAAGCTAATTAACAGTCACATCACCTGGGCTAATTAAGAGTGACACCTGTTAAAACGAAGACGTACCACCGTGTAGCCTGGAGCGTATTTGTCATTCCAGGTGCCCTCGTCTACCACGTGCTTGCCATAAGCCAAGTCCTCACCCAGGGGCGGCGTGGAGGTCGAGGCTGAAGCGTAGCAGGTGTCGCCCAGCCCGGTAGGGGAAGAGTTCGAACCACTTACCGAAGACGTCATCAAGTTCAACATCCGACAAGTGGTCGCTGGAACAAGACGCATAAGCACTGTTAAGACGTCACCTAGCTGGTATCCCACAGATAATCACACTTATGGTAACTAGTGCAGAAGGTGAGTAGTGCGAATCTCACCTGTGGGGCAGACGGCAGTGCAGGAGGGATTGATGAAACACTGGAGGGCACAGAAGTAGCGGGCTGAGTAGGGTAAAGGGGTAGGCAGGGGCACTTCCTCCTCCAGGCATCTGGTGGCGTCGCTGGATAACACTATCTGTACCACCGAGGCAGCACCAGGGAGGCAGTACCAAGGGGACAGCACCAGCAAGGCAGCACCAGCGAGGCAGCACCAGCGAGGCAGCACAGGGGAGGCAGCACCGGGGAGGCAGCAGAGGAGAGGAGAAGGTTACGCTCAGACTCATACAGGCAAACTCCCTGACCAATACAGTTAACATCATGTAACGTTACTCACAACCTCACCCCTCAGTGGTACTTCTGAGAGCATCGTCAGACGAATGTTCGCTCTTGTTATACCTGCACTCACTCGCTTTTTTTTTCCAGTACGGGCGTCGAGTCAGCAACAGTGATGGTACTGTTAGCATCTTATTAACAGTACATCCTATTATCCGAGAAGCAACATTTGTAAGAATTCTAGACAGAATTATTATTTGGAAACTAAGAACTTGTGAACGATATTTACTGACCCTAGCAGCTGAAGACTTAAAAATAAAAACAAAATATGAAAATGACTGAGAATGTTTTGTGATATATGAACACTACTACACTGAGGCAGTTGTAGGTGAGTGCTGAGGTAAAGTCATGGGGCGACTTAGATCATTGTCACCAAGACCATCAAGAGGAGGTCATCTGTTGTGTGTAGCTGTTCAGTAACATATTCCTTCAACGTTGAAATCCCAAGGAATATTATAAACTAAATTAAAAACATACAAACATTATCCTGACGTCAACAACAACAATTATACCTTCCGAAACGTCATGGAGGTGATGACAGCTCCAGTCTGCTGCAGGTACAGGAGGAGGACGACCCCCGGCTGTAGTAGGTATAAGAGACACATCTGACGGTGAACTTTAGCAAGATCTTCTCAAGCACACCCAGTGAGGGGTCCCTTGTAACTGTGGGTCCCGGGGGGTCTTTGCCTCACCTCTTAACTGCCTCGCCCCTTTCACAACATCGTGTTTGTTGACCGGCGGTGCCATGGTGACCTGGGGCGTCTCTCACTACCTGCATCTCCCACCTGACGCTCTTCATTACCAAGATATGGAGATAATTAGTATATCATTATCGCCTCTGTTGTTTATTTTGGTTCATTAACTCTTCAGAGAAACTAAACAATTATTTTATTTTAAAGATTTACAGAAGGACCTCCATCAGCTTCAAGTAAGATCTGCCACCAAGATGCACCATGAACCTTCCCGTCACCAATAATCACGATGAACTGCACCTTTTATCTGGATATATACTGATCGTCTGTGTCTCTACCACCACCAACAACAACACTTGGTCTCCTCACCGCAGGCATGACAACACTGGATCGTTAATAATATAATTTATTACTGACATTTGGTATAGTTCTCCTTCACATGAACATTTTTTTTTGTCTTGTCGATAACAGCCGCTCGTTATGTCCACTTAATGGCGCTCGACCACCTCACAAATACAGACATAAATCACGAATATCAATTTTCTTTACACATCGGCTGTAAATTGGATCACATTATAGTAGCGATGTAGGAGGCGGTGATGGAGACCTTCCATATATCCTGCTGGGGAGGTAAGATACGAAGGCTGTTATGAGGTTCTTTCTTTATCAACAAGTTTAATTTTTCACTATTATGATGTTGTAAGAACACCTCCACCTGGCTCTCAATATATGTGTATCCCTAATTAGAAATGTTAATAAATAGTAAAGACAGTAGACGCGAGGACTTGGTACACCCCTGTCCTTATATACTTATTAACACTACAGGTAAGTTCATCCAAGACATACGATCCAATTAACACACAAAGGTTAGCGTGGGGGGGAGGGGATACAGGTGAGTGATTCCTGGAGTAATGTGGGGGTGAGGGGCAGGTGTGGGAGGGGGTGACACTGCTTGATCATTTTCCATTAAGACCACTGGGTTTTAACTAGACGTTATAATGCTCAAAGATTAAACATAATTTGTATTTTTTAGAATTTCTTTTCCTCCTCCATGTATTGTTGATGATGTCGGTGAGATGTGAGTTGCTGTTGTAAACAATCACGCCCTTAACCTATGTCATCAGACACTAAATAAGACAAAAGAGCCACGCATTGCAAAACCACACACTCCCTCCCTCCCCTCCCCCTCCTCCCCTTCTTCTCACCCCGTACCCTCCTTTCCCTCTATACAAATCAAATAATCTTCAGCTATAAAATTAGTAAGTCACAGCTGTAGTGATGACATATAGCCTCGAGTAGAGTACCAGCAGGAGGGGATTGTGAAACGTTTTCAGTGAGTAGCGCCTTAAAGTTTCATGATGTCGACGGTCCACCAAGCTGCCACAGCAGACGCGGACCAGCGAAGGTGAGACTCAGACGTGTACTCCCGAGGTCTCAAGATCCTTGTACTGGTGTGAGCATCAGGCAGACGGAGGTGTATCTAGCGTTATTGTCTTGTAAGGTACACGACAACGCCTGGTCCTGTTCCACTGCTTAAGTGTCGGTGGTTTTATGGTACAGATCTTCGACTAAGTTTGAGATGTTTCGGGGAGGCTTGGTTGTGTTTCTGCTGTTGCTATTCCTCCTGCCACTACAGAAGACCGGAGCTACCATGACCGCTGTGTATCACCAGGTAATTCTTTTCTTAGTGTGTTAGAGGAACTGTTATCTCGTTATCAGTCTCCAAAAACTACCACTCACATACTCACAGTTCTTAGGCCGCTATCACTCCTCAGACAACAACATTAGGCTGTAAGTTATCAGCCACCGTCATTAATTTCTCATTTATCATTTGTCTACCCACTTTTATGCTAATAACTGTATTTTATTATTTTTGGTTAACAGATGACAATAAACAGTTACGATAGACAGTGTGTGGAGGCGACGGTTCCTCTACCTACTGGACTAAACCTTTCACCGTGGTTGTTCTGTTCTCGCCTCTGTACCAACAACCCTTCCTGCACCGCCTACTGCTACTCAGGTAAACATCTAATCGTATCTACATTAAGTGGAGATATAGATTCAAATCCAATATATAGTCAACAAATGTATAGACCCACTTACACCTGCATAAATCAAGTGACAATCTTTTCCACCAATATTATCAAACTTTTCCGTTTTACTCAATTTAATCCCAGAATATTCCACTAAAAAATATTCCATCTCTTAGTCAATATTAATGTCTTTCTCACCTAACTATCAGTCCTCACATTGTAGTTCTTTATCTTGAGTTAATATTTGTTCTTTCGTTTTATGGATTGCAAGACAGGAAGTTTCTGTCCATCACGAGCCTGAGGAGAAAGATTATATAAACAGAAAGATTTAGTAATGATATGGTGAAAGGCTGACTCCTCCCACGAGACCTGCCTGGTATGGGTGACTCTAGCCAGGACTCTGTAAACCTCATCAAGTATAAAATCTCCCCCGCCCACATAGTAAAATAGTGGATGTTCATTATAATTCAGAGAAAATAATTTACCCTTCATATTTACACGATATTCCACTATTCTACACCAGTTTCAGCCAGTCGATGACAAGCATTATACAGATTCATAAAATAATCTATCTTCTACCTTGAATGTATTGTATTAGGCATTGTATTCAAGTTTGTTTGTTTTTTAGACCGCTTGCTAGATTTACATACGCTACCACGAACAAGGGCATCATACTAACCTCAATCGTAGAGTTACGGGTTAAACTTATTGCACGTGGGGTGATGGTTATGTTGCAGAGTGGACAGGAAGCGCTAGGAACTCGCATAAGGCGTTCCATGTATTTCAGAAAGCGCTTGTCAACTGCTGAACCTGATCGTAGCACCTGATGGGTATTCGTCGCAAGGGGCCGTCTCCTCCTCCGCCGTGTCCTGCTACGTGCCCTACTCATCTCCAGGGCCCGCCACCACCGACCTGGCCCGGGGCAAACCAGTTACCACCGAAGACACCTTGATCCTAGACTACGCTCGTGGTCAGACTGTGGTGGGTCCTGTTCTCCTTTGTTCCTCTCTCTCTCTCTCTCTCTCTCTCTCTCTCCTATGATCGTTTTCTTTCTCGTTACATTTTACAAACTTAACTTCACTATAATATATTTACGAATGAGTGAAGCAAGATGACTGTAAACTTTCACACATATCCTTCCCTCATCTTATATATTCAATAGTGTCTGTACGTAAGTTTATTTTGTACTTCTCTTTCCCTTGTATATAACGATTTTATTACCATTGTACACTACAGGTACTTGGAGCAAAATGTGAATACACAGACCTTGACTGCTTCTGTTCGACCTACCAGTTGACCCCCTACCTGATAGTGAACCTCGAGACTACCCAGGATGTGACCACCGTTGTTATCACCGCCTCCAAAAATAAATACGAAGACCTTGGTGACTTGGTCGTTCATGTAAGATATTTCTCCTTTGCAGGTCATTGTGTTGACAGATTCATAATAAACACCTTTTTTTTCGTCGGCATGGCCATTAGTAACAGTCTTTGTCGACAAATGTATGATAAAGTTAACACCTGTTGTCGTCAGGACGGTATATTTTGACAGCAGGTGTTTTCGTGGACAGGTGGGTAACGCAGGGGATGATAGCGACCCCGTGCTGTCGAGGTACACTGGACCAGCAGGCCCTGGAGAGGTGGTGACACTGAGGGGCTCCAGCGCCCTCCCTGGCCGCTACGTCTCGCTCTACAAAAAGAGCTTCCTCGAGAACGCCCTCTGTCTCTGTCTCCTGCAAGTGTACAGCGCCTAGGACACCTGTGTTGCCTCAAGACTACCACAGCTGAGTACCATATAAATGCCACAGTACCACAGCTGTATGTAACAACTAAAAACATAAACGTAAAAGATTCATACACTTTTGTCATTATTCCCACCGTGCAGTACTGCCTAACGATGTAAATAATCAAGAAAGAGTTTTAACTTTTCATGTTGTTTCCTGGCGATTACCTGTATACCTGTGTGAGTGTATTGTAAACTGTCATTAAACACTCCTGACACACACAAGTAGTTTTATTTAACCTTCTATTCAGACAAAACTACAAATAAATGTAAGGTTAGTGAAGTAGTGAGGTGGCTGAGTGAATAGAGAGCTCGGTTCCTGTCCTAAGGGTCGTTTGTTCGATCTCGGGACTCTGCAACTCCACCAAGCTGTAAATGAGGACCTAACTTTACACGTTAGGGCAGTGAAGGCTTTCGAGTGCAATACCGGCTCAAGGAAGAGTAGGGTGGAGGGAAGTGAGAGTGAAATGGAAAATGAATGAAAAGAGTGAAGGTGGTTAGGGCGGAGGAAAGAGGATGGTTAATTAGTGTGTGTTGGGGTGACGACAGAGGATGTATATACCTCAAGGTCTACTTAACCTGTAACGTGACAGTCAACATAAGTCATCCTCTCTGTTCTCTGTTATTCCCGACGTTCAGCCAACACCAGTAGTGAAGGAAGAGGTGCATCCCTGTCATCTCACCGGCATTATGGGCTTTATGTCAAGAATAACGAACGCTCCGGCACCCTTGAACTCATCTTTACAAAGGAAGGATGCTGCAAGGAGAGAAGGGTGTAATTTACCGCCAATACTGTATTGTTGTGTCAGTCCTTTTCCTCGCTGCTGTGGGGGAGACAACAACACTCAATCTGATTTCTCGGGAGAACGTGATAAAATGTGAACAGTGGAATGTGTATTGCGTGAAAATATCGATTACTGAGAAATATAAGATCATTGCCCTATAAACAAGCGTAAACGTAAAGACAAGTGAGCATCAAATAAACAGCTGTGTATTTATAAACGATCTAAGGGCAAGAAAGATCCCCAGTTGCAAATAAAACAAGAAAATATAAAAGATTAAACTCTTCTAAAAGAGGCAAGTTCCTTTATTGAAATTCGCGATGAAGAAATGGCTAGTGAGAGGGCAGTGGTCTGAGGGAGGTGACGAGATTGAGACCCTCGACAAGGCCTGGTCGAAGACAATTAATGAAGGTTATGACAACGTGGATGGAAGCCTTAAGTGCCCAGATGCGACAGGAGGGCTGAAGAAGGTGGAACAAAGAGAGAGTGTTGAAAGCAGCGAGGCGCCTCAAGTGAACGGCTCAGCAGCGAAGGAAAAAAGTTGTCACCATCTCATTCAAGACGTGGACAAGCCCGCCACCGGCCCCCAGGTTAGTGATGCTCCGACAATGATGTTTTGTCCTTTAACTTTTTTTATCCTACTTAACACCTGACTAGAACAAGATGCCCATAGCGACATAATAATGGTTTAAAGGCCAGTGATTTTTTTTTTAAAGAAAACAATCCATTTATTTCAAGCTGATACACGAAAAGTTACAACATTTGGTGTTTGGATTGCAGTCATTATGGTGATTAACCTGATGATAACTAATCATACTACAGCGTACAAGATTAAATACTTCAACCAATTAAACGAACTACAGAAATGATCAATGCTGCGAACAACATTAATTACAGGTGTTGGCGGGGGTGACGGTGGCGGCGACTCACCTGGGTGTGGGCTGTGTGTTTGGGTTCTGTGGTGTAGCGCTGCCACAGCTGACCCAACACCCAGCCCCGGGCAACATCACCATGAACGACTTCCACTTGGCGCTGTTTAGTAAGTGCTTAAAAGAAACCTTTTAGAATCAATAAGATATGTAGGTCAGGGTTTAAGAAACAGGCTTAGCAAAATAAAATGGATCAGATGAATTAGTTACGGTTGTGGCCATTCAATCAACCTTGATGCACGATAACTAGATAATAGTTTTCAGTGAAATAACATTAACATTCAACTATTGTTTTGTCTCAACTTTCAGGCAGTGTTATAAGTATAGGAGCAGCGGTGGGGTCAGCGGCCACAGCAGTGCCTCAGGTGTGGCTGGGTCAGCGGGTGACACTCCTCTTCGCTCTGCCTGTGGCTCTCGCCGCCTGGGTGACTCTGGCCGCCTCCCCCAACGTCTGGGTGGTAATAGCCGCCCGGGCTGTCCAGGGCCTCACTGTGGGCTTCATCGCAGGCCCCTCAAACAACTATGTGGCGGAACTGGCCCACAGCAATCTACGGGGACTACTCGTCGGTACTCTCAACACTTCAGAACAACTTGGCTACCTTCTGGTGTATGCCGTAGGCAGCTCAAGTCTCTCGTGGCGGCAGGTGGCGCTGGTGTGTGGCTTCCTCACCACCGTCCTCCCCTTCCTGGGGCTCCTTCTCCTGCCTGACTCACCTCGCTGGCTCGCCGCTCGTCACAGACTTCTGGATGCTCACAAGGCTCTCATCTTCTTCAGGGGACCTCACTACGACTCACACGCCGAACTGGTAGAAATTACAGACCAACTGGCATTAGGGAAGAGAAATGCAAGAGACCAACTGCAAGAGATGAAAGATCCAAACATCATTAGCGTAATTCTTTTATTTACATTCCTTCTTCTCTCTTCACAGTTTACAGGCAACTTCCTCGTAACAACATTTGAGGTGCCAATCTGCAACTCAACCGTGACTGACTTGAGCCCAGCCACTGGTGCTGCTGTTACAGGCACAATACGTTTTCTTGGCTCAGTGGCGTATCTGCTTATTGTTGAGCGGGTTGGTCGTAAGTCGTTGCTCATAGGTGCATTCCTCGCGTGCGCTGGAGCGTTAGCCATGCTCGGTTCCTTCCATTATGACCACAACAACTCAGACGACGTCACCATTCTGGATTGGCTACCCTTTATCTCCCTCTCCGTGTTTATATTCTCCACAACTGTTGGCTTTTCTGTTCTTTATGTATTACTCGGAGAACTTTTCCCCACGTCGGTAAGATCTACAGCTGTAGCCTTCCTGTACTCTCTGTTTTTCACGGGAGCCTTCGTGGCAAGTCAGACCTACGTGTCCGTGGTAGGTTCACTGGGGAAGCACGGGGCATTCTGGCTCTACTGCTGCTTTAACCTGTTGATGGCGGTGGTGGGTGGCCTCAACCTACCGGAGACCCGAAGACGATCCCTGGAGGACATCACCGCCCGTGAGCCACGCCAGTCCACCAAACACTCCTACGATCACCACAGATCTACCAAACCCACACTCCACGCCAACGGAACCACTCGCCACGCCAACGGACACCTCACATCCAAACCACCTCCTCAGCACTACCACATGACTACTCGGCGCGTCCCAGAAGACAACAAACCCAATCATCCAGCTCACAATTTCTGTAAGTCGACCCAAACAGCCAACAGCTCCTTATAGATATCGAATACACAGTTTGTTGACATATATGAAAGTTATACCAAATTCATGTGTAGTTTAGTGTCCAGACTTAAAACTATATCAACTTTGAATATTGTTGTCATTATTTCAGACTACAGTATATGATAACGTTCACCTACCACACAGTAGAATGACACTTCCTTATCCATTAAAACTAAATTTATAAATAGTTGGTGTTTTTTCTCAATATCCTTTTAGTCTCGTATCGTTGAAAGTTTGTTTACAATACAGAAATTGAAGAAAGAACGCTAACAAGATAAATTGTATGTTAGGTTAGGTTAGGGTACAGTAGTCTAGGTTAGGCTAAGTTAGGTTAGGATTGGGTTAGATTAGCGTTAGTGTGTTTTACTCATCAGGTGAAATAAGCTGGGGTGTCTAATCTCCAGGTGGTCTGTATGGCCTCCTAAGCTGCGGCTACGATGTAAACAATGTGACTCGTTCTATAATATCTTAAGTCTGGATCCTCAAAATACCTTACGTCAATTTTCTCTTCCCTCTTAACTATGTGATGAACAAAACACCCAAAGATGGAGCCTGATTTATGTTGAGACGTTAACTGAGAGGATTATTTACTCCAGTTGATGAAAGAATTAATTAATCTTTGGAAAGTGTAAACTATGAGTACTGGGAGCAATCATCGAAATAATTTATTGTACACTTTAATGATGATAAATGACGTGTAGTTAATGTCTCGGGTTTTGTTTAGTTATTCCAGTAGTATTGAGGTTTAATCCTGAAAAAAAATGATAACAAACCAGAAATTTCCGAAAAGGTCCAGAAAAACGCCGCGAGAAACATATCCAAAGTGATTTAGGATCCTTCTTGTACTAACTCGGAAATTCAAGATTGCGTCAAAGATGGCCGGTCGCCTTTTTTCCATTTTCTTCCGTACCTTAATGACCAGATATAAAAGGAATCATATAAAGTGTATAATCTTAGGTATTCTGACACAAAAAATAATAAAATAATGATATTTTAATGAAGAAAATCATATACAGGGTACAGGTGGAAAAAAAAATTAGAAAATCACACAAGTAGCGTGTTACAGGGCAGCAAGGCGGTCATGTGTGGGCTGATCTCATCCACATAACATGTTGGTGGTGGGCGTTCTGCAGCACTAGGTGGAGGTTGACTTGCTGCAGCACTAGGTGGAGATATTGCTCTTGGACTAAATCACTTAGGAATTGGTTTGTGTTGGACAATAAAGGGAAGGAAGAAACAACAAAACTTTTAATTCCCAAAACACACATTCATGTATATTAACAGTATATAATATTTCCTAGTATGACAACAGACAGCGTGGCCAGCAAACAGTGTGGCCAGCAGACAGTGTGGCCAGCAAACAGTGTGGCCAGCAAACAGTGTGGCCAGCAGACAGTGTGGCCAGCACGAGGTGACGAGGGATCTTACATGAACACTTAAACATAATAATATAAATAATTCAGACTTTTTCCCTTGATTGGAATAATGTTTTCTGAGTCTTGTCTCCTCTAACGAAGGCCGTGATGAGTTGGTACTGTACAATTATTTATCTCGTTCGTTGATGGACTTGTAGTTGGCTGTTGGTGGAAGGTTGTATGGACTTGTTGTGGATATTGGAGGGTTGTATGGATTTGTTGTGGATATTGGAGGGTTGTATGGACTTGTTGTGGATATTGGAGGGTTGTATGGACTTGTTGTGGGTATTGGAGGGTTGTATGGACTTGTTGTGGATATTGGAGGGTTGTATGGACTTGTTGTGGATATGGGCTGGTTGTATGGACTTGTTGTGGGTATTGGAGGGTTGTATGGACTTGTTGTGGATATTGGAGGGTTGTATGGACTTGTTGTGGATATGAGCGGGTTGTATGGACTTGTTGTGGGTATTGGAGGGTTGTATGGACTTGTTGTGGATATGGACGGGTTGTATGGACTTGTTGTGGGTATGGAAGGGTTGTATGGACTTGTTGTGGATATGGGCTGGTTGTATGGACTTGTTGTGGGTATTGGAGGGTTGTATGGACTTGTTGTGGATATTGGAGGGTTGTATGGACTTGTTGTGGATATGAGCGGGTTGTGGACTTGTTGTGGGTATTGGAGGGTTGTATGGACTTGTTGTGGATATGAGCGGGTTGTATGGACTTGTTGTGGATATGGGCGGGTGTGGTTGTGGATATGGACGGGTTGTATGGACTTGTTGTGGATATGGACGGGTTGTATGGACTTGTTGTGATATTGGAGGGTTGTATGGACTTGTTGTGGATATGATATGGACTTGTTGTGGGTATTGGAGGGTTGTATGGACTTGTTGTGGGTATGGAAGGGTTGTATGGACTTGTTGTGGATATGGGCTGGTTGTATGGACTTGTTGTGGATATGGGCTGGTTGTATGGACTTGTTGTGGGTATGGAAGGGTTGTATGGACTTGTTGTGGATATGGGCTGGTTGTATGGACTTGTTGTGGATATGGGCGGGTTGTATGGACTTGTTGTGGGTATTGAAGGGTTGTATGGACTTGTTGTGGATATTGGAGGGTTGTATGGACTTGTTGTGGGTATTGGAGGGTTGTATGGACTTGTTGTGGGTATTGAAGGGTTGTATGGACTTGTTGTGGATATTGGAGGGTTGTGTGGACTTGCTGTGGGTATGGGAGGGTTGTGTAGGTTTCAGATGGTCCTGAAAAGATTTGCCTTTGTCGGGGATGAACTCGAATTGGTGGTGGACGTGTTGCAGGGGACATACCGTGGTCATAGATGCATTGTATAAACTTGTTGATATGCTGGGAGTACCTGTGGTGGTAATAATGTGCTGCCTAATAGATTGCTCATGGCTGTTTCCGAAGTGAGTGGATTTGAGGTGGTCGCTGGCGGGTTTGGTGGGCTGGTGTGGGTCGCGGGTGGGCTGATGTGGGTTGCGGGCGGGTTTAGTGAACTGATGTTGGTTGCGGGTGGGTTTGGTGGGCTGGTTTGGGTTCCTGGTGGATTTGGTGGGCTGGTGTGGGTCGCGTGCAGTAATTTCCTCCAGGGATCGTCTTCGGGTCTCCGGTAGGTTGAGGCCACCCACCACCGCCATCAACAGGTTAAAGCAGCAGTAGAGCCAGAATGCCCCGTGCTTCCCCAGTGAACCTACCACGGACATGAAGGTCTGACTCGCCACGAAGGCTCCTATATAGAACAAGAAGTATAGAACGGTGACGGCTGTTGATCGCACCGACGTGGGAAGAATCTCTGAACGTATTAAGGAAAGAACCGAAAATCCAATGTTATTAAAGCAACAGAAGGTCGCCACTGATGCAAGAGGTAACCACTTTATACTGTTCGTATTATCTAAGATATCTTGTTCATAGAAGAAAGTCCCGAACATAGCTAAAGCCAGGGCACAGGTGAGGAAGGAAGATATAAACAAAGGTTTGCGGTTGATGCGCTCTACAACACCTAGATAAAGGAAAGTGGCTAAAACCCTCACAACTCCTATAATAACAGCACTCGTGTACGGGCACACGTCTACCTCGGCTGAAGCAAAAATAGGAACTAAGTACACACTGACGACAATCCTTCCTGAGAAATGAGAAGCTAAGAATAAAACGGATAGCAAGAGTAATGACGTAAGTATGCTGGGATCTCTCATCTTTTTAAACTGATTCTTAGTGCTAATCTTTTTCGGCAGTTGGTCTGTTATTTCTACCAGTTCGGCGTGTGAGTCGTAGTGAGGTCCCCTGAAGAAGATGAGAGCCTTGTGAGCATCCAGAAGTCTGTGACGAGCGGCGAGCCAGCGAGGTGAGTCAGGCAGGAGAAGGAGCCCCAGGAAGGGGAGGACGGTGGTGAGGAAGCCACACACCAGCGCCACCTGCCGCCACGAGAGACTTGAGCTGCCTACGGCATACACCAGAAGGTAGCCAAGTTGTTCTGAAGTGTTGAGAGTACCGACGAGTAGTCCCCGTAGATTGCTGTGGGCCAGTTCCGCCACATAGTTGTTTGAGGGGCCTGCGATGAAGCCCACAGTGAGGCCCTGGACAGCCCGGGCGGCTATTGCCACCCAGACGTTGGGGGAGGCGGCCAGAGTCACCCAGGCGGCGAGAGCCACAGGCAGAGCGAAGAGGAGTGTCACCCGCTGACCCAGCCACACCTGAGGCACTGCTGTGGCCGCTGACCCCACCGCTGCTCCTATACTTATAACACTGCCTGAAAGTTGAGACAAAACAATAGTTGAATGTTAACGCCATCGAAGACAACCAGTGTTACTCTAGCGTGTACCGGGCACCTGATGACTGATTGTTACTTCACCTTATTAATTATGGTCCACTTTATATACTACTGAGTTCAATTCCTTATATATTCATCTACTGCCATTAAACACTTCACCATGACCACTTACTGAAGAGTGCAGAATGGAAGTCGTCCATTACAAAGTCCCCCGGGGCTGAGTGTTGGGTCAGTTGTGGCAGAGTCACTCCTGAGAACCCAAACACACAGCCCACACCCAGGTGAGTCGCCGCCACCGTCACCCCCGCCAACACCTGCAGTAAACATTATCACGTGAGCTGGTCATCATCAGTCGCATCTCCTTAGTGCATTTATAAATTATTTAACTAGTCTTTTGCTTACATACACATCCGTTACATCAACCATTTATTTTGAATTTAATTTGCCAAAACTCATATTTCTCTGCCATCAGTCTTTGTTTAATATTATTTTACTGATCTACTGTTGCCTTATTTTGTATATACATTTATAAGTTTGATGTCTGTGAAGTTTATTACGTAAATTTCATTAATGTTTGTTATAATGACTTACTTCCCTTGTTGCATTACTACCTAACTGATTATTACAGAATGAAGGAGGCGTTATACTGCTCACGGCCACTCGCCGCCCTTGTCCTCAATACTGATTAAATTCTTCTCACATCTTCCACTGCATAATTTCCCCCTTTAGTGTGTAGCAGTGTAGCAGCCCGGGACTTTCCTCTCAACTTTCTATTTATCTCAACACTTCCCTGGATAAAACAACTAACTCAACTTCTGAAGATTTACTAATTTTTTACTTTATTGTGCAATGTAACTTATTCGTTTTCTATGAGTTTTCGGTGTTGGTTCTTTTAAGGTAAACTATCGTAATCGTAACCCCCTAATGCTCGACATATAACAAATCAAGTACCATGGACTCGGATTATCAACCAAAGGTATTTTGAAACTGAAATACTTGAAATAATAAACATATAAAGTATAAAATTATGGTATTCCTATTATTTAAGAAAAACAAATTCCGGTAGACATCAAGACACACTCAACATTGTACTCGCACCAACACTAACATATGAAGCTGAAGCATAAACATTAACCACTACTGATGTAATAGACTGAGGGAAGCAGAAGTGAAGCCAATATAATTATAATAAAAGTAAATTATATGCAATAGCACTAATAACGAGAACTAAACAAGGAAAGTCGGTGTGGTGGTGGCGTTTGGAAGACTAGCGGGCAGACCTAAAGACAGATGGTTCGAGAAGACTAGCGGGCAGACCTAAAGACAGATGGTTCGATAACACTAAGGAAATCTTAAGTATACAGTACACATAGTGGAAGGTTGGATAGTCTACGAGAGGATGGAGTTGTCAGAGAGGGATTGGGATTGCGCTAACTTCAAGCTCGTGAAGTTGTCATGTAGGACGAATATAAGGAGTTACTGTTTTCATATATGATGGGGGCAGACCTGTGGAGCACCCTAGTAGGCCAGACCATGTACGGGAGAACAGTATACGGGGCTTTGGCTAGTCTATGGAGGGAGCCTACACAGGTCTCTGGCTTCCATCTCTCGGCAGGGACACTTCTAGTTTGGGTGGCCGTTGGGTAAATACATTTTCCTAAAGCAATGTGAAGTCAAATACCTTACCTGAGGAGCTATGGCAGGCAAGTTCTGCACGACTGTGTCTTCTAGTGAGTTTTTTCTCTCCCAGGGTGGTCCTGTCTGCTGGTCCGGATGATCCTCGCCCCAGACTACACGCCTACCATACAGGAGGTCAGAATGTCCTTCCTCTAACTCCACGGACTCCGCCACGCTCGAGTTTCTGACGTCATCTCCGTGTGAAAATTTTCTTTCTAGCCATACCACCATATTACTACCAGAGAAGGTGGACGTATTACTTGTAAATTGCACTATATTTGCGATTTAACGTCGAGAACGCAATATTTGATACTGTCCGGAACACCCAATGATCCACTCTTCACTGCTGCTTGTCTACTCAGGGACTCCACGTGACCCTGTGTCTCCTGCTTGCTGTCCTCGTCCCGACACACAGAACCTCCGAGTGCTTTGTACTGATGACAATAGCGTATGTTTCTTATGTAAATGCTGACGTCACATCCTTGCAAATAAATTGTTGTTAGAAAGTGTTTCTCCTTACTATATAACGTTAAGAGTTTATATTCCGGGTGTCAGTAGCTACGCCAGTATCTAAGAAAATCACTAATTTTTGGAAAGGTTCAGTTTTATCTCCCCCGATAAAGTTAGGTAGGATTTGAAATAAAAAATAAAACAAAGGAGCATCGCTTACTCTGTTGGTCACGTTATGGTGATTCTCCAGCCATCTGTATAAGTGTTCGAGTTGTTCCATTACTTTATTGTTTTATATCAACTCTCAACAGCTTTTATTATCGTCAACACTTCGTCCGCTCTCCTATTAATGTTAAGTCAGCCGACACAGACATATTAGAGCTTTATGACGTCACGCGAAGTTGAAGAAACGTGAAATAGCTTCTAAATCTCTTTTGTAATTTCTTCCTATATTAAGTACTTAATTTTCACTTTAGTTGTTCATTTTTAATAGCCTATTAAATATATATCATTACAGATTTTGACTCTACCACCAAATGAACTTCAATGGTTAGCATGGTCGCCTCGCAAGTAAGTGGACCCGGGTTTGATCCCCAGGCAGGGTGAACTATGGTCAAGTTTCTTTACGCCATTAGGTTATGGTTGTTGGCGACAAATTTACGCCTAGGTGGCCCTTGGACTGGCCATCCTCGTTACACGACGGGCAACTATTACTATTACCGCTGTCAATCTGTTTCATTTTGTTACTCCAAAATCTTCCAGTCTGGTAGTGGTGGTGTGGCTCTCCTCTACAGCTGCTGGGAGGTCTCACTGCTCTCAACATATAAATCGTTTGACTAGTTATGATTTCCTCCTCTTACATGGGAAGTGTGTTGACAGTTGACTTTGACTTTAATGCGGGAAGAAGCTGAATGTGTTCCTTAAGAACATAAGAATGGAGGAAACTGCAGCGGGCCTATTGGCCCATACTGGACAGTCCCATTTACACTCAACCCCTATTGCTCATATATTCATCCAACCTATGTTTGAAGCTATCCAGCGTATTCGAGTTAATGATATTTGGTAACTTGTTCCACTCATCCACTACTCTATTTCCAAACCAATGTTTACCTATTTCGCGCCTAAATCTAAATTTGTCTAATTTAAAACCATTGTTACGAGTTCCCTCCTGGTTGGATAGTTTGAGTACCTTTGTTATGTCCCCCTTGTTTAGCCCTGACTTCCATTTATACACCTCTATCATATCGCCCCTCGCTCTACGTCTCTCGAGGGAGTGCAAATTAAGAAGCTTTAACCTGTCTCTGTACTCAAGGTTCCTAATGCCCGGGATTAGTCTTGTCATTCTCCTCTGAATTCTTTCCAAGGATTCTATATCCATTCTGTAATACGGTGACCAGAATCTAACTGCCTAATCCAGGTGTGGGCTCACAAGCTCAAGATATAGCTTTAAGATGACCTCTCTATTCTTGTAACTAACACTCCTTTGTATGAACCCAAGTACTCTATTAGCCTTATTTCGAGCAAATACACATTGTTTACTTGGCTTAAGATTCCTACTTATCATTACTCCCAAATCTTTCTCGCAGTCGGATTTCTCAATAACATCGTTGTTCATCTGGTATATGGTTTCCCTGTTTACATCTCCTATACTGAGTAATTTACATTTGTCCACATTGAATTTCATCTGCCATTTTCAAACCATTCGAAAAATTTGTTTAGATCTTCCTGCAGTTTTGCGGAGTCCTCATCAGATTTAATTCCACGCCCAATTTTAGTGTCATTACCAAAGCTTGTTAAGTTGCTGTCTACGCCGATATCTATGTTGTTTATGTATATAATAAATAATAATGGTCCAAGTACTGAGCCTTGAGGAACTCCACTAGTGACGTTGCTCCAATTGGATTTAGTGCCGTTTACGCTCACTCGCTGTTTCCTATCCCGTAACCACGCCCTAAGCCATTTTAGAATATCTCCTTTAATGCCATGAGCCTCCACTTTTCTTATTAGTCTTTCGTGGGGGACTCTGTCGAAGGCTTTGCTAAAGTCGAGATATACCACATCATAATTTTGCCCCTCGTCCACTGATCGAAAACTGATGAAAAGAATGTTAATATATTAGTTAGACATGAAAGCCCGCTTGTGAAGCCATGTTGGGAATCATGGATCAACTTGTGTTTCTCCAGGTGATTTCGAATAGAGTTTGATATGATTGCTTCCAGTAATTTACCTACAATTGATGTTAGACTGATTGGACGGTAGTTAGAGGATAGTGATCTATCTCCCTTCTTGAAAATCGGTATATATATATAGATATATATATATATATATATATATATATATATATATATATATATATATATATATATATATATATATATATATATATATATATATATATATATATATATATATATATAATGCTGATAACTACAAGGAAAGAAGAAACACGAAATTCACAAGCGCTTTCGTGTAATTCACATGAAAGCGCTTAGAACCTCGTGTTTTTTTTCCTTGTATATCAGCATATACCTAGATCACGCGCACCTACAGTGATTTATATATATATATATATATATATATATATATATATATATATATATATATATATATATATATATATATATATATATAACTAATTGATAGAAAATACTAGGAAATGGAGAGGAAAATGCCTGATGATGTGAGATTTTAACACTCCAAAGGTGGATGGTTGATTAGTGACAGATAATAAAGCAAAACAATAACAAAACAAAGGTCCATAGCTCACTGTTGCCTCAACACGTGGGGGTAGAGAGGGTAGATGGAGAGAGGGACAACACTTGGGTTTAGGAAGGAACTGGTTCACAAATAGGGTGGTGGACGAGTGGAACAAGCTTAGCAACTTTGTAGTAAGTGCGGGAACGCTGGAAAGTTTTAAAAGGAGGCTAGATCGATTCATGGATGATAGAGAGTGGTAGTAACTCTCGACAGGAGCTGCCATGCACAGGCCAACCGCCCTATTGCAGACTCCTTATCGTCTTATGTTCTTACAGCTACTACTGACGTGGAAGGTAAACTTAAACGCATATAACAGATTTAACTTTAAAGGAATTCAAAATTATTTAGACAAACTTTGATAACAAGTAAAGTGACAATAACGAAGAGGAATGTTGAATTCTGGAGGACATAAAAAAAAATCACGTAACAAGGACCGACTGGCAAAAAAGAATAGTATACCTAATTCAAACTAGTTAATATATATTTAACTAAGAACTCCAGCCATGGTCAGTTACATAGCGCACTAGGTGATGGAATCCGTAATGTGAATGACAACAAACCAGCATTCATAACGGCCAGTAACATCCATTCCCCTAGTAAATTCAGAATATACCAAAGTTAATAACATCCCTGAAGGGAGGATAATAGAGATATTATTGTCCTTCATTTGCGTTAATTATATACCAAGTGTATTAGAGCCTTCTGCGAAACTTATTAAATATACGTTAGTCACTTGTCAATGGCGTCATCATCTTCGGGGTGTGAACTATGAAGACCTTAAAATACTCACAAGAATTATTAACATAAGGCTTATCACTCCCATGTTGCAAGATCTGAACAATGTCATCCGGACGCATCTATTTAATTATTCCTTACAAAGTTTCCGCTCTGACGGACAAAGGAAGCCGGTGTCTTGCTTAATGTTCCTAATAAGTTCGACCTTCATTGCCCAATTTTTTTTTTTTTTTTTTTACTCTCACTGATCGGCTTGTTAGCCGCTTGGGCGATCGATCGTCTCTGATTACTTTTCATTTATCTTCACCAAAAGATCGGCTCGCTAGCCGCCCGGGTGATCGATCACCGTCTCTGTCACACACTGTTGGCAAATACTGGGCATGCACCGGCATCTGAATGTACCTGAACCCGCTCCAGTGTAGGTCAAGTCTTGTCTTGAAAGAGCTCACACTCGGTGCCGTCACAACACTTTCTGGTAGATTGTTCCAAGAGTTCACAACCCTCACTCCGAAAAAGTTTGCCTCACAGTTTTCTGGACTTGCGGCTTCTTCAATCTTGAGCTGTGACCCTCAGGGGCGAGCGTCCGCCAGCTCCAAGTAAGGACACTCGACTGAGTAGTGCCCCTGAGATGCTTACACCTCAACTAGGTCACCCCTTGCCCGTCTGTAATATAAGCTAGGCAAGTTCAGGCGCTCCAATCTCTCAGGTAGCTGAGGTGCCGAAGTGCAGGCACCAGTCTGGTGGCCATTCTTTGAACATTTTCAACCAACTGACAGTCCCTAGCATATCTCGGGGACCAGACGGGGTGACAGTACTCCAGATGGAGAAGCACATCACTCTTGAAGATCGTTACGAGAGACGGACCGTCAAGATATCTGAACGACCTTCTTATAAGACCCAATAATTCATTTGCCTGGTTTACCTTCTCGCAATGGCCCGAGAACTTCAGCTCATTGTCAACATACATACCTAGGTCCTTCTCACATTCAGTCTCAACTAGTGCAGTTTCTTCATCCCTTTGGGACATATGATACGCCTCCTTACCGTTGGTACGCCCCAGGTGCATCCTCTTACACTTCGTGACATTGAATCTCAGCAGCCATTCCTTCGACCATTCCTGAGCCCACAGAGGTCCTTCTGCAGCTCTTCACAGTCCGCTTGGTTCTTAATTTCCCCGAAATAACTTGGCGTCATTGGCAAACATTTGTATGGAGGAGTGTACAACGTCAGGCATGTCATTTATGAAACAAACAAACAACAGCGGGCCCAATACACTGCCCAGTGGTACCCCACTTGTGACAGGTACGGATGACGATTTCGGTCCATTAATCACCACACACTGCTTGCGGTCATGTAGAAAGTCTTCTATCCATGCAAGGACATTTCCCCGAATTCCGTACTCTTCCAGTTTGACTTTCAGCCTTTCATGGGGTACACTGTCGAAAGCCTTGGCAAATATTGTCGATATTACCACCCCGTTCCAGAATATGGGTCCAAATATCCAATACCTTGAGCAATTGTGTTAGCAATCCTTTACAAGATTGTTTTGTATTAGATGTTCCATTGCCGCATCTCTGATAATACTCTCAAGTACCTTACATATTATGCTGGTCAGGCTCACTGGTCTATAGTTGTTCGTGGAGTACAGGAGGAAACCAGAGTACCTAGAGAAATGTGTCATGTTTGGTAGATTCACACTAGATAATACGTTTTGGATCACTTGAAGAATCTTTACCCCAGTTTATTTCATCTTAAGATTAATCACCCTAAAACATTACAATCATTTCGGGATGAAAAATCATTTACCATACCTTCCATAAATAAGTCTTAACTTTTTATTATCCTCAGAGCTTTATCAAATATATTTTATATATTATTCTTAATTATATGGTATTGTATTGCCCATGTGTTGAATTCCCATTAAAATAGTGAAATAATATGAAAAAGTTTAATTTAAATTTTCGCGGGGAGTATTTTCATTAGTGGCCGCCAGGGGGTGAGGGCGTTGACGTCAGAGGTAAACAAACGTGAGGAGAATCTTACTAGGGGGAGCAATGACACTTGTTCATCTTCACGCGTCTATATTGTTAAAACAGTATGTGGTTTAAGTGTCATCTAAAGTGTATACTAGTCTTAAGAATTCAGGAGTTGGGTTACATTACCTTGAAGTATGATAATGACTGAATCTATCTGTCACGCTGACCGGATATTGAAGAAAATCCTATGTAGACTTGTTAATACTTTATTTATATCTAATATGGTTGTATTATACCCTATTATTAGTTATAGATGTTTATTCTCATTAAATTTAAGTAATTGTGGTGTATGATGGGGAAACATTTGTCTGGTTGTGTTGGGACATGATTGGTTAGGTTAAGGCAAGGTGGTATTTTTTTAGTTATATATTAATAATGAAGTGGTTATTTTACCTGGATTACAGACGGTTATTGGGTGGGATATTTAACCTTTCCATACTATGATGTATTTTTCTATATACCCGTGATTGTATTTTATTAATGTTTTATCTTCCACAGTTGTACTAAATTGACTTTCTAGTAATTATGAAACTTATGCACCAGTTCCTACTCAAGTTGAAAATACATCACAAATGTTAAATAAGGTTAATGAAGAAACTGAATAAAAATAGTAAACTGGAATTTTTCTTTTAGACAGATGTTTGTTGGGGTAAATCAATCTTGTTTCCACCTCAAAATTTTCCAGGAAATTGATGAGTCCAAGCCATGGTTAGGTGAAGTCTCGTGCAAATAACGTGCAAAAACCTTCTCTTCCAATCATAACTGATTTTGTCACAATGCTGTTTCTGCTAGTGACATTTAACAGTGACCATGTTTAATTTTTCATTGACAATCTTAACAGTGTAAAAGAGTCGTACCTGACTGACACACCACGTGACCTTACACGATAGTACCATGGGCTTCACTCCTGGTTATTATTTGACCTTACATAAGTCTGTGTTACCATAATTGTAAATCTTAGCTGGGTGGGAGCAGGTCAGCATTTATGTAATTTAGTGTTATAGAAGTTTCAATTAACTTTTATGGACACATCAGACAATCTATACAGAAATATATACCTGTACTGTATACAGTTTTAGTTTTATATGGTTTAGCATAAAATGACAACAAAACTACCAACTTGCAATTTCCCTATATTTGCTACCAGTTTGTAGCTAATTATGAAAATGATTCCAGTATTGTGGTCACTTTAAATTATTACCTGGTATTTGTTGTATTCTTACATATCTAGAGAAAATGTCCTCATTTTATTGTTAAACAATCTCAGATCGTCAACTTTTATTTTTTTTTATTTTGTGAAAATTAATAAGATTTCTGTAACTGTACACCCTGACTGTAGCCTCGACCATCTTTGCAGACACTGAACATTACTGAAGCTGGATTATTTCTGATAAAAGATGACTTGAGTCAAGAGAACTTCAGGTTTATATTTTTCCCAGGTTAATATATAATGGTTTGTTGTGTGTCATTTGCAGTAGTTGATGATGGGTGTGGAGGAAAGTGGGAGTGTGTGTCCCCGATCCTGCCAACCTCTTCCCGTGCTCTAGTGATGGTGTGTCCTCATCCCTGTGTCCCTCATGGACCTCACACCAGACCTCGGGTAATGGCTTCTTCAAGGTGTTGTAACATTGGAGAAAGAGTAACTGAATTTAATGTTTCATAATGCTGTATTAACCCCCTGCCAGCATCACTGAAGGGTACAATGCGACTGCTATCCATTTGTCTTTCTGCTCTTCTAAATTATTATACAGAAATCACCAAAGATTTTTACAACAACCCTGACTTAAGTGTAGAGGGTAATACAATAATAACTCGATACAGTTGTGGTTTTTGAATTTCACGAAAGTACTGACGAGCACGCACCCCTGATAAAATCACTTAACAGGTGTTGAAACATTTCTTACTTCTTGTGGTTAACTCTAATATTTAGCCAATTTTAAGTGAATAACCTTTATATTTAGTGTATTTTAGGTTCCAGTAATTAATCTTTATGTCCAGTCATTTTATAGAGTTAACCCTTGTTCATATTGATCCACTTTCCATATGCAAAGATGTACTGTAATTCCTTATTTTCCTAATTAATCTTTTTTTTTTTCTTCAGTCTGAGCAATCATCAGCTGGCAAGAAGTGGGAGTCATACCCGTAGTCTGTCAGTCTCAGACTTATCCCTCGCTTCACTTCTCCCTGAGACTGTCAATGAAACTATTGTTAATGGCACTTATTGACAGAAATCTCAACAAGGAGACAGCGATCAACAGAAACCATGCTGGGTAAGTTGATGCCTGAAGACTAAAACATTTAAATAAACCTGATACTGTGTTATATACTGTATAAACTGCATTGTTTTCTGCTTCACTCATTCCCATCCACGATCATATGGGACTCATAACCCATGTTGACAGTATCTATCAACCATTTTCTTCATTCTTTTGGGAGATTTGCTTTCCTCTATTTTTATCATTATGTTTTCAAATAAAAAATCCTTACATTTCACCTAATGCTCAGGATTTTTTTTATTGTCCTTGAATGGTGTGTTCTGTTCTTCATTTTCTTTATACAGTACGTCATTTTTCCACCATTTTTTCATATTATTCTCTTCCTTAACCGAAAGGATTTTTCTTGTCTTCACAGATACCCTAAAGTTTTCTTGAATTTCAGGTACTGTACTGAATTATATGAAAATGTATTTTACAGTTAAAAATGGCAAAAACTGTCAACAGTTTAGACATACCCGGTATGAAGGACATTATTGTCTTTCTGAGATGGAAATATAACCACTTACATCTTTGCAATATTATTTACAGTGCAATGGGTTGCTGGGATGAATTACCAAGAAAATCCTACAGTCTTCCTCACCGCTACAAAACCCATCTCGTTGGTGGGTGGCGCGGGTTGGGAAGAGATTGCTCAAATAGTCCCTCCATACCACCCATCTCCCCCTCAGAGTTCAAGCATCAGTTCACACTCATGAGACAGTGGTTCAACAGCTTCACCGATGAGCAGAAGAACCGGGTCTTAGCTGAGTTACTGGTGAGAACTTGTCATTAACACCAAGAGTAATGAGAGAGAGAGAGAGAGATATTAATGTTAGAATCTCCATAAAACTGAGATTAGGGGCTGGGCTAGAATATGTGACTTCGGTAGGTGGTACATAACTATTTATTTATAGGTAAAGACTAGCCAGCTGTATGATATTGTTACCACACAGGAGTTACTGTACCTACCTGGAATATAGTCAGTGTCCTCTTAACCAAATAAATGTAAACAGTCAGATAACTAGATTTTATAAAAGGGCTGAATATGAAAAGTACTAATGAAAACTATAAAGATCATTACATATAAATGTGAGTATGTATCGTTGTATAGATGTGTCAACCCTCAGAGGTGTTACTGTACTCATTAATTTGAAGATCATATGATTTGTTTTCTCTGTAATGTGACAAGACATTTGATCTTCAGGAACACATTGGTCCAAGCCAGCTGCACCTCCTCTCAGTTGCCATTGGAGGTCGACTGCACCATGGTTGTCCGCCCAACTGCCACAACCCCATTGGCTGGCTCCCTCCTGGTCTCGCCCTCACTATTTTCTCCTATCTTGATCCAGTGTCCTTGGCTCAGGCGTCACAGGTTTGCAGGTAAGGAATTGTAATGTGAGAGTATTAACACTTGTATGTGGGGTGCCATTTTGATGTTTTACTTGGCTAACTTGAGAAGATTTTATTCAGCTCAGAGAGGACCCCATACACAAGGGTGATTTTTTTATCTCTTCACTTCAGATTCACTCATTAAAGTTCCTTGTTAGCCACAAGAAAAGCTTCTTTGGTGCCAGAGTAGAGGTTTTCAATTTATTTATTTGACTAATTTGTATTCAGTTTTCCTATAACTAAATTCTGTACCTATATACATATTAATTTTCTTAATATAGTGCAATATCAGATGCATTTTTTTTATATTACAGGTATATGTATAAAGGCTTTTTTTAATAATGTAGGTAAATGATAAATAATTTGAATCTTATCATTTCAGAACTTGGTATAGCTTGGCCTCACGGGACTGCCTATGGCGAAATCTTTCCCTTCACCATGAATGGCAACTTTCACTGTCTTCCCACAACAAGCAGTTAGCTCGCTGCTTACACAGGGATGGCTCTGTAGATTGGAAACAGGTATATATGTTTTTCCTTCATAACTTGTATATTTTTCAATCTGATGCAGTGGTCTCCTGAACAACCTTGGGGTCAGGGGTAGTTGGCAAAAAGGAATCAGGGTACAGTAGTTTGATTTGCAATATATTAAAGTTAATTTCTCATCTGAAAATAAAGGGTTATGGGATGATAATGGAATAGAATGTAACTCACTGTACACTCAGAGTAATTGATAAAAACGAGTATGGGTAACACTGTTGACAACAATGCGGGACATTGGTTGTGGGAAATGATGGCTCGCTGGGACAGAGGTGCAAATAGTCGTACATCCCTGTGACATTGTTACCAAAAAGAAATTTAATTGACAAAGAAAGTGGCACATAATATTAAATGAAACAGAGATAAAACTGGACTAAAAAATGTATTTATATAAGAGATCATACTGTATTTAAATGTAGGGAAGGTCACTGTAAAGGGTGAAATATATAAGCAACTTGTTCTTTGTTAATGTAAACTATCGAACTATAGAACTTCTGCTGTACAGTATTGTATCATAGGCTAAAATAGCTATATCTATCATACATTTGAACATCAGTGGTCTACCTAGGCCTATAGTCCAACAAGAACCTCGTCATTTCTCCGCCACTCTGCCTATAAAACTTCATTTATATATCACTAATTCTTATTTATCTTTGTAGGTATTTGTTGAGCGCTACCGACTCCATCGTAATTGGCTGGGAGCTCACTGCCATGTACGGACTTTTGAAGGTCACACGGAAGGTGTTTCGTGTGTCCAGTTTGATGATCATCGAATAGTTTCTGGTTCACATGACAATACTATAAAGGTAAGACACCACAAATTTGTATGTAGTTATGGAGAACATTGTCTTTTATCAAATTTAAAATGAATGAATTATTGTATCTACTGTGGTTTCTCCTTATACATCAACCAAATTAAAACTTGCACATGCGCTATACTGTACTATACTTATAGATACATGCACTATGCTATACTTATAGATACATGCTCTATTCACTCCCAGGTGTGGAACATGCGGACATTCCGGTGGTCTGTACAGACACTGGTGGGTCACTCTGGCATGGTGCGTTGTCTCCACTTGGCTGACAATCGGCTTGTTAGTGGCTCAGCTGATGCTACAATAAAGGTTTGTTATATTTTTGTGTCATAATGTGTTTATTTAACCCACTCACTTTGGGGACACCACTTTTAATATTTTATTTGGGTAATGCCGTGCAATTTTATTCAACACACAGAGGACCCTGTACACAATAGGTTAAAGGAGAATAATTTTTTACCTTTCCAGCAAAAAGGGAGTCCTGATTTGTTGATGACCACACATGCTTTGTGGAATGATGATAGAAAAGCCATTGACACAATTGATTGATTTTCTATATATTTTTTTTATTATTTACATAGTTTCTTATTTCATGATCAGCCATTACTGTTTTTTAATATGGACAGTCACACATTGTAGGTCTTGTTGATTTCCTTGTAGTTGGTAGTTGCTTGAGTATATTTTTCCCACCCAAAAGAAAATAAAGTCATGTTCGAGTATATTTTATTTACATTGCAATGGCTCTTGTGTTTTATGTTGTATGAATTGACTCAAATCTCTAATGAAACAGGTAAAGTCACTACTGTATATCTGTTTATTTGTTCTTGTATGCTAATTATCTCTCTTAATGGCGTCCAGGTTTGGGACGTAGAGGAAACCAGTCAATGGTCATCAATTAACTGCAAAGTCACAATGATTGGCCACTCTTCAACTGTCCGCTGCCTTCAGGTGAGGTCAAAGGTGTAGTTGCTGTTGTCATCTTTTGTCAAACAATTGTTACTGTGTTGTTAAAGTTCTTTCACACATCAACCAACTGTACTAGACTTCCCTTGCTTCTCTGGCAACACACTCATAAGCCCTCTACTGTATATAGCAACACCTATTTCTTAAACCCTTTTTGAAAGTTATGGTTATAGCTGGAAAGTATAAACAACCTCTCATTAGCGCCAGTCAATATCCTCTGTATTTCAAGAAGAGAGTCCAGCTTAAAGCTTCACAGATTTAGCCAGTTGTATTTGTTGTGTTATAAGTGCAGGATATACCCTAATGCAGTGTTACCTGTACTAATTATTATTCCTGCAGGTTGATGGGGAGCGTGTGGTAAGTGGCAGCTATGATCACCTGTTAAAGGTATGGGCGTTGGCTTCAGGCGAGTGTCTACGCACCCTCGCCGGACATCAGGCACCTGTGCTCACCGTTGCCTTTGATGACAATAAGATTATTTCCGGTGCAGCTGATAAAACTATTAAGGTAAGAGGGATCAGCTTTATTTGTTGTTGTTCCAGGTACAGTGTATACTCTTACCCTTTTATGTTTGGCGAAGAGGCAACGCCATACACAAGGGGTTAATACTTTGTCTTCTGTTCATGTCCAGTTTTAATCACATACAGTAAGTCTACTATGTACACACACTCCCAAAAACATAGATAGTTACAATAGAAGGACTTTAGGGTGACTTGTAATCTCTGCTATATTTAATTTACCCTTCCACAGGTTTGGCAGCTAGATTCTGGTCAGTGCCAGAAGACACTTTAGGCCACGAAGACGCTGTAACCACACTAACCTATGATAACACTACCATTATTTCCGGCTCTCTTGACTGCACTATCCGCCTTTGGTGCCTCTCCTCTGGCCAGTGTCTGGGTGTCCTTGATTGGATGTCCAGCGAGGGTCATACAGGTATGTGGTGTGTGTTGTGTGTCTTGTGTGTGAGCATCTGTGTGTGTGTGTAAAGTTTATTTTTAGAAGTGTGATCTCCGTTCAGAATATTTTAAATGTTATGTCTCCGTAGGTGTGATACGATGCCTGGCTGCCGACTCAAGGCGAATTGTGAGTGCTTCCGATGATAAAACAATTAAGGTAAGAAAATATTTTGTGAGTGTATAGCTTAGACACATCCCAAGTAGCATCCTCCTGTGTTGTGTGTAAATGTATCTAATATTCAGTCATCATTATGTTTATTGTGACTGCACAGACACTTCATTTGAGTACAGTATTTTATGTGAATTAAGTGGCTTTATATTATAAGTTTTCTAAGGCAATGAATTGTTTTGATGGTATATTGTATGTATGTAGCATCCATGATTGAAAACTAATGCCCATAAACATTGTTGTATTTGTTTAGTAAAACTGGTAGTACACAGTCAGCAGTAAGACATGTTTGATGGAATATTTTTCACAAGGCAGAAAATTGTAAACTCTCCCTCATAATTAACAAAGAGGAATATTAAGCCTCGTGCATAAATTTCAGGTATGGGACCGTGAATCTCGTCGCCGGTTAGTGACTCTGAGGAACCACACCGATGGCGTCACGTGCCTCGCCTTCAACGATCACGTGATAGTAAGCGGGTCTTACGATAAGACTGTCAAACTTTGGGATTTCAGTGTGTGCTAAGTTTTCCTTAATATCTTATGAGGGAAGAACTTGATCAGTGTAAGTAGTTGTGCAAGTGTCTATCAAATTTAGGATAAATTGTTTGTTAAAGCATAACTGCTTCTCACCCAAATTTTTTTTAATGCTTGGCTTATGTTGGGTTTTTTCCTGAAGGTGTGTGACTGTCTTGTGTGAATTAGTTCAGAAGTGTGAATTGATTTTTATTATTGTAAAAGAGCATGTTTAATAATCATTTCATGGGCATAACTATTTTATTATGTCACTAATGGAGCAGTGACATTCTCTTTAATTGCCTGCTTAGTACAAGTTGAGTCTTCTCTTCATGAGCCAATTACTTGTATCTTTTTAATTGGAGATCTTAAAATGCCTGAGTGAGTCCTTATGTTGAGGGTGGTGGTGCGAGGCAGGTATGAATATTGACTGAAAGATATAAAGATCATTTTTATAAAGCTCTTTGGTTTATGGCATTGTGTAATAGTAAGAAGCTGTACGGCAGAAGTATCCAGCCAATGTCTATGACTTATAGGTACTGTAGCTCATCTTTCTCTGCCTCACTGTAAACTTCATTAATCTGATGCAAGAAGATGTTTGAAACTATGTATTGTGTCTCTTGTACAGAGTACCAGAAGCATGGCACAGTGTAACGGTTGTATGATACTGTGTGTGTGTATTGAGTGTCTGTAGTACAATGATGTAATGGATGGCATGACATTTGAGTATGTATGGTACAATTGTAATGAATGTTTGGTATAACATATTGAGTGTGTGTATGGTGGTACAGTGTAATACTGTGCTGTATGCTGTAAATGTTTGATACAATGCTGTAGTTGTACAATTTACAATTTAATGGTTGTGTGTGTGTGGTACTGTAATATAATGGGTGCATGTTACAATGACATGGATATATGGTACAATGTAATGGATGTTGTTCAGTAACATATGAATTGGTTCACCTTCCAACTTCAGGATATTGACAGCATTTTATTTTATTTGACCCTTATCTCTTGTTGATAAATCCCATCCCATCGGTATTGCACCAGACCAGTTCGTCCAATTCTCTGTATAGGACGTAGACAGGCAGCTGTTTTTGTTTTGTTTTAAGTTATTTTTAAATTTTTATAAAGTAATTCACCAGATGTTGAACCAATTTTAATCTACCTCACTACTCACATGACTTGTTTAATAGTTATTTTCTTGCCTTATAATTCTTGCATCAGTGTATCGTTATTTCCCTACGTAGCAGAGTTCAGTGAATTGTTCTCCCTTCCTGTACAGTATACAGAACTCAGTGCATCAGGTTTTTTTTTGTGAGTGTTTGAATGTGTTTTTTTTTTCTTCTAGTGCGTTATTCCCTACAGTTGAGTTCGCACATTATTTTCATAGACACAATAGAGTTCATGTATCATTTCTTCCTACTCAAAAGAATTCACTGTATCAACATCCAGTGCAGCAGAGTTCCATTGTAAGAGACACCTCCTAATTTAATCATGGTACATCTATGCAAAGCAAAGTTTAGTAGCAGTTTGGGTGTTCCTGCTATTGAACACGCTTCAGTCTTAGCAAGATACTAATTTAACATAAAACTATTTGTTCCTTTAATATGACATTAACATTATTATCTCTTTACTAATGTTTATTGAAATATTGTAATTGAGTAATTTAAGTTGTTTCAAAGTAATTGTCAGTATCCAGCTGTTTTCTCTCTCAAGATTTATGGAATGAGTCCGGTGAAATGATTAACCACTTCACTATGGGCACGGCACTTTGACTATTTTATTTTAGCTAATACAAGTCGATTTTATTCGGCTGGGGACCCCGCACACAAGTGGTTAAGGAAAGTTAGCAGACGAGAACGTAAGATGTGAAGGAGAGTGTGATGTCTTTCTCAGTGACTGTTATCAAAGTTTGAAGCTTTTTGTATGTTCCCAACTCAAATAGTGAGGTATATTTGATAACACATGTTTTTTTCCTAAGGGAAAGTGAATAGGAATAGAAGTTTGTCAGTTTGAGACATTTCTGTACTGATTGTTGAGTTTATTCCTTGTTCAGCACCTTTCTGTTCTTTTTAGGTAATATGGATTTGATTGATTGATGAACTTTTCTGTTGTATATACAGTATTTATTTTGTTTGCCGTTATTTGGTTTTGAATATATTCAATTGTGGATAAAATTCTTCCATGCTTATGGTAATGTCTGGTACACACACTCCAAAAAGTATCTTTACGGAGGGGTCCGATAAATTTCAGAATAAACACTGCGACTCCTGTTGTCTCAGTAGGGTTGTAAAGATCCAGCATCCATTGTATCATACTGTCTAACACAAAATTGTAAAAATATTTTTTGGAATGAGTTTACATCCTGTATCAACCTGACTGGCATGACTTTGAGTTTTCTTTGTATCATAAGTTGGTTTGTCATTCTGTTATTGGAATAATTTATTATCTAAGCAACTTTCACCAGCATCAGACCAACCTCATATATGACCCACAAGTAGATGACAAGTTATTGCCACGTATCAAGGAAATTTTGACCGCAATTGGAAGTTCATTTTACCAACTTTAACTCTCTTTTTTTTTTTTAAGATTACAGTATAACGATTATGACTAATGTATCCCTGTGAGACAGAAATTGTGATTAGTTTAACTAGTTTTAGACATATTGAATTATAAGAGTGATGGTTGATGTGAGTAGTGAGAGTGAATAAAAGAGAGGTGATCAAGTCTCAGTCAAAAAGTAAATTGTATCATTAGTCAGGTGTAGAATGCATAAAGTATGTAGAGGATGCAAGTACACATGAAATAGTGAGATGGAAAAAACATACAAAAGTGACTATTTTGATGACCAGAGAAGGGAGCAACTTCATTAGCAAGGAGTGCCAGAACAGCTGAGAGAGAAATGCAGTGTGGATGCTTGTGGAATAGTTTTGTAATTGGGTTACTCTGGAAATAATTGTAATTGTGATATTGTGCAAAAATGCTGTGAGTGTGCACTAGGTAGGAATAATGCTGTGGAAAAATACTTTGACTCCAGTACTATTTGTAATTACAGTATATTGCTGTGTGGAAGAGGGATTTGACTGTATGAGAAAATGTTGTTGTGGTACTGTATGGAAAAGTAATATGACTGGTTTTGTATGGAAAGATGTGACTGTAGTAGTGTTTTTGTGTCTGTGTGGAAATGTTATGTGACATTATTGTGTGGGAAAGTAATATGAATGTAGTACTGTGTGGAAAGGCATTGCGACTACTGAACTAATGAGACTGTAGTACTTTGTGGATGCAAAAAAAACTACAGTATTATAACTGGTATTGCATGGACAGGTTCTGTGATTGTGTAAAAGTGTGCTGTGGTTGTGGTAATCTATGATAGGGGCTACATCACTGCATTAGTGAATAGAGAAGGACTGTGATTGTCCTCTTGAGCACATCCCACACTTTACATGGGAGATTTTATGCTTCTGTGTATGGAGTCACAGTTAGATGATTGTGAGGAAGTATTTTCATTTATGCAGTTAATTGTTGATATAATACATCATCTTTTACATTGGCTGAATATTTTTACATTGGGATTTTTTTTTTGCTGTACAGTACTGTATATTAATATCGCCTCAGTCGAATTATATAGTGCCCATGCCAATTTTGTGTTCCTTATATACGATAGTTATATCTTCACAGTACAATGAGGGAAGTACATTTGTGAATAGTTTTCTAGACCTTAAATTTGCTCTGTGTTGGGAAATCTTCTATGTTCGCTACATTCATATGCTACAAGTCCTTGTTTAGTGAATATTTAGAGAAGTGGTAAGCTCTTGAAGTACTGGTATGAAAATGTATTAAGTTGTTATGTGTTAATTAAATTGTTACTTTTTTTTTAATTTTGTTATTCTATGTAGGGAGGAAAAATGCATGTGTGATTGTTTCCATGGCAACTATATTTTTTTCCATAGTCTACATATATATTTTTATTTTTTTAGTCTGCTAAATCATTCCTTTTTGTTTAATACATTTCTCTTTATTTAATCGATGGTCATACAGTTAGAATGTTATACTGTACTAAGCATAACATGTTTACAATGATGTGGTCTGTCTCAGTATGCTATATGGTATTAATATGCAGAGTTATTAATATTGTGTTTCATTGTAAGGTTGTACTATATTGAACACAAGTGGTCTCCTGTGAGGTAATTGGATGCCCTACTTCTTTAGCTCTTATTTTGAATTGTATATTCTGTGAATATTACTTATTTTTTAAAAGTAGCAACTTTAGTAGTGGCGGTATTATTGTGGGTTTTTTAAGTTCATGAAATGCATGATTGTGTTTTCTTAACTTACAATGCAATGGTGTATAGAGTGCCTCAGTAACTTGTTCTCTGATGTGCTCACTACTAAGATATAACATAAATCTGTTGCATGCCTGTCACTGCCAACATGTCTGTCCTTGCACTCAATGTTACATTACACAGTCACTGGAGGAAGGTACAGAGTCACCGTGCAGATGATTAGTTATGTCTTGGTAGTTAGATGTACACTAGATATTTTTTCTTCAGCAAATCGAGGCTCTGGTCATCAGTGACAGATACAAAGCAGGTCATTGAAAGAGGCCCCTGGAGGAGTATATTATTTCCTCTTCCCTGCTCTTCATTTGTTATATTAATTCAGTCATTATTATCAGCAAAACTCTGGTAAGAAGGAATAGTTGAACCTCTTGCTTGGAATGCCTGTAATACTTTTTAAAATAGATTTGCTTATTGATACTGTACTTCTTCAAATGTTAATGTATTCAAACACCTTGTATGATGTACCGGAAATATTCTCTGAATTATAAGACAAAGATAGAGCTCAAGTATCAAAAATGTCTATGCAACCAAGTTTTGTATGAAACATTGAACGCAGACGAGAAATTTTGTGAAAAATAGCATCAGTACAACAGGCAGCGTAATTATCTGAGGATTCATTCAGAAAATTGTGATTTACTCTTTTTTTTTTATTATTGGTGTAGTTGATGTGCTGCTGTACTGTACTATGTTAGTGACTGCAGAAACTAAAATTATCTTTTTGGACACTTGATGCTTGCTCAACAGTGGTAAATGTAAACATTGATTGTTAATTAACCCAGTGTGACCCTGATATCTCTGTAATAGCTTTACTGAACAATTAACATTCCAAATTTATTTCATATTGAGTACCTCTCGTGCCATTGAAGTGGTGCAAATTTCAAATGTTTTGACACATTGGTTAAGTTCAAACCTTGTTGAAGTTGTGTTTCTAGGAAAACAAGTTAGAATTGTTGAGTACTTCTTATTGGTTCATAACCCCATGACACAGCAAGAGTCAATTAAATGATTTCTTATTATTAAAAAATGAACAATCTTCCCTGGAAGACTGCATGTTATAGCAAATTGTCATGTTGTATACAAGTGTGTGTGGTTTGCCTTGTTAATTCATGTGCAGTTACAAAATGTTGTCTTTCCTGTTGTTCCAGTAACTCTCTTGTACAGGAGAAGAGGCACAGTGAAGTAGTCATACGCTGTACAGCGTGAAGGAGAGACCTCACTTACTGTGGATTTATTTATCCAACTCTTAAAACTTTAAATAATTTAAATTTTCATAACTCTTCATAACTATTTACAGTCATCATCAATAAAATGTAAGTCTCCCTTAACTAATCAGGGTTCAGGTAGATTAAGACCGAAATAATAGTTAATTCTGATTAAATAGATAATGAACATTTAATACAGTCAGAGATTGGGATAACCATTTGTAAGTAGTAAATGTATTGTTGTAGAAATATTAACTCATATTTCCAGATGTTATTGCTATGGTTAGATGCTTTGTCTGTAATCTTTGGTGAACTCTTATGGGCCTTACAAAATATATCTATGCAATATGAATTAAAAGGTGATAAATGACTGGGAGTTCTTGACCTCATATGTGTTAAATGTGCAAATATTTCCCACAGGAGGAGAGTTATTGTTGTGTCTGTGTATCGAACTGTGAAGGAGGCCCCGGAGTGTTCATTGTTTTTTTGGTGAGAGGTGCCTGAACATGATTGGATATATAGTGAGTGATGACCTAACACCTTCCCTTAATTATCTCGAGCCCTGGAGAGCATAGTCAGTATATAATAGTTTTGTTCAGTATATTATGAAAATGGGAAGAAATGCTAACCAGTGGCCCACGATTGCTTACTCATGACAAAAATGTCCATGTTAATGCTTAGTGTAGCAACTTAGTGCTATTAATTATTTTGTAGTTGGTGCTAGTTGAGGAGATATATGGTGTGGTAGCAAGTTATATTGTATGTATTTTACCTGAAATACTCTTACGACAAGGTAAAGGTTTATAATACTGTAATTAATTCATATGTTCTCATACAGGTACAGTGCATGTCCTCATATACGTGCAGGGTAGGCAGATTACAGCTTATTCTATCATACAGTGATCTTAAAGTTTGAATTATATTTTGTGTCTGCAATAATTATTACTTTACATGAAGCATCAGTAATTTATGCGGTAGAACCTCAAGTTATTTTGCCCAGTGGTATTCTGTAAAGGATGACAGATACAGTTTAAGAAGATAAGAATTGTATGGGGGTGATTATTAAACTTTCCAACTGATCATCAAACTGCTTGGATTTTTCAGGTTCATGTGTTGAATATTCTCTGTAGCTAGTGATGTAAGAATGCATCTAACCGGCTCATTTGGTCTGCATAACAGAGACAGAAGCACGAATGGAATCAGAAGTGCTGTGAGACGAGTAATAATGTAACTACAGTAGACATATTTTCTTAACCCTAGTTACAGGAAGAAATTTTTGGTACAGAACTTTGAGAATTCACCTGTAGATTGATGGCTAGTTGCAGAGAAAGCTTCAAGTGAGGTTAAGGGTGTGGAAGAGGGGATCTAGAGTGTGATGTGAATTAGAAGTAATCCTGAGAACTTTAAAATACAGCAAATAAAACCTTGAAGGAAAAGATGACATTATGTATACAGGTACTTCATTTATCTTCATCCTGTATGTTGACAACAGATACGTCCATGCTTATCAACGCTATTGCTCAACTCTTTTTCTCTTTTTTTTATGAGATTGCTGTCTATTGTATGATTATGCTTCTCTCTCTTTTTTTTGTAAGTAAGTAAATTTAAATTGTTAACATCTTATTGGCTACTTATATTATTAAGTGTCTTAGTTATTCTTTATTTATTTATATAACTGTAAGGAAAATTTTCTGTATTACTTTTGTATTTACAAGCCATTATAATTTAAGCAGATGCTTCAATCTGTATTTTGAGATAAATATACTTATGAAACTAGCTATTCTGAGGGTTTTACTCCTCCTTATCATAGATGGTAAAGTGCTGTATATGTTTATCTACCAAAGTTTGTGATGGCGTGTGGACCAAGAAAAGACGAAGCATAGACTCCTCTCAATCTTCTCCATATTACCACCACTACAGTACAGTTTTAAGAAATTTGTTTGACTTTTCACAGTAGAAATTCAACACTACCCCAGACCTGAAGGAAACATATCCCCCTTACCATGGAAACTGAGTAAAGATAAAGAAAGTTTGTCTCCCTTGGCCATAGGTAATTAAAAAAATGAGGAGTCCATGAAGTGGGAGAGAAGCAAAAGTTTGTGGTCATAATATGTCAGTGGATAAGGAGATAAAATAAATAAAATACAAAAATATGGTCTTCTCAACTAAACAAACTTAATAACCAAAATTTTTTACTGTAAAGGAAAATTAAGCCAAATGTTAAGGATTTCTTTATATTTAATAAGTAATATATACATCATAAAATTACTAACCTACAAATCATTTTTATAAATATATATGAGGTCATACATCATCAACATAACCTTAAGCCAACTTAAATACATGAATAGAAATAACTGTCTGTGGCAACCATCTTCATATCCCCAAGGCAAGGCTCAAATTTCAAGTCTTGTTTCTATATACTTTTCTGGTTGAGAGAATTATTTTCCTTAAGTCAATGAGAATTTTTTAAACCCAGAGTTTCATAATTCTTCTGTCATAATTTGTGTTTTCTTGTTTGTTTTGGCATTTTCTGCAATTTAAAATATCCATATGACTCAAAATTTTAGTTCTTGGTATTTTATTTTATTTTTTGCTCGTTTTCTGTAAGTTCCATACCGTAAAATGTTCATTAATAGTTCATTCTTTCATAAAATCAAACTTCCTCAGATAACATTGATTTCACTCATAGGTTCTGTTACTTGACCATCCCCCAAGTCTATTTCTTCATCATCATCGTCATGTCCATCCACACACTCCATCTCCTGGTCTGCTAACCTCTCTTCCCCTTCCTCCTCCTCCTCTTCTTCCTCTTCCTCCTCCTCCTCTTCCAACCTCGCCACCACATCCTGTTCTCTTGGGTTCACCTCTTGCTTCTGTTGCTGCTGCTGTTGCTGCATCTGCTGCTGTTCACGCTTCTTGAGCTCCGCATGACGCCACTTCATTCTTCGATTTTGGAACCAAACTTTGACCTGGAAAAGATGTATAAACTAAGTATAAATACAGTTGTTCTTTTTTTTTGGGGGGGGGGGGACACTAAAGTTAATAAATCCAGTACTGTAATACTTTTAATACTAATCTACACAGTAAAATTAGGAAACTATCTTTGATATTTGAAGTCAAGTTTCATTTTTTAATTTCTACTGACTATAAGCGCAACTTGATCATTAACTTGATAATAAATTAATATATGTAGTTGCTTCAGTAACATTAAATTTTACACACAATTTAAGCTTAAAATACTATTCAAAAAATTGGTTTCCCTGAATATATTATCGATAACCAGGTCACACGATCCTCCTAACTACCTCTCTCGACTATTAGTAACCATAACAGAGACTACAACTATACGTCGTGTCTTGCTCAAGTCTCGCCAGTGTTTCATGACACATCAGACAGGCGAGTGGTGCTGAGCTGACTCCCTCCTGGGTAAGCCTATGTGTTATATTCTATACATTTTTACCTTTTTCTTGGTATGATATTTATTATTTTGAGTTGGTCATTAACATTCCCGTTTTATGCACATTTAATTGGTTATACTGATATTGTATTTCGCCTTTAACGTCACGATATAAACTCACTGTCTTTAACCACCCTGTGTATAAATTTACTAGTTTCCAAGTTAACCAACGTCCAAATTTCGTAGCATTCAGATAATTCAACAATGTACAAATTTAAGAGTGTCCAGGTAAAGTAAACGTCCGAATTTAATGCTCTAGTGAAAACAATCTCTAGGTTAATTAGTGTCCAGGTAAACAATCGGTCAAAATTAAAAAAAAAATTGCTTAGAAATCTGCCAAACGGTACAGCGGGATGACTTATAACACCGAAACGTGCCGTATAAATCTTCCAGGAGAGGGTATTGAGAGTGACTTACCTGGGCATCGGTTAGGCCGAGGGTGGCTGCCAGCTGACGACGGTCGGGCTTGGTGATGTACTTCTGCAGTTGAAACCTCTTCTCCAGCCCCTTCCTCTGTAGATTGCTGAATACCGCCCGCGTCCAAGTCCTCTTCCGCCGCCCGTGACTTCCCCCAGGTGGCGCCACACCCACGCCTACTAAATCGTGCCTGTTGCTACTGCTGCCGCCGCCTACACCACCACCGTATACTGTGAAGGAGGGGAAGAAGAAGGTATGTTAGTAAATTGACATGATTAATTTATGGGGACGTGACAGTAACAGATGTTTGTGTCATACAGGTAGTTATGTCACAAGAAAGTGTCATACAGATAATCAAGTAACAAAAGGAAGTGTCATAGAGGTTAATTACGTGTCATGAGCGTAATTAAGTAACAGAAGCTGGTGTCATAAGAAGGTGAAATAATTAGGGAGGAGATTCTTCAGGCGATCCCAAAAAATCATTACTTTGGTTATGTCTTCTACACGATAATGTGATATGATGATGTTTATACTTAAAAAATACATATACATAATGTATATGAATATGTAAAGGTGTTAATAAATGTGGTGGTATAAACCATGTCAACATTCGGTCACTTTAAACATATGTTACTAGGAGGTGATGGTGTGTAGTGTTGTTTGTGATGCTCAGTTTTCACGGTGATCCGTTACACTGCTTTCAAGAATTCGGAACGTGATTCTAAATTCTTCAATTTTTTTTACACCTAAGAGAGATTAGTATAAACGATAATGATAGTATGATTAATGTAATTCTCAAATAGGAGTTTTATCACTCGCCCAACTGTGTGTTCCTGCAAACTATCACATTTCTGCCCCCACTAACATTTTAATCCCCGTTTACACTGCCCCCCGTTCCCCGCCCCCGGCTATACCACTCCAGGTTGGTGGGCGCCCCCAGGATCAAAGTGCCAGACGCCAGGGTGGAGGAGCTAGGGCAAGTCAACAGTTTAAGTGATAATTCTGGCGGGCAAGGTGTTGGCGTCACGGAGCGACCCGTGTTTGCAGCCGCGCCTCATGTGGCCATAATGGCGCTGATTGATGAAACGCTATAGTCTAATAAAACGGTATAAATGCGGGCCTCCTCCGAGAGCCCGCTAAACATTGTTCCAACCATCAAATTCCTGCCCGGGCGCGCGTTTCGTTCCACTTCGTTCTCAAAACCCGTACGAGGGAGTGCTGGTCTGAGCGAAGTCCAAAGAGAGCCTCAGATTAACTTAGCATTCTGGGTATGAGCTATAAACAAACGCCAATGACTCAAAACGCTGACAGAAACTTGTAAACTGTTTGTTCTCGACCAATCACAGCTCCCTGTGTGCAGACTAACTCCAGCCATTCGTGATAAACAACCCGAGGTCGTAACCCAGGGGTGTGTCGGATCCCACCCTCGCCCTTGTGACACCAGGTCAGAGGGTTTAATACAGGCGATCCTCGTCCAATAATTCCTCCGCTAATGGTAACTGTGTGTGTACTGATGTGGTCGGAGACTCGCTTGAAAGAAAACACAGAGTATCCTGGGCAGGGAAGCGCGCGCGTGCGGGCAGACCCCAACACTTGCCTTACTGCCACAAACTGCCGCAATGGGCGCGCTGGTCGACCTGCTCAAACACTGACATCTTGACTTCCCCCCTTCCCTCCGGCCTTCATTCTCGACGTTGTTTGGCCAAGTTGTGTGAAATATTGAGGGCTTTATTGCCTAGGAAGACATCTTTATTCTCTTTCTAAGAGCGAGTATAGATAAGCAGGTAGACGGAGGGGAGGGTAGAGGGTGGTGGTCAGAGGTGGTTTGGAGAGCTCTTCTCAACACATACTGTACAGTCTTCTTGAATAACTAAACCTCATTTGTTATATATATATATATTTTTTTAATTAACTGCAGTATAAAATTACACTAAATCTTTTTGATGAGCTAGACTGCTATACAGTATATCCCTCGATGACATACACACGTAACATAAACTGCTAATCATCCTGCCGACGAAATGCTCTAAGTAGCCTCAGATAGCGAAACAAAACAGACGAGATAAACCACAAAGAAAAAAGACAACGAGAAGAAGAGCAGAAGCGAAGGTGATGAAGACAACGATACAGTGAGAGATGATGAATGAGATGACCAAGATGATGATGACGAGACAGAGTTACACAAAACAAACGGGTGATGGATGGATGAACATTGCAGGAGAAACAAGAAGAGGAGAAAGAAGATAATTTCAAAAGTAAACAAATTATGATAGAATATTAAAAAGGGATCATAATTATAAACTATACAAAATGGGAAATGGAAAACAAGCCTAAAAAGCCAAAATTTAATACTTGTACATATAAGAAATAAAAAAACTAGCTAACAAAAAAACTACGATAAATAAGATTAAGAGAAACAAGAAGAGTGATGAGAATAATGATGCTGAATATAAAGTTGAGGGGAAATAGCAAGAAGGAATAAAGGAGAAAGAAGCAAACGAAGAGGAGAAATAAATAAAATGAAGGAGAAAGGTGGGAGAGTGATATAGGGAGATAAACAGGAAGACGAACAAGGGGTGAAGATAATATTTAAAGAAAGACTGAAGTGGGGAGTAATAAAAGAGAGATATGTGAAAGGGGTGAGAGGAGGAAGAAGAAGAACAGAGAAAGAAGAGGGAGGATGAATATCGAGAAGATTGAGGAAGAGGGAAGGTAAAGAAGAGGAGGAAGAGGTAAGAGGAGGAAGATACAGTAGTAAGAAGGGGGAAGAAGAGGTGGTATGAGGAAGCGGAAAGAGGAGGAGGACGGTAGAGGGGGGAGATATGGTTGAAGGAAGAGGGAAAATGAGGAAGAAGAGGGAAGAGGAGGATGAGGCAAGAGGAGGACGAAGAAGAGGGAGGAGGGAGAGCAGGAGGATGGGTGGCGGCCACAGGCTGGTGGTAATGATGCTGGTCGCTTATTTGTTCAGCGTCGACCTGCCTCCGGTGGCCCTAGTGTTTGACGCTCGCAAAACAATGTTAAACAACCAGCAACGTCCCCACGCCCACAGCTGCCCCCACCCGCCTTCACCACGCCCACCTACCCATAACCACCACGCCCACAGCTGCCCCCACCCTCCTTCACCACCCCAACAGCTGCCCCCACCCTCCTTCACCACGCCCACAGTTATCCCTACCCATAACCACCACGCCCACACAGCCCCCATCCGCCTTCACCACGCCCACAGCTGCCCCACACCCTCATCACGCCCGTAGCTGTCCCCACCTCCTTCACCACGCCCACAGTTATCCCTACCCATAACCACCACGCCCACAGCTGCCCCCATCCGCCTTCACCACGCCCACAGCTGCCCCCACACGCCCTCATCACGCCCGTACCTGTCCCCACCCCTTCACCACGCCCACAGCTGCCCCCCCCTCCTTCACCACGCCCACAGTTCTCTACCCATATCCACCACGCCCACAGCTGCCCCACCGCCCCTCATCACGCCCGTAGCTGCCCCACCCGCCCTCACCACGCCCACAGCTGTCCCACCTGCCCTCACCACGCCCGTAGCTGCCCCACCCGCCCTCACCACGCCCGTAGCTGCCCCCACCCGCCTTCACCACGCCCCCAGTTACCCCTACCAATATCCACCACGCCCACAGAAGAAAGAGAAGGGAAAGCTGAAGAGAAACGGAAGGAGAAAGTGAGGAACAGAAAGGAAGAAGAGAAAGCATAAGTCAAGCTGGGCAGATAAATACGTACTTAACGCTGAATTATTTGGGTTAATGGAGAGATAATCATACACCCCGTTTTAACTGTTACATAATGACATTCTGTTCAGCCACAATCGCCGTCACAACACACATAAATCAGTCAGCTATTGCAACAACACACGCTTAACATGCAGACATCAGCACAGTGTCATCACCACAACGTTAAAACAGCTGGTGGCACGTAACATCCATCAGTATAAACAGTGAGCAAGTGTAAGGAGACAAAATACTATCTTCGTGAATCCCTTGTTTAGGATCTGAACGTCTATGATAACGTGTTATACCTCTGAACCCTTCTTGCGTTTATACCAGTAGCTTAACAAATACCATCTTCATGAAACCCTTATTTAGCATCTGAACGTCCTTGGTAGTGTTATATCTCTGAATTTTTCTAGCGTTTATACCGGTAACTGAAGAGATTTAGGTACAAGTCCCTGGGCAAACGTATCCACGCCATCACTCTCTATACAGGGTGTCTCAGAAAAATATACACACATTGATTTACATATTTTCGCGGAGATCGCCCGACTGTGTGTGTGTGTGTGTGTGTACATTTTTTGAGACACTTTATTATTTCAAGTGACCAATATTTATAAGAAAACGAATTTATTATTATTGTTAGATGTCGCTTTTTACAATTTTAGATTTGACGGGCGCGTTGAAATATAACTTAACCTAACCTAACGTACTTTTCAACACTACCATGACCTGACCAGCATCACATGACGTTACAGGGGAGGAAGAGGTACACACTCAGCCATACCCACCGTCTTCCTCTACCACGTAAATGAGTTAGGTTAGGTAAATAGTGCCAAGCTGGCGGCTGGAGGTGTAGTGAGGACCCCCCACACTTTATGACTGGTGGTGGCCGGGCACAGCTGGTGTGTGTGTGTGTGTGTGTGTGTGTGTGTGTGTGTGTGTGTCTGTGTGTGTGTGTGTGTGTGTGCTCAAATACACTGAAATGAAAATACGGAATGAGTTTGTCAGCAGCAACAGATCGGTTAACTAGACAAATAATAATGATAAATAATAATAATAATAAATAATAATAATGATAATAATAATAATGATAATAATAATAATAATAATAATAATAATAATAATAATAATAATAATAATAATAATAATAATAATAATAATAATGTTACCTTACTTAATCTCTTGTGCTGAATAAAATCATCTGAAGTTAGGTTAGGTAAAATATTAGAAGTGGCTCCCCTGCAGCGAGAAGGTTAATTTGAATAATAAGAGAGGGAAAAAGACAGACAGACAGACAGATGGATGGATGGATGGACAGTGAGGGATTATCCGAGACAGAAACGTATAGAAGTTTAAAGAAAGGAATAATTATGAACAGGTGGATAAAGTAAAAGAGAGAAAGTGAGAGATAGAAAGAGATAGAGATAGTGAGAGAAAGAGAGAGAATTAGAAATATCAAATTAAAATAGAAACGCACGTTCAGACAGACAGACAGACAGACAGACAATTACACAAGAAAACACGACGATAACAAGAGATAATACCGTCAACACCTCACATGCTGACGGTGCTGCTGACACTCCGACCGTACGATTCACACCCCAGACCGTCAGGAGGGGTGTGTGTGTAATAATATTAATAATAATAATAATAATAAACGGTTTATTAATAGAGTTGCAGCCGGTGGCTGAAAATATGCAGACTTACATTTGATTTAGACATAATGAAATGTAAGTCTGTATATTTTCAGCCACCGGCTGTGTGTGTGTGTGTGTGTGTGTGTGTGTACATTTTTTGAGACTCCACTGGAGTACAGTGGAGTAGGTGGAGGAAGGTGGAGTATGTCTTCTTCTTCTTCTTTTTCTTCGTAACCTGAACCATTCTTATGTACTCTAACCTAACCTAACCTCTCCCTAGGTAGAGTTAGGGTGAGGTTCTACAGGTGAGATACAGTTTGTTGTCTTCAGGTTAAAAACGTTAGTAGGACTGAGCTCTTGTGTTCACGTGTGTGTGTGTGTGTGTAGGAACAGAGCAGCAGCAGGACTTACGAGGGCTGTAGGGCAGGAGGTGGGCAGGGTGTGTGTAGAGCGGGGCGTAGTAGTAGCCACAGTCAGAGGGACACTTCCCCCCAGTCGCGTCACACCCACACCCGCCAGCCGAGGTCACACACGAGGTCATGACGGGGCAGGTGAGGGAGCTGGTCATGTTAGGGCAGGCGGAGGTGTGGTGGGAGGTGGTGATGACCGGACAGGTGGTACCTCCTAGGCTGGACATGAGGGAGGTGGTCATGGTAGAGGGGGGTGGTGGAGGAGGGAACAGGTGTGGTGTTGGTGGCGGCAGTAGTGATGAGAGATCTAGGGGAGAGAGAGAAACCATCCATTAATAAACGATTCAAGTAGTTTGGGGCGATACAAAACTCCCCAAAACCCAAGTTTTTTTTTGGCATTTGTTTATTCAGAAGATCAAAATTTGGCAAGATATTGATTTCTGGGCTTATTAACTTATTTTAAATGTCCTCAAAACTAGCATCATGTCCTTTATCAACCTGCAAGTTATTCCTTTAAATATCTGAACATTTATTTCTATGTCAATAAGGATGTACAGTAATATATGACCCTTAAAGGACAATGATTTAATACGAAGTTTCTACCATAAACTTTCTTGTGTGTGAAACTCTTCAGGTAGTTTTTTAGTTTAACAAATTTATTGACAAAGCTTGTAGTACAGTTTGCCTATTCTGAGTAATTCAGTCAGGTCTTGACACTGAGGGTGGTATCACTTCTCACTGCCACGCAGGACAGAGGTTCATACACAAAGAAATACATCATATTCATATATATATATATATATATATATATATATATATATATATATATATATATATATATATATATATATATATACTGTATACATACATATGCATACACATACACCTCAGCTACGACTTAACTCAGGTGAAGCAGGTGATTAGATGATCTTAATGTGTGGAATAATGTTATGGAGAATTGAAATATATCCAGTCAGTTCATATTGTCGACGTTTTTGGATCGTATATATCTCTCTCTCTCTCTCTCTCTCTCTCTCTCTCTCTCTCTCTCTCTCTCTCTCCACCACCCCTTTGACCCCATGCCCCTCACTCACTTTCCCCTTTTACCTCTCACCCCCCTCTCCCCGTGGCCGTCATCACGCCGTCATCACGCTGGGCTCATGAGGATGTACAGGCACCCGGCCAGAGTGTTTATACCAAGTTGATGCTGATGATGTGAGAGCCGCTATCATCATCATCATCATCCAACACGCGCGATGACAGCTCACACCATCATACCAGCCAGAGAGAGTGAGAGGGAGTGAAAGAGAGGAGACAGTAAAGAAAGTTACAGAAAAGAGAAACAGTGGGGAGAGAGGTGAGTCTTAATAATATTTTCGTTATGTATACTATTTTTTAATATATCGTTAAGTGGATCTAAGCGATGTGAAAATGTACATAATAATGGCAGCAGTGAAAAAACAACAGAAATTGTCAACAGATAGAGCCTTACAACTCGTTAACAGTCCCTATGTGTAGTCGACAGTTACTGGCCGTAGTCGAAAGTCACTGGCCGTAGTCGACTGTCCCTGGCTATGGTCGACAGCCCCAGTGAAGGTGAGGGAGCACCATCAGTCACTGGTAGCCGTCGCTCGTGTCTTTAACACATAAACACGTCCCCGCCAGAAGCACCGCTAATCGCCGATGAAAAATTGCTTGTACCGAGAAATTTCTCGTCGAGGTTCTTGTGGAGGAAGACAAATAAACATTGGGTGTTTTTTTCGGCGCTCTTGTTAGCGATTATTTACTGCAGCCTCTTGGTGTTGGCTCGCTGGTGTACTATTTGGACTGGTGGCTCTGTGGTCATGTTCTGCTCGCTGTACGTGGCCACTACATTGTTCTTATCTAGCGATGTGTCTCCTGAAGATTAACATCTCCCGCTACCCAAACCCGAAACACCATCGTCGTAACGTCTCCAGTAACTTTAAGATGAAACTTCTAATTCGAACAGAACTTCACCAAGAAAGAACATAAAAAACGGAAACAAATGTTTAAGGGGAAGCGAGAGCAGACACTAGGGTAAGTGACCCGGGTGAGGTGTTAGCGAACTCCCACGCCCCAGCCTTCCTGCCTGCCGTCCACACCAGGCACCGTCAACCTCCCCCACACCCTCATTTTAGCGCTTTTTTCTCGAATTAGACCATTACATGCTTGTTAACAGCTCAACAACATATGGTTGGCTGCAGCTAATTTTCGTTTTTCCCGCCTTCCTACACAAACACATCTGATACTCTACTAAAAACGGATTTATTTTCTTAATTCCTCCGAGCGCATGTTTTCATCAGACGTCCCGCACCCCTCGACCCCAAGGTCCTGTTAACACTAGGCTGCTGCTGACGCTCCTGACAGCCCGACATGTCAGCCTTGTAACCTTTCATGACCTGACCTCTTCACCTAGGCCTCCATGGGCGGGTGGTGACGCGATGACTAGCAAGGTGGCTGTCACCGGGCGTTTACAAACACAAACACATGTCAAGCCTCCCCTCCCTCCGGGCTCCTCCCCCAATACTGTCTGAAGGTGTTGTTACACTCTTAAGAGACACTTTACACTGAAGCAGCGTTACCTCTCTAAACAAACATCGTCAGTGGATTAATTTTCTCTTTAAAATTTATTGCAGCCTTGGTTATTGATGGATAAGTAGCGCATGTTGTCGAATAAAAAAACTGGGTAATATTTCATTAGATTACCCCCAAAAAATTTAACGTAAACTCACTCCATTTTCTTCAATTAACAAGATCGCAATTAGCTTACAATGTACTAGAGCACGGCCTTGTGTATCGCTATCACCAGCAAAAAACACAAAAGCGGCTCTTATGTTGAGGGGAACAAAGTTGTTTATGGTGTGTGTTGGTGAGGCGGCCCGGGCGAGCCTGGGGAGTCTCACCACAGTTGCCAGTTAGTAAATACTGCAACTCCCAGCCGTCGAGGGACAGATGCCGGCAATGCGGGGCGACCGATGCTTCCCGTACGTCACACACAGGGCGGGAGGATGATTCACGTACATCACACACACACAGGGAGGATTACACACACACATACATGTTCTCTCTCTCTCTCTCTCATACATACACTCACCCCCCCTACACACACATTATTCTCACACACCCTCCCCCACACACTCTCCTAACACCCCTATATCCTCCCCCTCACACTCCCCAGCACACCCTTCTTTCACACACCCTCCCCACACACACACCCTCCCCACACACACCCTCCCCACACACACACACCCTCCCCACACACACCCTCCCCCTATCGTCACTTACACCCACAATGATAGATACAAAGTCATGTTTCATCAACACACTTCCGGCACCCACTTGACGTCCTCCTCGGGTGTAAGGTTAAGTAGGTGTGAGTCTGACTGTATAGCCTTGTGTACAGCCGCTGAGGTGGACGACCGTATGTGTGTGTGTGTGTGTGTGTGTGTGTGTGTGTGTGTGTGTGTGTGTTTCGGTGGTAAAGCTAATTTTCTTTTTTTTCATTCTTCTTCGTTGTGGTGGCCGGCCGGTCTATCGCGTGTTCACCATCTCTCTTCCTCATCTCTCTCCCTTACCGTCTATATCTATGTCGTTTATATACCTCAAGTACCTCTAATACCTTATATAACTCCTCTAATACCTTATATAACTCCTCTAATACCAGGTTAAGATATTTTAACCCCTTGTTTACTGGGTCTTCTTTTAGCTAAATGAAATTCTCTACCGTTAACTAAATATAAAAACTAGCGTGTCCCTATAGTGAAGTAATGGATTAACTAAAACCTAGTACCGTATATATCCCCTCCTAATGCGTGACAGGAAAACGTATCTAACTTGCTTCCTTAACTAAATAATACACATGGAATTAGATATTTAACCTCCCTTGAAATTTTATACCCGCCACAAAATGTAAGGAACACAATCTTGAAAGAATTAAGAGTCTTGGGGAGTCTATAAACGCAGACGGTTCTCGGGTATATCACACACTTTAGTCACTGTCTCCTTCCCGGCGCCAACCTGCACTCAATTACAACACTCCTGCAGGAAGATGTAAACTTTGGGGACCGGACAAAAGCTCCCCAGTAAAAGAGCAAAATAGGACAGAAGCCCCCTGTTTTTATGTTAAGGAGAGGGTCATTAGAAATATTAAAAATATATAGATTAAAATATGAAATTATTACGATTTAAATAATTAGAATATTATAACTCTCCATTTTGATATAGAACATTATTAAATAAATAGAAAAGAAAAACGACGACATATTTTACCTTCGTGTTCATTTACTGGGGTGACCCTAGGGCCCAGTAAGGTCACTGAATGTCAGGGGAGTAATTACCCCAGTAGACAAAACATACGGCATTGCAAATTTAATAAACATTCCTTGTATACTTCTTTATAACTATAAGAGAATTCCCGAAGGTTAGGTTAGGTGAGAGAAGTGTTCATAAACTGTAAAAAAATAAAATAATTATTTAAAAAATTCTTATTATTTCTCCTGGGGGGCTTTTGTCCTACGCCCGTAAACTTTACACCGTGAGATCTGGAAGCATGAGCGAGGACTACTGGTTGATGCCTTTGTTATAAATTATTGCGCTTCAACAACTAAGGTCTTTAAGCGTGTTGTTGTTACTACGCTTCAATAACAAAGGTCTTTAAGCTTATTGTTACTACGCTTCAATAACAAAGGTCTTTAAGCTTATTGTTACTACCCTTCAATAACAAAGGTCTTTAAGCTTATTGTTACTACGCTTCAATAACAAAGGTCTTTAAGCGTATTGTTACTACACTTCAACAACTAAGGTCTTTAAGTAAGTAATGAGGTTATAATTACATTAATCCACCAACAATTATTGATTTTGAGATGGAAATTTCCGTTTATTTTGGGCGTTAAATTCTTCTCATGTTAGTGTAAGTCTTGTATTATGAGTAGATTAGGCTACAGTGACTATGATGGAGTCATTGTGAATAATAATAATCTTAATAATAATAATAATAATCTTAATAATAATAATAATAATAATAATAATAATAATAATAATAATAATAATAAACAGTAATAATAAGAATAATTTCAGAAATGCAGACCATTCGAAAATCGTGAAATTCAACAACAAAAATAAACCGATCCAACCAGACAACACAACTAGTGACTCATGAAGTACAGGTGTAGTGGATAAAATGATCAAATTAATAAAAACTTTAATAAATAAATAAAGATTAACGAGAAATAGACCAAAAAATTACAAATATTTAAAAACATTAATATAATTTTCATTTAATTAACTTACTTAAGCTAACATAACTAATTTAACAGGATGATTATAATATTTAGTTAATTTAACACAAAACTAAAAATAAGGAAATTAAACTGAACTTAAGGAAATTATTATTATTTGTTATTCCTTTTCCAGTATTTATTTTTGTCTTTTTTATTATTATCTATCTTGTTTTTATACTTGGTTATTCATCAGTTATTCATTTCTTGGTATATTTTATTCCTTAATTTTTTTATTATTCTTTTATTCACGTTGTTAATTATTTTTATTTTGTTCTTATTTTTATTATTTTCGCAATTTCATTTTTCATATTTATATTCATTAGTTCTTATTTTTTCTTCGTGTTATGTTAGGTTAGTCTAGCGTTAGATTAAGTTAGGTTAGGTTAAGTTACGTTAGCTTTAGGTTAAGTTACGTTAGCTTTAGGTTAAGTTACATTAGCTTTAGGTTAAGTTACATTAGCGTTAGGTTAAGTTACATTAGCCTAAGGTTAAGTTACGTTAGATTCGGTTAGGTTAGGCTAATGTTAGGGTGGTTAATCTTCATGTGAAATAAGCTGGGGTGGAGATTCTTCAGGTGATCCAACAAGCGAACAGAAGGGATCATAATTGACCTCCCTCCTGACCTTACTGATGGTCACCATGCCCTGGGGAGGTGATTATCGTATTAGGAAGGGTAAGAGATTTTTACCCGGGGGATTAATTCGTCGTACTCAATGGGTTAAGTAATCGCACTGAAGGGGTTAAAAGTTTTTGTCTTACTGGGTTAAGATATTGTACTCAAGAGGTTAATGTTTCTTATTCATTGAGTTAGTTCATTGTACTTAGGGAATGTACTCAGGAGATAAGTAATCGTACTAAATGGGTTAATTCTCCCTTACTCATTTAGCTATTATATTGTACTCGGGTTATTATTATATTGTACTCAATATCTTAGGATGTTTAATCTTCAATTGAAAAATACTGGGGTGTCTATTCTTCAGGTCCAACCTATATATGAAGCTTCTCAGCGTGTTCGAGTTAATGATGATGTTTGGTAACGTGTTCCACTCATCCACTAACTTTATTTCCCAAGCAATATGTCTCTATCTCACGCCTAAATCTAAAAGTATCTTATTAGGAAATCATTACTACGGTTCGGGTCAGATTTAATATTTTAAGTAGATCAGTTATATCACCTTTATTTAATCCATCTTCAATTTATACACTTGGGATCATATCGCCCCTCACTCTTCGTCTCTCAGTGGAGTGTATATTAATTTATGTGTGTGTGGGTTCTTAATGACCGCCGTATTATCCTTTTTTATCCTCTTCTGGATTATTTCTGGGGAGTCATTATCCATTCTATACTACAGTGACCAAAACTGAACCTCATAAGTCCATTAAACGAGATCTTACATACACGAGATATTGTTTAAGGACTACCTCGCCTGTTCTCTTACTAACACTCCTTGATGTTAACTACTGTACGCCGCTAACCGTGTCTCACCTAACCTAACCGTGTCTCCAACATAGACGTATTGTTGACTTGGTCTTAGGTTCCTGCTTATCATTACCCATTAAATCTTCCTCACAGTCGGAGTGTGTCTGTGTTGTTCAGATGGGAATTGGTTCCTCTGTTTTCATTCCTCAGCTTTAGAATTTTACATTTTCCACATTAAATTGCTTCCCTCTCATTACCAACACTCTCAGATGTTTTGGCGATGCTTCATGCTGGCAGTATAAACCAAGACGAAATTCAGGTATATAAAACATTCAGGAATATTATAGAGACAGACTGTGAAGGACTCCAGCCATCAGGTCAACAGCTGCCCTGCCACCACCACACTGGACCAGGAGAGGCACTGGTGTTGGTCTTATCACAAGGTTAATAGTTGGTAGAGGTGAGAGAGAGAAGGGAGGGAAGATGGCTCAGGTGAGAGCGGCAGGTAAACCTTGGTGGAGTAGTACGGTGGAGGTGAAGACTTACCTCTGCGGGGCTCAGCGGCCAACAGGCGGTCCACGCCGAACTTTAGCGGCGGTGCTGTAGGTGGTGAAGAAGTCTTGGTGTAGGTGAGAGCGGACGTGGGCGTGTGGCGCGGGCTGAGGGAGAGTGCGGGCGTGGGGCTGATGCTGGGCTGGGAAAGTACTACACAAGCGGCAGTCCTGGGCACGGGCGGGGGAAACAGCATGGACGCCCGTACGCCCTCTTTGCCGTCCAACATGCTGAGCAGGCCGCCAAGGGGCGGTAAGGCGGGCGGCGGCACCTCCCATGGCAGCGCTCCTGACACAAACATTTGTCGTTCAGTAACAGACACGACCAGTCTACCAGGACACTAAGTGGCTCTGCTCTTACAGTCTTACAGTACAGTCACTAGACGACCAGTCTCACTCACTACCGCTTTAGGCGTCCCTCTCACACACGTCACGTCACGATGGTGGCGCGGGTTCACAACTGACTAGTGTGAGTGAGTGCCTCTTGTCCTGCTGGGTATCCTGCCCGGGCACGTCTCTGTAGCCCCGCCCACGCCCGGCCCCCCTCCCCGCCCACCTCTTCCTCAACACGACTCTGATCTCTCACCAGCCGCCTCCATCATGGTGAAGGTATTCTTATTATACCGTGAGTCTCTCCTGCCTCACTTTACACCTTAACTATACTCCTAAACTAATACATGATACCATACAGCAACGACTACGGAGTAACTCAGAGACAACACTTAGCAAATGAGAAGTGAGAGAAGCATGAGCTCATCGACGATTGGTCCTCCCATCAAGCTCGTCCCCTGTCATTGGCCGGGACACTACCCGAGAGGCTGTGATTGGAAGAGGAGATGAGGGGTTTGTGCACTGTGGTGTGAGATTTGGCACGTAAGTGTCAGGTTGGCACCGGAGCATCATCTGAGTGCCAACCCATCAGTCCTTCTGTGGCCGCGGCTCATCAGGTGGCCATGGCGATGTTAATGAGGTGTTGGTAGCAGGTAACAGAGGACTCCCCCCTCCCACCCCACCAGACGCACCTGTACGATGATCCACCCAACACGGGATGATTAAGTGGAATATTATCATCATTGTTCTACTTTATAAGTCAGTCACTGAGTCACCAATTAACCTATTGGGCTTAGAACACTGGCAGCGAACTGACTGTCAGGATGTTGAGTCAAATGTTAAACCTGACACCTGACACCTTGAAATACTTGAGTTGTTGTCGTATCTTGAAAAAAAGTTTAAGTAGTACCCTGAAACTACACATAACTTGTAAGTAGTACCTTGAACCTGTTTGACCTGGATGTAAGGGAAGTTACCTGAGGTCATGGCAGAGGCTTAGTATCTCACGTTAAAGTCACAACTCTTCCACCCCGACACAGCTGACATCACAAGTTTGGATATGTTTGGTTAGGTTGGATTTGGTTCGGTTAGGATAGTTTAGCATTATGATGGTTTATATTAGGATAGGTTAAGATAGATTTGGTTAGGTTATATTAGATTTGAATTCTTCTGTGAATATTTTATAAAATCCCCGATTATAGTTATAAATTCAAGTATAATAATAATTTCCCGAATAATCATATTAATCCAAATCATCAAACTAAAATTTCCCGCTAAATCCTGAAATAAATAAATAAAATCTTCCTCCAAACTGCTGACTACAATCTCCGCCAAATTATCAGCTTAAGGATTTCCCGCCAGATTTGAGACGTCAATAGGATACACTAACTGAGATGGGGGTATTTTCACTCAAGTGGAATGTGATGGTGAGTCAGTGATGATAGTAATGGTGGTACTAAACGCGAGGCTCAAGTGACACAGTGAAACTCGACCGTGATCCACCTGAAGTGTTGTGAGAGAAGAGGATCGAATTCTATTTTTTTTTTTGTACTTGAGATTAAATACGACTAAATATATGGGTTTATTTATAGGATTATGTGTATTGGTGGGAGGTATATTTATTACTATTTATATGAATCAGTGTATCTTAATTCTAAAGGTGTTTGATCCTCTATGAATGGAATATTGTGTTTGTGTTCTTTTGTCTGATCGTCAGTTGTTTCTGGTGGTGTTAACTTTACTGTTGGTTTATTAATTTATACTTTATTAAGCAGTTAACACAGTGATCGTTACGTAATGGACGATGTATTGAGCACTAAAGTCTTAACATGTGTTCCAGAATTTCAAAATGTATAAGATGAATAAAGAAACTTCTACATTTACATCAATATTTTATTAGTTAAGCAGTTTCGTGACAAAGTCTTTATTCAGTACAGCGATATTTTCTTTATTTTGTGTTAAGTTCGCTGTACAATATTCTTAACATAATGTCATACATCATTCACATTAGTAAAATAAATATATCCCAGGCGGTACTAAATATTATTTAACAAATAAATAACAACAAAGAAACAAAGATATTGCTGTTGAAGACAAAGTAACATAAGTAAGTTATTCTTGAAGTGTGACTTACCGTCTCAAGTGTCGCTGTGTTTTCATATACTGTTTTTATTTACAGTGATAACATCAAGTGGTAAGTGTGCTTCAGAATATGTTAATGAATTACTCACGTTCAGTTTTATATTTCAGAGACGAGTGAGTGTAGGAGGGTGTGAGGTCAACATGCCGAGTGGCCCTCAAGATAAGGTGGTCAATGTGTTAAACAGGTCGGGTTGGCCAGGTAGGAGGCGGCGGGTATCAAAGGCGGTCGTCACCTGGCCGGGGAGGCGAGTCTGTGTTTGCTCACACTGGTTCAGTAATACCTCATTAACACGAGCAAAGGCCAGGGCAGAGAGCAGGGCGGGTCACGCCTTCCTGCTAAGTGGTCATAGGTCATTGTCTCTCTTTCCCTATGTGTCTCATTTGCCGTATTATTTTACCATATCATAACTAAACACAGATACTAGGCAAAGCTCATACACATCTCCTATTTCTTTAGACATAAGGACACGTAGTTCTCAAACACATGACCAAAGTTGAATGCAAATCTTCAAAATGGAACTTGACTTAGTAGATAAAGGTACTGAAGCCTATTTCAACTCTTATCTGATGTCCATTGACTGGTCTCCTATACCTGACACCAGTTCCCCTTGTGTGTATATCCTGTGGCTTCGTCTAATGACTCCTGTAGGTGCAGGACGTGTTGTGAGAGAGACCATCAGGAGTACTGGTTCAATTCTTCTCCCTTCTGTACCTTTGTCGGTCGGTCCTACATTTAGCGTCTGAGTGATGAGTCTAATGTTACAGGAGAGTATCAGTGTTGAGGCTCTTCTGTAGACCTGTTAGTGTCCCCACTCTTCACCCTTATCTTCATTCATCATCCCTTACACTTCAACCCTCATCCTTACCTTCACTCCTCCACCCTCACCTACACCCTCGCCCTCACCCCTCTTCCACCCATACTCTCTCACTCCCCCCTCCCTCCCTCCTTCCCTTTCTCCTCCATGCAATATTCATTTTAACTTCACCTTCACACTCACTTCAGCTCTTTCTCTCCTCACTCATATTTCCACGCTAACCTTGGCTCTTCAACCCCCCCTCCTCCCGTCTCTCTCTCTCTCTCTCTCTCTCTCTCTCTCTCTCTCTCTCTCTCACCTGAAGTTCTCCTCCCCCAATTAGTACCTGGTTGGAGAGAGTTTCTGTGGTGGTTCAAGTGCGGACAGGTAGGTGTAGTGTTGATGAGCTACCTTACCTGGGGGTGTGGGAGACCAAGGAGGGATCACCTAAAGATTAACCACCCTAACGTTATTTGGTAGGGTGAAGTTAGCTTAGGTTAGCTTTAGGTTAGATTAGGTTAGGTTAGCGTTAAGTTAGGCTCGGTTAGCATTAAGTTAGGTAAGGTTAGTATTTAGTTAGGTTAGATAAGGATTGAATTAGGTTAGATTAGCATTAGGGTGATTAATCTTCATGTGAAATAAGCCGGGGTATTTCTCTCCCACTCAATCTCATAAAAGTCGTTTCCAAGACCATTTGAGTTTCCTCACAAGATATAACTAAATAATTGTATCAGTGTTAATTGAAGCCCCATGACCTGACCTATGTGACCCAACTCTTAGCGTTTTAGTAAGTAGGGTCAAAATGTCATCACGTCTCTAGTGTTAAGTGGCATAATAGTGAGGCCGGGTGTTCTCTTGCTGACCCTCCTAAAGGTCAAGTCAGGTCAGGTGGGGGTCACTTGAATACCGGATGTCGATCATGTACGCTAATTTTCTGTGTTTGGGGATTAATGGGATACTATACTATCTGTATGTGTGTACACCTAGTAGTAATAGTAGTAGTAGTAGTGTGTGTTTGTGTGTTCAAATATTACCAGGAACAAGAAAGTCAACTAGCAACATCAGACGCCTCATACTAATACCTCAAACAAGAGTTAAAAATTTAGAAGAACTCTTGATATACAAACTGACACACATTAATGATTAAAACATCAATATTATTAACTCCATTACCCTAAATATTGTGCTTTTATACTTACAGACAATATATTAATATCAATTTCATAAGATATTAAAAATCTAAACTATTGCTTGGTAATATATATGAGATATTGTAAATGGTAAAGGAATGAACGAAGTATGGGAACGCCGGAGCTGAACGTGTAAACAAACCGTACACGTCTTAATTATCATCGTTTGTAACTCGTGCAAACTCAATGAATAATGACAAATCGTAAGTAAATATAAAAAATAACAGAATGACGAAAGCAAAGCAAAATACCAAAAAAAAAAATATCAAATAAAATAATAATAAACGTCTTTGAACGAATTAGATATACGAGATCTTAACTGAGAAAATTAGATAGGTGTATAAAGTAATAAATGAGGTAAATCATAATAACACATACTTACAGGTGATCAATATAATAAATAACTCCTTTCACATATGTTATTATAATACCAAAACAATGAAATATTCTACGACTCATATGGTGACGTCATCCCTTAAACAGCGGGTAACTACTCAGTAAACAAGTGGAAGCAGATCGTTATGTCGTTGGGTATTTTTCTTTTCCAAAATATTGAGGTGAGATACATAAGGACAGGGCAGTACCTGATGAGCATTGTGAGTGAACGGGTGGACAAACTACAGCTACAGGAGACGCCCGTTCAAGTGCTTGTGTTGAAGGTCGGGAGGAACTTTTTTCCGTGACTTTTTTCCGTGACTTTTTTCTGTGACTTTATTCCTGGGAGTTTTTGTTTCCGTTCACCGCCTACCCACCCCAAGAGACACCCGTAGAGGAGTACTGAAGTCACACACAACTCACAATCTGATCTGGAGGTAAATATTCAGTTGTTTTTTACCCGTTTTAAGTTTAGTAAAAATTTATTCCTCCATCTTGAGAAAAGGAAAAGTTTACTTCTATTGAAAGTTTCGTAATGTTGCTCGTTAATCCCCGCACCTATTCTAGAGTTTTACAACTGTTGAGTTTATGGGTAATAGTTAGGTTAGGTTAGCTTGGTAATCGTGAAATG